CCTAAGCCCTAAGCCTAAAACCGTATATCATATCAGTGTGCAAAGCAGGAAGATCCAAAGGTTATAAAACCTTGGTTTGAGACTATTCGCGAGGCTATTCTTAAACATGGCATTCATGAAGATGATATCTAGAATTTCGATGAAACTAGCTTCGCGATGGGACTCTATTCGACCTCTAAGGTTATTACTACAGTAGAACGCAGTGAAAGACCTCGTAGGGTTATTTAGGGGAATCGCGAATGGGTCACAATTATTGAATGTATGAGCTCGAAGGGGATATCTATACCCCCGTGGATTATCTTGAAAGCAGGATCTCAACATGCTACTTAGTATTAAGAACATACTCTTTTTAATAAGGGCTATGCTATCGCAAGAAGTCAGAATGGCTAGACTACTAATGAAATTGGCCTCCGCTAGCTAAAAGAGATGTTTGAACCACATTCTAAAAACCATTCGACTAGTGCAAAGCGATTGCTTATTCTTAACGGCTATAGTAGTCATTTAACTACAGATTTTGATGCATTCTATAAAGAGAATGCTATTATCTGTCTTTGTATGCCTCCTCATACCTCTCACCTTTTACAACCACTTAATGTCGGTGTTTTTGGTCCGCTAAAGCGCGCATATAGAAAACTAGTAGAAGAGATGATAGTTGCTAGCAACAATCATATCGATAAGGAGGATTTCTTGTCTCTCTATCCACCTACTCGCGAAAAGGTGTTTACTAGGGAGAATATATGTAGTTGTTTTGCAAGCGCAGGACTAAGCCCACTTGATTAAGACCGGGTTCTTAAAAAGGTCACTTTTCAACTTCGGACACCAACACCACCTCTTGTTGAAGTTGAAGGCTCAATCTCCTCTACTTTTCAAACACCTCAGAATCCTCGCTAACTCGATCATAAGGTCCGCAGTCTACAGAGAAGCCTTCGCAAACGAATGCTTTCTAGTAGTCCAGTATCTCATATTCAACATCTTGAAAAAGCCGCGCAGATGGCAATGAATATGAACCTTCTTCTTCAACAAGAAATTAAGGTTCTACGGGGTGAGAATAAGCGGAAAATGCAAAAGAGGGCAAGGAGGCGTGCTAATCTTGGTGATGATCTTGTTTTATTTGTACAGGAAGGTCAGGATCGAGTTCAACAGCTTGATACGCAGCTTTATGAGCGGGTTGATGAGCCTACACCTAGGCCAAGCCAGCGAGCTCCACGACGCTGCAGTGGCTGCGCAACTATTGGACATACTATAAGAAGTTGTCCTAATAAATAACTATTTAGTTCATGTTTTAGATATTCCAATTTAATCATCTTTTGTGGTTGAAATGCTTCAAAATTGTATACCTGTGGAGAAAATGGACGGCTCGGTTGTGTGGACGGCTCGTATGTGGATTACGTTAACAAAAACGGGGGTGTCCCTATCAATTCCCGTTTAACGTTGAAAGGTTATGTAATCCCACATCCGTTGAGCCACAAAAAATGCGAGAGAGCACATACAGTGGCACCGCAAAAGTTTCCGACTACCCCTTTCACCGCCTGATGTACACCGCCTTTACCGGAAACCGTGAGCCATGATATAGATAAATCAAAAACCTAGAATTTATTTATTTTACATTCAATCCTCTCAGGTATTACGTATAATTGGGGATCAGCAATTGTTTTGACTATAATTTGGGGATACTGGTGGAAATCTGGAATTTTTGATGGCAGGCAGAATGTTATGTAAGCAAGGGGTGGTCGGAAACTTTTGCGGTGCCACTGTACCATCTTGAGAATACGCAGGAAGTAGTGTATATATAGTCTACAACGTGCAACGAAAATATTTGAAACTAGGACAGATTTGGTTCTAATTAATAGAATGGCTTATAGGACGCTATAGGACTATAATGTTTCAATGATAATGTGGTAGCCTTGCTTTGTACAAAGTTATTATATAAAGAAGATTTAATCGTATAAATTTGGGAATTAGTAGATTAAGATCTAGTAGTCCTATCGCGATGTGCTGTTAGGGATCAGACCAAATTGTGTCAATTGATGGTATGTCCTATGCACAAGAAGGATTCATTAAAGAAAGGAAGAAAGAAAAGGGGAAGAAAGGGGAAACAAGATGCGTGGGTAAACATGGCAGAACGAAAAGGCGGTCAACAGTCACGAAGCTTCAGCTGAGTATAACAATATCAGGACTTCGTACGAAGGTCCTATAACAATTTCTCTCTATATACAGATACGCGACGCGTCTGGTCAAATCTGCACAAAATATGCATTCACGAGTCTCTTTAATATTTGCACTGTTTGATACCCATTTGGGTACCCAATTACCCGTATGGGTAACCCATGACCACCCATTACCCACCGTGGGTACGAGAAGCCTACCCAAAACCGACCCACACCGGGTTGGGTAGTGGGTAGGTGTGGGTAGCCTAATAGTGGCTTTCTCTCACCCGTTAGCGGGTGATTTCCAGGCGGCCCGAGAAATATTGGGGCCAACCTTGAACAGGGCCATAGTTGGCACGTCCTGGCATTAAATTGGCCACTGCGTAACTGCATGATCGGCAGCCCAAAGTTTACGGGGGCCATAGATGATCGGTAGCTCGAAATTTACAAGGCCCAAAAGCTAGCGGCGCTACAGGTGTCAGCCCGGGTGTAACCCTACATCCTTCGGAGGCAAAAGAGAGCACCGGGCGCCCAGAGTCCATGCCACATAGACTTGGTCACACTAAGTCGAGACCCAAAAAAAAGCCTTCTTGGCAGCTGATAGTAGCTTCGCATCTACGATGAGCCTAGGCCGTGTAAATTTACCCCCCCCCCCCCCCCCCCCCAAAACCTAGGGTAACTAGATAACATTGCATATTAACGTATGTTATCCATAATGATACTATTAGAAACTTTTGGCAAATGGCCCCTAAGACGTCGAGTTTAGAATTGTTTGATTGGCGGTAAAACAGTACACCAATCCGGCCTAGTGGTAATGATGGAATATGAGGATGCCGTTCCACAGCCAATCAGAACGCTCCACGCAGTGTTCGCTCAGGGGCGAAAAATCAGGTACAAAAGGCACCCTAGCATGTAAAGAAATGAACAATCATACACAACATTATTATTGAATTTATCCTCATTCCATTTATATACATTTTCATTTCGTTCTGCTAGTGGTATTGATATTATTCCCCGCAACGGATTACCCGTTTATCCTCCACGTAATCCAACAGGTAAAGGTGTTATAAGAATAATTGATTAGCAAAGACTATGTGTATTGTGTTCTGTGTTCGTCTGGATCTATATGACAAAAAGTGACTTTCTTATATACTCCTAGTGAGCGCTCAGCTCCCTGCTTTGTCCACCTTCTGCCGAATACACACGTCGCATACACAGCGCACATCGTACAGTTGACAATAACGTTGACAATCGCAACTTTACAGCAGATATGACTCTCCTAGACCAGAAGAAACCAGACGCCTGGTCGTACACTCAAAGTCACCAATTCGCCTACCAACGTACCACAACTGCAATCAAACCTACCATGCCGGCGGCGCCTGCTCCAGCTCTCATGAACCAGGTGATCAACAGTACCTATATTAGCGAGGCCACTCGGCAAGTTACACGTCTCTCTGAAGCAATTGGACAAGATGAGGTCACGCGAGAGAAACTGCTACACGCCTTGAAGTTTTCCGGGGGGGGTGGTGCCAAAATGCCATACCGCAGAAGCTAGACAGGTCGGCCTGGGTTTCCGACGTGAGCAATGATCACTCGCCTTTTGAGTACTCATTGGCTCTGTCCCAACAAACTGGAGCATCCGAGCTACGGTTCCTAATCGAGGCTCAGCCCGAAGAAAACAGCTTAGCCGCCCTCCAAGAAAGCACCTCGCGCTTGACCGACTGCATAGCGACAGAGTACTGCCCCGCAAAAGTCTCCCTGGACCGCTTGAACCTCGTTCGAGATTTGTTTCTCCCCTCAGATGCTGAGGGTATGCTGGCCTCATGGCACAGCTTCGCTACCTCAGAGACACTAGAAAAGTGGAAGATTTACCTGAATCCACTAGCCACCGGGAGGCAAAACGCTTTCAACGTGACCCGAGAGGCTCTGGAGCGCTTAGGGCTGGACAGCTCGTGGAAATTACTAGAGAGCATCATGACTGGTGGCGACTATCCTATCTACTTCTCGCTTGGTTTGTCGCCGGACCCAGAAGACGCCGAAGTCAAGGTATACGTTGCACACTGTGGCGCGTCTGCAACGCAAATCGCGCAAAAGCATGTCAAAATGGATCCCAATTCCAGCGTCCAAGCAATCGAACTGTTCTACTCAGTTATGGCTGGTGGCTCGCTTGGGCCGTACCGTGAAAAACCCGGGTTATCCTGTTTCCATTTCAAGAACAAAGATCCGTCTCGGCCGGCGGCCCGTACAGTCCTCTACCCAATCGACAGCTATGCAGCAAATGATGCCGAAGCACAGGAGCGCATTGAGACGTACATGGATGCCATTTCTGCGCCTCAGCTCTACCGAGAGAGGTATAGAAACGCCATCAGCTCCGTGCAGCGCCGGCCGTTGGAGGCTGGTCGTGGCATCCATAGCTGGGTGAGTATGAAGGAGAAGCTAGATGGTAAGCTGTCCAACACATTTTATCTCTCAGCCGAACTGTACGGGTGTCTTGTTGATGACGGCCTCTCGAATGGTGGCCGCTGAAACGCATTTTCAGGCTTAGACTTGGGTCAGGGTACTCGCCCCCTAGTAGTAGTCAAGCTCTCACCAGCGAGAGGTTGACGAAACTTACGAAGTAGCCGGGATGACAGAGGGACATATGCACTATCTCATTTGTCTTTTCTTCTTTTTTGGAAGCTTATTTTAAGAGCACGGTATGCAAGCCGTTAGTAAATGGCGTTAAATGTATTTTATTAGCGAGCGAGCCATATCAACGAACGGGCTACCTTACCACAACCCGTACGCAATCTTCAATTGAACCAGCACAAAATCAACTAAATTTAGGAATCAAGTCCCCTAGTGTTAGTAGGGGATATAGGTATAGAACCTCTAGATACCCCCGCACTCGAGCTGGAATTAAGCCAGGCCACCGTAGCGTTTCAACAAATCAAAATGAGATAAGTTATGCCTAAAAGGAATAAGTACACTTCAGCCAGTCGACATTGGAATATGGTATCAACACAGTGGAGGATTATTAACATACAACTCCTGTCATAATTGCATTTAATTGTACTATAGCAGAGTACTCAGATAGTTTCATTAGACAGGTGTCGCATTAGCGCTCAACTACTATTTATACGTCATCTATAAATAATTCCACCTGTAACCCATAAATCTTGCCTCCCAACTCTTATAAAGATCCTGTAAAGATATACACAAACTCATTTCCCAGCAAGCACTACCAATTGGCCGGCTACTCCACTTAATGTGTCCACAATGGATTCAAGCTGACTTTGCTCAGAATATGTGAATCCAGGGTCTTCGAAAGTTCCAAGCACCATCGCAACAAGCTCTTTTACTTCAGTCAGCCGACTTAAGTCTTTCTGTAGCATGTCCACCGCCATTTCATAATTTGATAAGCGGATTGCAGTGCCTATTTTTGTTTCTAGCACCCCAAGGCCGACCATTTGCGCACGAATGGTACTCAGGTCAAGCTTCATGTCCAACTTCGCGATACTATCGAGCAGGGCATCCAGAAGCATCGCCAATCCCGGCACATGCTCATCCTGAAGCCTATTCTTTGCATCAAGCAGGTGGCGTGCCTTCTTAGGTGTGAGAACTTCTGGTTCGTCCAGCATGGTAAGTTTCCCATTCAATAACTGGAAATTTCTCCGATACACGTTTTCCATTTCGGCTGCCTTTTGACCAATGTCAACGGCGGCCGTATAAACCTCTTCTGCCTGTGAAAAAGCGAATTTCGGTTTTTCCAGGGTCCCTATCCGATAGGCTTCCAGTTTATTGCGGGTCGAAGGGTTCGTCAAATGACCGACTGCCTCCAAGCTGTCGGTAATGTCTTGGCCACTGCACAACGCGATCACAATATCCCCTCCTGGATGCTTCTGCATAAATGTGCTTGCATCGTATACACTCCCCTTGGCCGAAAACCAATAACCAGTTTCGTCTGAGTTATTTTTTATGAGCTGGGACATGAAGAGTTTCTTTGAGCTAGGTTCGGTGTCCGGATTGTGTTCATATGCGTCGAGAAAACTGCGTTCTAGACGTGCCTTATCCAATTCTTGATCGACCTCTTGCCAAGGCTCGGTCCTGCGCTTGCGACCAAGACCATTAATGGTTGTACTTCGACCAATCCTGAACGAGACAGCAAGGAAGCCGAACACCTTTCGCCGGTGGAGTCCTAGTAAACCGTCGTTGCCGTGGTATGAGGATGTAAAAGTTTTCCAGAGGTCCATTAATTCTCTATCCTTTGAGGTAGTAACGTATTCCGTGACCGACACTTTCGTGATGGCCTCGAGAAACTGGCGCCAATGGATAGGATACGTAGCTCGAACAATTTGCGCTTCTTTACCGATACCCGTGTTATATTCAGACCGTCCGGTGAATTCATCCATCATGTGAAAGAAGGGATGCGCTGTACCTGCCGCTCCAACCGCACCTTTCACCCAAGGGATTCCCAAATTCGCTACGGTGAGCGTCCATAAGATGGGATCAATATGAGACTTGTGAGCTCGGTTCGCATGGAGCTTATTTAGGATCTTGGTGACCTGTTTTAAGAGTGTATGGAGAATTCGTATTGCGTCTTTGAGCGAGGAGGAATCTTGAGCTAAGACGGATCTTTGGGCCTCTATGATTTGATGGACAATTGGTGTCGTTTTGGCGTTTATTTCAATCATTATTCCAATGAACGTGCGCTCTTCTTTGGTGCCAACGGTTGGAACGAGCAACTCCAAGTTTTCGAGCGCCACGCCACTGTGTGACAAGCTGGTTGATGTGAAATTGGCTACCACCCCGTCAACGTAGGTGAGAGCTGGGGCTGGCCGCCCAAGGCGTTTGCACACTACGGTCCACGGGATCTCAAGCGACGGCGGCAGTATATCGCTATGACGGTCGTATTTCAGTGTGAGAGGCTCGCTTCCTTCCATGCGAACAAACACATGAGCTGCCATTCCTAGGATGCTGGCGGCCCGTTGGAGGTAAATGTCGGGCAAGGCTTCGGCGGATGAGTCAAGCAGTGGCATCTTGGTGACAGTCTTTCGGACAGTCTGGGTCTGGACCAGGCGAGGTAGGTCGGCCGCAAGTTGGTCCCATACTGCATGGGAAGGCGGAAGTGCCTTTATTGTTTGGAGAGGCGAAAATGCTGCCTCTTTAGACAGGAAGCCGGCATTTTCGTGACCATTGCGCCGATTTGTCTGCTCTGCCTCCTCAATTATTGTCTCGCAGGGTGGTGAGATAGAGTGTCTCTATAGAATGTGAGCGCACGAATCTTCAGGATAGATTATTGCAACAAGCTACACACGTACCTTCGCTGTCGCTAATCGTAGGGAAACGACGAGGAAAATAATCCCAAGAGCCAAGTTAACGCTGTAAGACGACAAGGAATCATCTTGAAAGTCCTTGACTATTGTACTAAAGTTGCCGTATATTATACTGGGTAATGCGCCAACGGGAAACATTGTCCACGAGTTGTGCGATATGTTGGGAATCTCATCAAGTTCACAATTAATCGTCTCGACATGCACGATTCATGCTTTGACCAAGGCGAAACCAGGCACATTCTTGGGCACCAAAAGTAGTACGCAGTATTTATATTTATTACTAGTGCTAATATAGTGTTACAAACATCAGCTGAATAACTATAAATTACGTCGAATCTATTTTCAGATCACAATCCTCTTAGTTCGCCCCCACCCTTTAGCCTAAGATGTCCAGTAAGTACACCGTTATGTAATTCGGTAGACAGACAGAGAGATGTAGGTATTAACTAACTAAGAGTAATTATAGGAGAATTCATCCTCATAGGGAGCGTCGAGCCTGGAAAACCAGGCGAAAGAAATCACGTGCGCGGTCAGGGCCGTTGACCGGCTGCACTAAGTATCTTGATAAGCAGTTTTATGTACGCGAGCCCCCTTCTTTCTGTTCTCTTTCTCTTACTATTATCTTTACTTTTATGCACTCTAAATACTACACGGAACTGGTGTCTCACACACCATAGATGAACCGCGGCCCGAAGTTTACAGGGGCCATAGATGGAGTGCGGCCCGAAGTTTACGGGGGCCATAGATGGAGTGCGGCCCGAAGTTTACGGGGGCCATAGATGAACTGCGGCCCGAAGTTTACAGGGGCCATTGAAGAATTAATTGCAGCTCGAAATTTACACACTCAATATTTGAAAAATACCACCAAAAACAAATTTATAGCTACCTGCAAAATACCTACCAGATACCTATAGAGACTTGTATAGAAGATAGTAAATTCTAAGAAACTTAAATAAATGGAGAAGACTCCACTAAAAGCGGAAGGGAATTTAAATGCTAACTTCGAAACACCCCCACCCCTCGCCCCAACTTCCTAAAAAGGGAATTAGTGGGTAATGTAGGAGCGACCTTGGCCCCCATGCCCAAGGTGAGTTATTCTCTGAGTGCGTCTACACCCCACCCCCACCATCACCACCGCCATCTAGAGTGGTCTGACTATGTACACCATGGAGAAGACTCTCTATCCTTGAGTGTTCCAGATGAAAATGCGCTCAACTAGATTAGAAATTAGCATGTAGACATCGACTTCCTAGATATATGGCTGATGGTTAACCCGGAGATATCGTCGGTGGGCGATGTACGACTCATTGCGACCGGAGATGCGACCGGAGAAGCAACCGAGTTCCGCTGACGTCTAATCTCGAACTATGTCATGGACATGAGTGTTGAACCCATCACCCACTCCTAAGGGCCCCCTTTCCCCTTTGAGCTTGAAGATCGTCCCACGCGGTACAAATACGTCCACATTGACCCGAACTTTCTCTTCGCGTTTCAGAAACAGTTTCACTGGGACTTTTAGAAACAGAACAATGTCGACGATTGTTCAGAACCCTAAGACGAAGTCTTTGGAGACTAGACTGTTCATCAATGGAAAAGTATGTCTACAATCTACTCTACTTAGCTTTAACCAACCACGGACTCATTTTCATCAAGTTCGTTGACGCATCTGATGGGGGTAAATTCGACTTGATTTCCCCTAGTACCGGCGAGAAATTTGTTGAGGGTAATCTAGCACAAAGAGCGCTGCAATTGCGTACCCACAGTCTAACGTTGTCGTCCAGTCTCCGAAGCAACCGAACAAGACACCAATGCGGCCGTTGCTGCCGCTAAAGCTGCGTTCCCGGCTTGGTCTGCTCTAAGCCCACAGCAGAGGGGAGTTTACTTCAAGAAGCTAGCTGCCCTCATCAGGGAATCTCACGATGAACTCGCCGAGCTCGAAGCATTATCAATGGGCCGTCCTGTCTCAGCTTACTTTGAATCCTTTGTGGCGGCCCAGACCCTGGACCATTTTTCCGAGGCGGGGTATCAGGCTATGGGTACATCGAGTTTGAATAGTAATGGATATGTTAATATGACGATGAGACAGCCTTATGGGGTTGTTGGAGCTATTATTCCTTGGAATGTGCCCGTTGGGTTCTTGATCAACAAGTCTGCTCCGGCTTTGATAGCAGGGAACACAATCGTTGTGAAGAGCAGTGAGAAGGCTCCATTGACTGTGGGTTACGGTATTCCGAAGCAAAACGAAACTATTTTCATCGTACTAACCATGAACCCAGTCTGCAAAAGTGGCTACACTGATCGAGAAGGTCGGCTTCCCACCTGGAGTCTTCAACATCATCTCAGGCCATGGTCCTGTCTCTGGAAGCGTACTATCTCACCATATGGACGTTCGTGTCTTGAGCTTCACAGGTTCAAGCAGAACCGGACGCCTAATTCAAGAGGCAGCCGCCAAGTCTAATCTGAAGAATATCCTCCTCGAATTAGGCGGCAAATCGCCCGCCATTATCTTCCCAGACTGCAATATCGACAAGGCCGTTAGGCAGACTAAATTCTCCATCCAGTTCAATAGCGGCCAAACTTGCATGGGGAACTCCAGAATCTATGTGCATGAAGCGATTGCGGATACCTTTCTTGAAAAATTCCACAAGGCCTTTGTTGTTGAGAGTGGCGACCCATTGTTACCGGGCACAAATCATGGTCCGCAGGCAGACGTGCTTCAGTACAACCAGGTCCAGAAGTATATCGAGGAAGGGAAGAAGGTGGCTAAGATGACGCTTGGAGAGGTTCCAATAGGACACAAGAATGGATTCTTTGTCCAACCAACTGTGTTCGTTAATACGCCAGAGGACGCTAAGATCATGAAAGAGGAGATTTTCGGGCCAGTTGTCTGCATCAATACGTTCTCCAGCGAGGATGAGGTTATCGCCAAGGCGAACGATACCGAGTATGGTCTTTATGCTGCAGTCTACACCAAGGACATCTCCCGGGCCCTTAGAATGGCTAAGAAGCTGGAGGCCGGTAGTGTTGGTGTCAACTGCACAAGCCCAACTAATTTCCCGGATATGCCTTTTGGTGGATACAAGGCAAGTGGAATCGGACGCGAGGGATGGAATGAATGCCTGGACCATTTCCTGGAGACAAAGGCTGTCATGATTGAAGTGGATGATGAATAGGCAAGGTAGATAGAAAAATAAATGTGATTATGATGTATTGAATAAGGCGTTTTAGGGCTCTATGCACTCGATTAGCTCCCTAGTCGACTACCTAGGGGGGTAGTCGTCCGAAGTTGAATATCGAGCTTTGAAATGACCCGTTCTGGCTCATATCGTACTAGACTAGCTACGGCGAAAGCATTTTGGATAGTCGCTGGTTTAAAGCTGCGTGGGCCTATAGGAAAACATTAAGGAAATCAAGCTTATCGATATGATTGACTCCTGCTCGCATTTTGTACCGACGAGAATACTACGATTTGAGCTCGTCGTGGCGCTTAGTATAGTTATAAACCTAATTCATTCTAAATGTCTGACTACTATGCTCTAGTAACAGAATACATATTAGCCATATCCCTTACTATACTAGGTCGGGGAGCTAATCCACGCGTTTCTATAGAAAGTATCCACTATAGGAGCGATTGCTCTTTAGTTATAGTCAATTTATGATTATTAGCGCGGGTCTTAGGCCGAAAGGGTTAGCCATTGCATCGATGTTAGAGCGTTGCGCGAGGTACTTCAAATCAGCGCGTAGCTTCGCAAATCGTTAGAATTTCTTTGTTCTGATAGAATTGTATCGCGAGCTAGATCCTACTCTCTTGCTCAATAAAATTTCTTGAATTTTGTCTGCGATTTGGGGGCATGATTAGTGGTTAAAATGCTGAAGTTGACGCGTTGGGGCGCAATCGCGTTTCCTGACCCGCTCGCTTGTGAATTACGTTACCGTAAGAGTACACCAGGCCCGCTCAAATTTGAAGTATTGGCCCCCAATGTTTCTCAAAGATCTGCATTGCTGCTTATAATATACACGCGTCATTTTGAGCCGGGGAAAGAAAAATCACCCAAAAGGGAAATGAATAAGATAAAATAAAAAAAAAAACGAAAAAGGAAAATCGTAGAAAAAAAAGCCCCCACTTCCAGAACTGAGCCCTTGCAAGGTTACATGAGAGCAACATTAAATACCACGCCCCGTAGCCGACATTGAGGAATCAAACTTTTTCTTCGTTCAATTCAGGCGTTCTTCTTTTCTCCCGTAAACATTTTCGCTTTCTTGTCCCCTATCCCAAGAAGCTTTTATTGGAATCTCCTGTTAAGCAACAATCTGACTTCGTCGTTAAAACAATAGATGCAATGAAAAGTATGAACCCCATTGCAATTATTATACAACCATCCGCCCTGAAACCGACACCATTTGCGGGGTTGGCGAGTGGTCTATGTGCACTTTCTGCTCTTGTTATTGCGCTCAGGGTTTGGACAAATTACAATCATAACAAGCTCTACGTTGACGATCGTAAGTTGTACTTTTGTGGTTTCAACTGGAACGGGTTTTGCTAACCAAAGCTATCTTGGCAGACTTGAGTGTGATCTCACTTCTCTTTCTTATATTGAATTCTGTCGCGTTCTGCTTGCTGGTCGACGGTACGAATCTCACCAATCTGTGATACGAGCCCTACGCAGGCACTAACCCATTACGAAAAAGTGTTCAACTCGAATCCCAATGATGTAACGATCCAGCAATTTACAAAGGTATGGTTGTGAATTCACGTTGTTGCTTTCCGAGGCTGTTTACTAACTTTTTCTTGTAGCTTGCTGCGGTTGGAATAGCCTCAGCCAATTGCGCAATTTATAGCGCGAAGTTACCTCTGCTCTTTTTGCTCATGCGGACCTTTGGTATCAAGAAATGGTTACGCTGGGCGTGTATATTTCTCATGATCTTCGGTACTTTGGGCGGTTTGATCACCCTACTATATGCTAGCATCGAATGCAGCCCGGATCTTCACGCTAACACGACGCCATTCCTATTCTCCTGTGTCAACGCTATCACCGATGCAACGATTGCGCGTGGTTCAATATCTCTAGCCATTGATGTTGTAGTCTTCGTTCTCCCGATTCCCGTCATCGTGAATCTTAATATGCCCCTTCGTCGGAAAATTGGATTAGGATTTGCCTTTGCCACAGGCCTTCTGTGAGCCTAGTACTTGCCTTCTGGTTGATTTACGTGCGCGAATATGCTGACCATTATTCTTGACAGTGCCATTACCGTTAGTGCATTGTGTTTATATTTTCAGGATGCGATGTCTCAGGGATCCTCTACTAACTTTACCAATGCCGAGCTTGTCACGTACGTTGATCCATGCCAGTTACCTGCTTCAAGTCCCTAACTGACAGCCACATTCAGCATTATTGAAGCTGCTGTTGTCCTGATGGTCAGCTGTACGCCCGCTATTCACCTATGCTGGACTAAATATGCCGGTTTCGGGCGCAAGAGTCTCGGACTGAGCTCGGTATCCTCAGAGAACAAGTCCGAGCCTTGGGGATCAAAAAGGGGAAGAAGTATGACCTCGGATATGAATCGTATCAAGATCGGTGCAAATCAATACTTTGAACTAGAGGAAAGCACGGAATCGGGGATGCGGCCGTACGAAGCGAGGGCGTACGGTGCTGAACAAGACGTGTGAATTGTGTAATCAATCAATCATGAGTACTACGTTCAGTTCTTTTTATATATTGAACAAAAACCATAAAAGGACGCGGTTTCAATATAGCAAGAACACAATACTTTGATTTAACGGTTCTTCGAGATCTTCGATTCTTCATAATTCTCTTCGCTGTGTTGATAATGCCATCAGTGGTGGTTCCCCTGGGCCAGAGCAAAGTCTCCCAAGCGCAAAGGCAAGAATCAGATGGATCGATGAAACTGCAACAATCCTGTAAAACATGCATTTGTCCCAACCAAGGGCACAGTCATGATCTGGCGCTCTAACCTGGACTAAGTGCACTGCGTTAGCGGCTTTGGGTTTACATTGAAGATGTCAATTTGACCTTTGCGCTAATCTCACATTAAACAAATGCACAACCACATAATTCTGAACTCAGAAAGCTCAAAGCAATATAAAGTGTCATATGTTGTCAATATTAAGCCTTTTTGTTGATCCATAATGCCTTAAAGGAAGGAGGGCTCTCTCCACTTATCTACTCCCACGCATTCTCCCCTAGAATCGCTACGCGCACGACGCGTGGGTCGGCCGGCGCGCCCTAATTAACTTTATTGATGATCATTCATCGAGTTTGTTTACGATGGACCCAATTGACGCGCGACCTATTGATACCTCAACCACCCTATTGTCTTCCTTCTTTTTCTTCTTCTTCTCCTCCTCACTAGTCTCCTACTCTTAGCTATGTGAACGGCGTCGTCCCTAACACCGCCCTTTCTCGCTTGGCGTGTCAACCCCAACAGAAGTCGCAAGTCGCGATGGAGCATTTTCGCTATCTGCTAGAATATCAGGTGTTAGTATGCAAGCCCTGCGGTCATGCCGTCCCACCTGCCCACCTTAGTACGCGTCTTAAAGGTCACCGCAAAGAATGGCCGAGCCTTAACTCAGCTACGGCAGTCTCTCGGCTGGAGAAACAACTCGAGGAATTCTCTTTGGCCGAACCCTCTCAGCAGCAGATCCAGGTTCCATCCCCTTCCTCCTTGGCCTTGCCCGGCCTACCAGTAGAGCAGGGTCTCGGATGCACGCAATGTCCATTTGTGACTCGCTCTGAGGGTTGGATGGAAAAACATGTCCGGACCCATCAGCTCACCCCACGACGGCAAGGTCGACCCCAGAAGACTACCGCCACTATTGCATTAGCGCAGCCGAGGGCGGGTTCAGATCTCTGGGAAAAGGTCTACTCCGAGTGCTTCTTCCTCTCAGGCCCCCAAAGTCGATTCTTTCGGGTCGCTCCGCCTCTTGAACCTACCACGGTAGACCCGGTTGATCCTATTCGCGCCCAGATCTACGAGCAGATCTAGCAATGTGAGCAGAAGTGAGAGCAGTAGAGTCAGATCATCACTACGGATCGTGACTATAGTGAGGCTAGCCCTTGGTTAGACAAGACTTGGTGGCGTGACTATACCAAGGGCTATACCTTCACAGAACTAGTCGCGCTCGAATACATGCCCAATCCAGTGCAAGAGCCTATACTGCAGCTATGGACGGAGAGCCTAGACGCCGTTGTGGACTAGGCCATCCGGTCGGTGGCCGACCACCGTGTGAATGCATTTGACCACGCCCGTATCAACAGCTTCGTTGATGATGCCTGCCGACGACCTAGCCATCGGCCGATCTTCTATCATCTCCAGCCCTCCACCAACACGCGGTATCGGCGGATCTAGAAGCGCGTTCTCTGCTTCGTGTATCGCACGGCCAGCCGAATCAGTCAATACGCATCGTCTCGCCGCCCTGTTTATGCCAGTCAGTTCTAGCTAGTTGTTTCGTCGTCATCCTCAGGCTCGCAGTAGCAGAACTGTCCGGGGAGACCTAAAGCCCTCATAGCTATGAAGCTGCATCTGATTCTAGAATTGTCCTTGAGACTTTCCATCTTCCTTATCAAGCCTAGTCGTTACTTCACTTCTGCTTACGCTTTCTTCTATACGATTCGGTACGCCTTATATGGTTTGCCCTGCCATTGGAATTGAGCAAGTTGCCACGAACTACAGGTGGGTATTCATGATGCAACGGTAGCTTTATGATTTACTCAAGGCTAAAATTCCATCAAGGTGCTCTCATCAACTTAACCCCTTCTGATGAAGTTGGCACCTCTTATACAGCCACACATGAGCGTCTCGTCCTTTTGACGCAGATCAAGGAGAAATTGGCGATAATGTCGAAGAGTTTGATTGGGACTTCGGCCCGGTTAACATGGGTCATACTGTAAATCACATTTCCACGCGGAGCTTCATTAATATATGTTATTGCCTTGACGGTACAATCGACAAGAATGACTATGACCTCACAGCGACTCCATGCTACGTTGGCATCCAAGCTGGGGAGCTCCATGGAAACCTGAAAGATGGATTATATCTCAAAAGGGAATCCAACGGTTTTACCTTAAGAACGGATGAGCTGTGGACTCATATCAATGTTAAGATCACGTTCAACGGGAGCTTTAGCGGAGTCTACAGACCATTTTCCGTCTAGTTCAGCGTCAATAGGCAACCTGAGAATTGCAATGATATTACCGAAGTTGTTCAGTTCCTTATAGTTAATTTATGCCTAAACCGCCTGGTCCGAAGAAACCAGTCGACCAGCGGTGACCATCGGCGGCGACTTATATCTCAACATAATTGTTATAGGTTGGACCTGTTGTGAGGTTATTCAGGATTTATATCGCATGACGTCAGGTGCTACTTACGTGTATTTACCCCGCTCTGGTTTTATAAGTTCAAACGAACCATGGTTTCGGACTGAATCTGGCAAGAATCAGTGTGTCTTTGTGCCCACTGAATCACCTTCATCTTCTAAGTTCAATTACGACCGACTAGTACTAGTCATCTAAGTACATGCAAGAAAAGAAAAAAATCCCTAGGAATTACATACCCTCAGCGCTCTGTATACTTGGTCATTGGGCCATACGTCAAAGTAAATCGCCGAAGACCAGGGCCGACAAAATACATGAGCAAAGTGAACGACAGGATAATATAAGCAACGCCAACTAGCTCTCCGAAGGCATTCTTTAACCCTTGGCTTTCGAACCATTTGGAAATGTAAGTGGAGATGAGGCAGACGATAACGTTTCGAAGAACGAATACGATCACGATGGTTTCCCCAGCGACCTGTTTTGAATCAATGCTATATTAGTCATGCCATTACTTGATCGTACTATAAGGAAGATTCCACTCACCGGGCGATAGGCATCTACCACGTAGGTTACGGCGATATTCGCAGCAGCCGTCGCACCGAATCCTTGCATGCCATATCCGATGGCGGCACCAGCCCAAGGTTTCCCTGTCGCAATCACTAGTCCAAAGGTCAACAAACCCATCGGTCCGATTACAGCCGGTATCATCATCGCCGGAAGTCTATACTCCGGCTCTACATGCTCGCCATGGCGCTTGGTAGCGCGAGTGGCGATCCAGTCAATGAGCCAACCACCAAAGAAGAAGCTGAGCAGAGAACCCGTGAAGCCAGAGAGGGACAGCAGTCCAACGCTATGCAGTGGCCAGGAGTAGGGAGGAGCCGTAAAGGTTTGGGAAGCTGTGAGCTGGATCGCAATATTGCTTGTATCCATAGTCAGCAACAGCGTGTAATTCATCTCTTGTAATTCATATCCAAAACTCACCACCCGATAAACAGTCCCACAGTCAGTCCGCTGAACCAGATAGGAGGATAAGCTATGAGCTGTACGGTCTCGAGCACCCATTTGAAGAAGGACGCGTCCCGGTCGATGCCTGTGGTTAGGGACATTGAAGCAGCCCAGCTTTTCTTTGGCGCATACGTCTCAGCGGATCGATCGAGTTCTCGTACACCGTTAGGAACAATATAAGCCGTTTCTTTGACAAGTAGAACTGCGAGAATGAAGGTCGCACCCGAAACGATGGCCATTATACCGCACATCCAGGCCCAGCCCAAGTACTGGGTGATGTAGGCGTTAATGAAGGGCCCGAGAAAGGCGCCTGACGATATAGCAATATTGAAAATCATCAAGGTACGGCCCCGCTCGTGAAAAAAAAAAAGGTCCGCCGCTACGCTAGACACAGGGGCGTCTGAAGCAGCGGTCAAGAAACCACCGACTAGTCGCGATGCCAGGAGATTACCGTACGATTTGGAAAAGTAGCTCCAGATGTTAGTGGTGCACAGGAAGAGGATTGACAGAAGGTACACGGGACGTTTGCCAATTTTTCTGGACATGGGCATCTGCAGCAAGATGGTTAACGCAGGTGGTGAATGTGTAGATGCGAGAGGAATCTCACCCAAAACGCAGCACCAAAACCCATCGCAAGTACCTGCAGCGATGCTAATAGCACATTAGTGCCAAAAAAGAGAGACCGCGGGTAATGATTGGAATTGTAGAAGGCTTACTCAAGTAGCTTGCTTCTGTCGGTGTCTTGCCAAATTCCTCAACGATTGACTTGACGGCAACCGTGAACGCAGAAGAGTTCATGAACGCCAGGAAGGTGAACCAGCAGAGGACGAGATATGTCGCATACTTCTCCCATTGCGGCAAATTCTATGTCTGTTAGCACAATTAGGTCGCCTCTTTGCAGTTATTATTTACCAATGGCTCATTTGGGTCATTAGTCGGCTGAGGGCGTAAGACGACACCGGACTTGGACATCCTGCCCATGACAATGTTTTGGTCGGCGAACTCGCCATGAGGGTGCTGAACCTTCTCGGCTTCCTCGGCCATAACGTTGTCGCGAAACCTGTCTTTTGCGAAGGATAGTTAACCCGAGACTAAACGACGATTGTGTAAGAGAAATAAGGTAGGAAGACCAGTTCAACTTTTACCTTTCAAGTCCGATTATCCGTCTAGTCGGGTTCCAGCTAAGCGTGCTGTCTAGTGCTTACGATGCAATGGAGGGGTGCGCATGACTAATACGAAGTAAATACACCTGGGGTATTCAACAAAATCCTGGAGTACGCGCTACCTGTTAATCGGAGCTCCGCACTACCCTAGGGCTCGCGGGGATAACGACAAGGCTTAATTTTCGGTTTTGCACCACTCGGGGAGCGGGGATTAGGTCTAGGAGAAAAATGTGGGGATGGCGGAAGCTCCGCACGGGGAGATAACGAAAATGCCGTTTTTCCGGTTTTGCACTGAGTTGGGAACGGGGATTAGGCTCACGCGAGAAATGGCGGGAAATAGCTGGTGATGAGACGGATGAGACTTTTCCCCGGGAATAATAAATTGGGCAGGCTCATTTATGACCTTCAACAGTCCGAGTGTGTCGCTTGCGAGTTCACGTTCCGCCATGGGGTCCCACAAAGTTCCTATCACCTTTGCAGGTCTGCTGTACGACCGTTTCCAGCCGCTGCAGTCAGGTGAGGTCGTGCCAGAAGGCGTCAATCTTAATTTCCTGGCTCTCCATCACCCACGAGATATCTTTGATCGGATGGCCGGGGGCAAAGAGTTTGATGCGTCCGAACTCAGTCTCAGCGAATATATTTGCCGATACGCGATGGGTCTCCGCGATTTTGTTGCGATACCAGTGTTTCCATCCAGAGCGTTTCGGCATGGGTACATTGCAGTGAACAGTACTATTGTCAAAGAACCGAAGGATTTGAATGGCAAAAAAATTGGGGTCCCGCTTTACACCATGACGGCTGCAGTTTGGATTCGCTCAGTGCTCAAGCAACATGGCGTCGATCTTGACAGCGTACGTTGGGTCCAGGGCTCCTTTATGAGCGCCGAAGGATATGGTAAACCGGCAGCGATGCCCCTGGTAGAGCCTGTGAACATCACACGGAACAATAGCGGCAAGTCGCTGAGCCAGATGTTGGAGGACGGCGATATCGCTGCAACGATCGGGGCGGACCTTCCGCCGTGTTTTCGTACTGCGGAGCATGTTAGAAGGCTATTTCCTGATTTCAAGGACGTGGAGAAGACATACTTTAAGGAGAAAGGTGTCTTCCCTATTATGCATACGGTGGTCGTGAAGCGGGAGCTCGTCGACAAGTATCCTTGGCTACCGTCAAGTCTCTTCAACGCTTTCAATGATGCAAAGGAGGTCGCGAGGGCCCGTATGCGCTTTCTGGATGCTCTAAGATATATGCTGCCGTGGCTGGCTGCCGAAGTCGACGAAATCGACCAGATCTTCGGAGGTGATGCTTGGGTTTACGGTGTCGAGCCGAACCGCAAAACGCTCGAGACTATTGTTGATGCTCTATACGACCAGGCAATGATAAGCAGTAAACCCACCCTGGAGGAGCTCTTTGCTCCTATCCGGGGCCAAAATTGGAAGGTTGGCTGGGGAACGACGTCCCCAAAGCCTTCGCAGTGATGGGCGAGAGAGTTCACGACTGGTGGGCCAGGTGTAATGATTCCGATCCGTCGGAATGCTACAGTCAATTTAATAGAATTATACAATACCGTACGCGTTGCATATTACGGCGTTCCTCAGTTTAATTATGGCAACTTAAATGATTGATCTGGGCTAAGGGCTTGGCGGCGGGGCCAGAAAAGAGTGTGTTTTGGTCAAGGCGATTTCGAGAAAGCCTGTATGTGGTATAGCAACTCAGCCGGAAGGGAAATAATGTCCGTTGACGAGTGTTCTTCATCCCCTTCGCAAATGTTTCGTACATGTAGTTGATTTTTTACCTTCGATTGAAAATTATCAAATGGCGGGGCCTCCTCCATTCCCGACAAGGACATGCTGCCTTCTCAAGTTTCCGATTGGCCTTGTCAAAGAGGTTAACCGAAATTTGGAAAGTCTGCGTTAACTAATGTATGGTGCAGGGTATTTTAACGAATCTGGATTGCTAGTCTCTTCAAAGGGATCTAGAGGACCTGTGACATATATTTTGCACCGAAGACCGTGGCGTTGAAACATGTGGCATGGCCTTGCCCTTTTCAAATTTAACAAAGTCGTCAGATTTAGCGGACCATCAAATATCAGACTCTCGGTAACACTAATTCTTCGCTGAAAACTCTCAATAATATTATGGTCTTATCTAGCGGGTCGGGTTCCGAATACTGGGTCTTCAGGAAGTCAAGCGTCTTCTCTTTTTTCAAACTGTTCTCACCCCTGTGCAGTCAAGTAGTACCAAATTTAGATCTTTCCAAAAAAAAAAAAAAAAAAATGCGCCAGTTTCAAATGCTTTCAACACTGCCACTTGCTCAGCCCACTGGCAGAGAACATGTATTTTGAGCGACTGATGCAGTCGGTGTTGTGGATTACATTGTCCTAGTGAGCTGGCGAGTAGACTTGTGTGCTTATTAGCGAGTGGGCAGGTGGACTATAGAGACGAAGGCGGGAGCTATCTCTCCTCGTGTTTCCTCTGTTACAAGTATTACTTCTATTCTTGGCAGCCGTAGGTTAGCAGCCACTATAACGAATTCATCATCATCATGAGTCCGACAAGATAGTCAATGGAAATTGAGGTCTCTGAGGAAGCTTGGCTTCAGGGCTACCTATATTCAGAGATCGATACCGGACCCCAGATTTTGAGGGAAAAGAGAGCCGATTTTATAGCCAGTATTTCGGAAAGTGTCCCACCGGAGTCTGTAACCTCTTAGGGAGTGCTCAGGGTACGCTCATAGTTGTACAGAACATTGACGAAAATCTCGTTCTATCAAGGTGCTCAATTAGAAGCCATAATGATCTCTATCCCAAGTTGAGATGGTGTCGGTGGTTTGGTCCAGGCTGCCGAACTGTTGAGAAAAGAATGTAATTCGAGCACAGGACCTACAGATATTTGAGCGTGAAAGCGATTACGGCGGTGTCTGGCAAGGAGCTACGTATCCCGGAGCTGCTTGCGATGTACTCAGCTGCACGTACCAAATTAGTTGGCATCGAAATCCAGGTATGGTATTCTAGTGCGTGACTTGTTAATTTTCCGCCCCGAGATGCTCTCGCGATTTGGGCTGACGCTTGCGCTTTCAGACTGGGATTCTCTCTTCCCCACAGGCCCAGAGCTCGTTCGATACTACAAAAGTTCGCCGAATTCTACGGGCTTCCTGGTTGCACTCTGTTCGGTCAACCAGTCATGCACTGTACATGGTCCGAAGACAATTGCTATGGATCGTGGATGTGTAGGATGTGGACGAAGTGGACAGCCCAAATTTTGATACAGGCTGCAGGCACTTACAACCGCAAAGTCATTCCTCCAATACCAGGAATTAACACCTTCAAGGGAGAGGCGTGGCACACTGCTGACAGGCCTGAGCATTACGACTTTACAGGCAAAACTGTTGCATATGTAGCCACTGGGCCGACGTCTGTCCAGGTTCTCCCACACCTCCAATCCTAGGCCGCATCGATGTACGTGTTCTGCAGGAGCATGACATATTGCCATCCATTTATCAACCCCACCTATCCGAATTGGATGAAGTTGGCATTCCAGTGGATCCTTGGCCTATCTCGTTATACGCTTTAGTGGTCGGATCCCTGTTTGGTGTCCGGGCCTACTTTGTTTTCAGGCCCGTGACGTGGGTTGCAAGGTGCGAAGAACGCTATTGCCGTCACGTCCTGAAGAAGCGCGTCTCTGATCCAGCCCTGCGGCAAAAGCTCACCCCAACAGGTCGCTTTGGATCCAAAAGACCCCTAGTTTCTTTATCAGGGTTTTTTGAGGTGTTCCAAAAGGACAATGTTAACGTGATCAGCAATCCAGTAACCGCAATAGACGCTTCCAGCGTGATAACGAAGGCACCCAATGTCGAGGATGCGGTGATTCAGATCGATGATGGAGTTGCCAGTCATTATGGTGCGGCCACGCTGCAGCCGGAAGCCGATAGCACACACATCCAGGCAGATGTGCTCATTTGGGGCACGGGTTTCGAGATGCAGAGATGGGGAGGAGCAGTGCCAACAATCGGGCGTTCCGGCAAGGCGCTCAGTGAGCATTGGGAATAGTATCCGAAGACACTGTATGGTAAGTTTGCTTACTTTTCTATTTCACCAATATTATAGTATTATACGTTGACCGAGATCATGATAGGGACAATGACAAGCTCTTTCCCAAACTTATTTCTCGTTAATGGCCCGAACACCACCACTCCTTAGTCAAGCTTGATTCGAGGACTGGGGAATGACGCAGTACACAACTTAGAAATCATCCGGCATACCCGCCTCCAAATGTCAGGCCCTCACCGGAGAGCGGTGAGGGCCTGACATTTGGAGGCGGGATCCGCAAACAATCGGCAGATTCTTCTATGTACGCCTTGCAGCCCAATCTTGAAAAAGAAGCGGAATGGACCAAGTCGATGCAGTCGGAACTCGATAAATTGTCTACTAGTCCCAAGTACGGGCCTGCATTTTACTATCTCAACGCGAGCGGGCGTAACACATTTTTCTGGCCATGGTCGCAGCAATACTGTTGGTGGAAAACCAGAAGGGTTGACATCTCAGACTTTAGTGAAATCAAGGTTAGGATTGCGATGGAGACCGAGGGAGACAATAGTGGTGTCAAGATCTTGACCTGACATGCAGGCAAACTCCATCTGCAGGCAAACGCTGGCTATTTCTGTTCTTTGCCTGTATCAGGTATGTCAGGCTGGATAATCCTTTACCTCCTTGTTTCTCTTCCTTCCCATGCCAGCTGCCTTGCTAGTTGAATCAAGACTTCATTTTCTTCTTCCTAAATTGGGTTCTTGACAATTGGGACAAGTTGGCGTCTGATCAGAGAGCTACAGGCTAACGATATATGGCCCGAGTCACTACAGACCCAGCCCAAAACCCCGGCTATTATCCTGGTAAGATGGTAGCTATTCCCTCCAGGCTTCAGAAACGTATATAGACACCGGGACGGCGCCAATTCGAGGCATCGCAGGTTTTTACCAAGCCAGGCCAGCTAGGAAAGGTTTCCTCGGCGAGCTTTATGTTGATAGAAGGACCGCATGACCGGTCTAGGCACAGCGTGATAAGAGTAATAATAATAGTGAACCAAGGTTCTATGAAGGGCTGAGTCGAGTTGAGGTGCTAACTGAAGAGGCCGAATGCAACTTACTACATCCCCCTAAGAAACTAGGCGTAGTTTTAGGATCCCTATAACCACTCTTGAACGGGGGAATAACGGCTTAAGTCTTAGAGGCCGTACGGGACGGTCGATAGGATCCACCCTCCTCAATTCTAAGTGTCGTCGGCAAGCCAGCTTCCTACTAGAACGTGGGCCGCCGCGCCCACGCCCCAGGAAGCCCTAGGGCCCCCGCGCGTACTGCACCAACACCGCCCCCCCTTTTTCACCGGATGGGAAATTAGGTAATGGCATGTCTGACGAGGCTCTAACTTTGACTCTAGGAACGGTTACAGTACGTTCTGCCAGTAGCGGCAATGCAAGCCTTTTTGCGCCCCTAAGCAAACGGAAGGTAAGAGCTTGGTCGACTCTTACCCTGCAGGCACTTGTTTGGAGTTCTAAAACCGGCACAATAATAACTATTCACTAAACTGATTCGGTACAGGTAATTTCATGATCGAAAACATATCATATCCGACTTCATACTAAACGTTCAGGTAATCCCAGCTAACTAGCTTATTTGTAGAAGTCGGCGTGGTCACGCTTGATGGCATCGGCACCCTTCTCACCGATCATGTACACGGAGTTCTGGATCCGGCAGTCGGGAATGACAGGGATGACAGATGCGTCAATCACACGGAGGTTTTTGACGCCGTGGACCTTGAGGTTGGGGTCGACCACACCCTGCTGGATGCTCTTAGACAGGCGGGCAGTACCGCAAGGGTGGAAGGAAGTCTGGGAGCGGTCGAGCACGGTCCTCTTCATGAGCTTGTTATCGTGCAGCGGCATCTCCCAGGGGTACTCCCCCTCAATGATATCTTTGAAGCCCTCGCCGTTCTTCAGGACATCGTAGGCAAATCTGATACCTTCGCGGATGGCGATGATGTCGAGGTCGTTGTTAAAGTAGTTCAGGTTGATGTTGGGTTGCTGCAACGGGTCGGCGCTGTTAAGGGTGACCTCACCGGGGTCGGAGACAGGGCGGACAAGGTCTACCATAACGGTCATGTAGTTGCCCTTGCTCGGTGTAGGGTAGTGCCACTGGAACGCGCTGCCGAAAAGACAGACGAAGTCGAGCTCAAAGTGGGGCTGGCCGTACGGGCAGAATGGGTCCTTATTGCCGTTCGAGGCCTTGGCCTCGCGGTACTGGGGGTCCTTTTCCAAGTACTTGTCGATTCGGGGGAATCCGACCATCTCAAGGAATCCGGAGCCCAATGGACCGCTGTAATTGCTCTGGTAGGCTTGGATGGCCTGGTTGTTCTGGGAGGTTCCCTTGCGCAGGACGTAGTCATCCATACCGAAGCCGTCTTTAACGCGAAGGACGAAAGGAACACCAGGGTGATCCAGGAGATGCTGACCGACGTGGAGGTTGTCAACAATCACCGGAATGCCGTGCTTCTTGAGTTCTGCGGTAGGCCCGATACCACTAAGCATCAACAGCTTAGGGGTCTCGAAGACACCCTGGGAGACAATGACTTCACGGGTCGCATACAGGTTTAGTTCCTGGCCCGAGCCCGTGATGACAGTCACCCCCTTACAGGTCTTATCCGCATTGTCGATGATAAGCTTCTTCGAGTGTACCTGGGGAAGGATGGTGATGTTTGGCTTGTCAGAGACACAAAGGAAACTGCCAGAGCGACGACCCTTGTAAATCGAGTTGACACTGTGGGTTAGGCCAACCATTTGACCGTCGAAGATGTTCTCGTTGATTGGCTGACCAGTTGACTTCCACGCCTTGGTGAGGAGGTCACGGAAAGGCCGCATCTCGGGAATAAGTTCCGAGTGGGAAATTGGGATCGGACCGTTTTGGCCGATCTTCTTCAATTCTGGCGAGTATGCCCTCTCATCATCATGGTAGGTCGCACTCTTCCGTAGGTAGGGAACTAGCGAGTTCCAAGTCCACTCCTTTCCACCGTACTCCTCCCACAGATCAAAGGTACCCTTGGATCCAGGAACCCAAGTGAAGTAGTTCAGGGATGAACTACCACCAAGGGCCTTGCCGCGGGTGTTGGGCTTCTCAATACGCTCGTAGTCGTCTCGCTTGACCATGGTTGTCTTGTAGGCCCAGTCATACTGGCTGTCACGGAGCTCCATAGCTTCCGAAGGAGTTCTGATCTCTTCGATGTCTTTCGAATTGGCAACACCGGCTTCAACAACTAAGATCTTAGTGTTGGGGTTCTCGGCCAGGCGGCCAGCAACAACATTGCCGGCAGTACCGCCACCGACGATAATAAAGTCGAATCTAGCATTGTCCTGGACAGACATGTTGAAGGGAGGACAATTTATAAAGACAGTGAAAGTGGTTGAAGAGTTTTGAAAGAGACACGAGGATGGCTTGCTCAATTCACAAAAGTAACGACTTCTACAAGCCTTTTATAGCTGAGGTGGTGGGCTTTCTGGGAGAGGCCCCATGCAATATAGAAGACACGGATCATACTTTCTGGCCCCTCAGTGATCGTCATCGATTTGGAGGCAAGCAGCAAAGCAGCGGCTCCACGATTATAGAAACCTACACTTGTCTAATAATTCCCCATTGGTCTCGTAGTCTTTCCATATTGGGTTGCATGAGTATGAGTTGCACGGGTTGTGAGTCCCACACCAGGCACTATCTTGCATTCTCACCCGTGCCACGTACCCCAAGACGTCAACACTTCTGCAATTAGATTACTCGAACTGGTAGTATTTTGCTGGCTGGCTGGGACTAAAAGAATATATCAAATTCATATTGCAGTTATCCATCTCGAGGCAGAATGCTGAGACGGGGGGTCAGGCCGACAAATTGATAGTGAGAGGCATCGTATATACATCTTCCAAAGCTGCCACCAGCGTCCAAGACGGTCGTAACTCAGGTAGATCTACAGAGGTCCGGGCAGATTTGAAAATCTCCGCACCATCTGGTTGGCTGTTCGAAAGTACGCAGTAGGCATCCTGTCTCCTAGTTTCCACTTAACTGAGGGGAGCGGAGAGCAAAGTCCCATCAATGAATCCGCTGGGCTACCTCAGCATGACATCTGCTGCATCCATGCCTGCAGTCTAGTTGGCAACTAGGTATGGGTTGAATGGACTTGGTTGAACTTTGTATTGCCTTTGGCCGGTTCCATCGAAGCATGCCGACAATAGATCGCAAGCCCCCGGATCTGGAAAATGGCCAGCTCCAAAGATGGCTGATCAAGGCGGTATTCTAGAGCCCAACCAAACTAGAGCTTGAGCTAAAAGGGATTTTCTAAAGCCCTTGCTGGCCACTGTGGAGCCATACCAGAGCGGTTGGAAGCTGAAGAGCGCAGCAGGTTCTACTTGGATGAGGGCCATGTAAGCCAGATCAGAAAATACTGCCTCGCAATTTCCTCGGATTATTTATCCCTGGAACATCTTCTCCTCCTCGGCGTTGGACCCCCGGGGTGTTGTGAAGCGTGAATTGCGCCACCAACACACGCAATAATGCCAAGCTCCAACAAGCTTTTAAGATTTCATGGGTGGTGGGTCCAGATCTGCACTGACCAGATATGGTAGTGGTAGTCAGCCAATCAGACGTCTGCCCTCGGGGTTTAGAGCTTCTAACTACCTAGGTAGGTAGTATGCTCTCTGGGTCGGCTTCTTCCAACAACTTCAGGCTTTGCCCATGGGTACCACCACTGCGCCCGTGCGTCACCTCGTGCGGGGCGGATGAATGTATTGAGTAAGGTGAGGGGTCATCGGCGGTGGACCCTTCCTGGCGGTCGAAGGCAGAGCTCCAATTAGTGCAAGAGTAATACAAAGAGCCAATGCAAATCCAACTCAAATCAAGCACTGCAAGGCGAGCTTTAGTTAAGGTTGAGACTATATAAACTGCACCCCTCGCGAGAGCTCAACCCAGTAACCGCACATATACAATTTTTTTTCTGTCACATCTGACCTCGTATCATTACCCCAACCGCCATTCAGCATGAGCGACGACAAATACTATACCTTGGCCGAAGGTATATACCTTTCCAAACTTTTCTTTGTGCTTGAGTCTCACTATTTATAGGCTGCCCTTTTGCAAGCAACAGAACGGCTGTTCTGATGCGAGGTAGACACGGCGGCGGCCTCGGATTGCTTCAGGATACTCAGCTCATTGAGACCTTGGCTCATTTCTCTCGCGAGAGAATCCCGGAGCGGTAAGTATCTTGTCCAATTGATTGGTTACTTTAAGACCCCTACAGTATACTGACATTGAAACCTTGAATAGAGTTGTTCATGCCAAAGCTGTTGGGTACGCTCTTAAGGCTCCCACGGGAACGTTCTCCAGTTGACACTGTGTAGTTCTTATGGCGAGTTCGAAACCACTCGCGATTGCTCCGACTTCACCTGCGCCAGCTTCCTCAATAAGGTCGGAAAGAAAACACCGGTGCTTCAGCGGGTGTCGACGGTCGGGCCCGAGTCAGGATCTGCTGATACTTCTCGCGACGTACACGGATGGGCAATGAAGTTCTACACGGACGAGGGAAACCTCGACTGGGTTTTCAACAATACGGTATGCGCGGTCGCTGTTCTTTAATGTTTTCAATGATTGATTCCAACTTTTATTACCACCTCAGCCTGTCTTTTTCATTCGCGATCCGATCAAGTTCCCGTCAATGAATCGATCCCACAAGCGGCACCCCCAAACCCATCTTCCTGATGCAAACATGGTAAGTCCTCCCGATTTTAACCTGTGATGAGCAAATCTAATCAGATTCCCAGTTTTGGGAGTATGTTCCTTTCTCCGGCTCCAATTGGTGAATCAAACTCTAATCCAGCTTAGTTTCCACGTCGGCAATCCCGAAGGCATACACCAACTTCTGGTTCTATTCAGCGACCGCGGCACTCCAAAATCGGTTCGCCACATGAATTCGTATAGTGGACATACATATAAGTTCACTAAGGCGGTAGGTGATGATGATTACCAGGTGCTAGAATTTTCTCTCGCTAAGGTTATGTTAGGATGGCTCGTTTAAATACGCCAAAATCCACGTCAAAACGCAGCAAGGGATACAGAATTTCAGCCGCGAAAAAGCTACTGAGATCGCCGGAAATAACCCTGACTATATGATCCAGGACATGTTTGAGGCTATCGAGAGAGGCGACTATCCTGTTTGGAATGTATACGTCCAGCTGATGAGCCCCGAAGAGGCTGAGAAATACGAATGGAATATCTTCGATATGACCAAGGTTTGGTCGCATCAGGATTTCCCACTGCAGCAGATCGGTCGTCTTACTATGAACCGCAATGTGAGTCTTCGTAACCGTTCTCCAATATTCAGTTGCAATGGTTGAACTCGGAACAGCCGCGAAACTATTTCGCAGATATTGAGCAAGCTTCATTTTCGCCATCGACCATGGTTCCGGGATTCGCTGCGTCCGCTGATCCAGGTAAGTTGGGCGAGCCCGTCGATTGTCTTTCCTCGGATTTCCCGAGGCTAACTTGTACCTAAGTGCTACAAGCACGACTCTTCGCATACCCAGACGCGGCCCGTTACCGACTCGGCGTGAACTACCAGCAACTCCCTACCAATGCAGCCAAGGTCCAAGTCTACTGTCCTTTCCAGAGGGATGGAAAGATGCGATTCGACGGCAACTATGGAGGGGACCCTAATTACGTTGGTTCCACGATAAAGCCGACTAAGTTCTATCAAGACGTGAAAGGAACAAACCCTGGAGCATTGAGTCTACACACAGAACATGAAAAGTGGGCGGGAGAGGTTTCGGCGTATACTAGCGAGATCACCGACGCAGATTTTGTCCAGCCCGCAGCATTGTGGGAGGTTATTGGCCGGGAGGATGGTCACCAGGATAGGCTTGTTGACAATCTCGTCTCCAGTCTGAAGGGTGTTAAGTATCCCGAATTGCGAAAAGCTGTCTATAGTGCGTGTCCTCCCAGTATCTTCGAAGAGATCCTTCCACTGCAGTGCAAGTTCTAACGCTGAATATAGTCCTTTTTGGTCGTGTCAACAAGGACCTCGGGTCGAGGTTGCAAGAGCGTACCGAAGAAGCAGTTAACGCCGCGTGAGATCGATCTGCTTCTAGTATTCTGTCAGGATGTCATCATGGCGGATTCATGGGTAAAAGGGTTGTATTGCACGAAACTGCTTTTGATTTTTGACATTCTTAGCATTGTGCGTTGATTTCGCTTACTATGGATTTTGTACTATAAAAGAGATAGCCAGATTATACTCAGAATGCCAGACATCTTCTATCTTATTATTACCACATTACACATTACCGTTGGTGTAATCAGTAGCAAATCAGTTCTCCACCTGGATTCGTCCATTTCTGTTACTCGCCTCCGAAGGCAATGCCAATGCGATAGGATGGTTTGGTTTGATTTGTGTTTTATGGATGATAAATGGCCAATGATAACACCATCTGATGACTACTCAAAGATTGGAAGTTCTTTTTGACAATCCACCGAACAATTGCTCGACAATCGACTACAACGGTGACGGGCCATGGACCGAGGCGTGTGGCGACGGCCTGGGTCCATGGATGTGGCTTTATAATCCACATAATCTGTGCCAAATGACAGACCGTGTTTGGTGAAAGTCAAGCTTCTATTGGATATATCTTGGTGGTATTATACCACTTGGAGCCAAGTCCTGTGGCGCAAGCGTCCCACTGAGCCCAGTGGAATTCCGAATCGCTCTTAGTGTTTTGGGTGGAGCGAGCCCATCACGTGATTTCCATCCCCATCTCGCATTTCGATCCGTCGACTTCGATGTCCCAATAGTACCTCTTCATGGCCCAAAAAGAACAATGTCACCGCGAGTCTCCGTCTCCTCGAGTGGAATATCTCAGTTCACTTTCGTGACGGGGAACACCCAATCGGAAGCTCGGAGCCATGCTATGAAGGAGCACTGGAAGCGGCGACATCTGCGCAATCAGGAGGCGAAGGCATATCACCCGAAGAGATCATCGCGAACTTTGCTTCCGCACTTGAGGAGCGACCATAAAGAAGATGTTTCATCATCAGCAGATGGGAGTAGCTCTTCAAGGTTACAACATGACGGGGACGTGGACGTGGCCGAGAGTCGAGAGAAACATCCCAGCATTTGTGCTCAGCTGCTGTGCGGTGTGAGTTATGCGCTGTCCAGCTCGAGGCCTGACCCGTTCCAGACGTGTCCTGTTCACTTGACGAGCCAGCATCAGAAACTTCTGCATCACTGTGCGTATTAAGATTCGAGACATTGCCGCATGTGGAAATTTTGCTGACGGGGTCGCAGGGATTAGCACCCATGCGGCTATGATGTTCGAAGATCTGAATGTCGCCGAGTTTAACCCGATGAGGGATGTTTGGTTCCCGCTGGACCTTTCGAATGCTTCTTCTTTCAACTGCATCATGGCGCATTCAGCTGCGCACTTATCTCACCTATACGCTGGCACTCCTCCGCGACGAGGAACGAATTCTTCTGATACCTTGAAATATAAGATCGAGGCTGTGAGGATATTACGCGGTTGGCTTGGTGATCCTGCGAAAGAGCTAAGCGATGACTCTTTTGCTGCTGTTGTTCGTCTGCTCACGTTTGAGGTATGTTAGCCAAGTGCGAGTATCTCGTGGGGAAACGGGCTGATCAGCTTTTACTCAGCGATACTGGGGTACAGTGGCAGATTGGAAAATCCACCGTGATGGCTTACAAAGAATGATCGATGCCAAAGGTGGAGTTGAAGCACTTCACGAGAACTGGCGATTGGAACTTGTGGTTTACCTGTGGGTGCAGCTTGCGACAAGTATAAATAGGTTGCGATTCTGACAACTTCTAGTGTCTCGTTAATGTCGCGGCCATCATGGCTCGAGTCCACGAACAACCTCGAACAAATATCTCGTCCTTTTTACTCACCCCCCCTTATGCAACAAGCCCCCTCTCTAGATGTTCAAAAGGTCCGCTGCCTTTGGTTGATATCATTCATTCAAGACATGAGAACGTTCATGGGATCTTTCTACAACAGAGGGCTTTCGTCGTTCCCCTTTACTCATTCGGCAGTCGGACTTTTGCGCCATAGCTTTCAGCTCTGCATTGAGTCTTCTTCCCACGATGCTCACATCACGGAGTGGGAAGACGAAATGCTAGGATGTTTGTTCTCCATCAGTGTCCTAGTACAGGAGTCGATTTCCGCCCTGTCCGACGGGGATTCGATAACACTCACTGGACCGAACCGACTTGATGAATTGGAGATATCCTTAAGGGACTCTCAACATATGTGGGGGCATTCAGTCCACAACTTGCGCTCTATCTTATATGAAAGCCTGACAAGGCTCTTTGAGGAGGGAGAATTCAAGGTGAATTATGTTATGGACCTGGTGCAGGTTCTTGGCACATTGAGTTCGGAAGCGCGCCAGGGAGTCGAGAAATGTCTTCTTAATTTGCTTTACTGCCTCGGGAACAGCAACAACACGTTATCCATAGATGACGGATGGACGCCGGATTCGCTTTTATCGTCAATGCACGGCCATTAGCGCATGCAGACATGAAGCTTCGCATTTACTTTATTAAGTTATCGCGTCAAGAAATAAAATGAACAGACCCCAGTGATAGCAGAATCTCCTAGTAATATCCCCCGGTTGTTCGTGGGGACAATCATAAGAAAAGAAACAGCGCTGAGTAAAGGCAAGAGAATTACATCAAGCCTCCATAGGTCTGACCCTCTTCCTCGAGCTGCTCATCCTCTTTGATGTATTCCTTCAAGCCTGCCTCGCCTTTCTCCAGCTCGGATCGTAGCCCGCCCTCGCCGCCCTGAGGCTTGTCCTTGGCGGCCTGGCCCTCGTCTCCATGTTTGTGATGGTGGTCGAGGATCTTCTCGACGAAGGATTCCTTGTGCTCGGTAGGCTGCTGAGTGTCTACCATCGAGTCTCTGGTCAACATTTGGGAATGGAACATTGAATGAGGGACAAAAGTCACGGACCTTGAGGCATCTTGACCAAGTTTGATAGATCGGTATATGTTCTTGGGTTCCGGATATTAGATGTTACTTGGCTAGAAGATGCTAAGCACTCGTCGTCTACTTTATACCTCCCAATATACTTCCTCGTGCAAATGAAACTGCGGGACGAAACTCGATCTGCCTTCTGAATCCGGTAGCACTAATCGGCCAATCAGAAGACGTACCTGGTATGGCCGAGAGCATGCCGATCCTTGAGACCCGCCGGCTAGGGGTCCACTGGGCACCGCCAACTTGGAGCAGGCGATGTCGAACTTCGAAACACAAGTTGCATGATTGGGCACTCTTACTTTCACTTATAGAACCCCCACCCCCTCTTCTCTACCCTGCAGGGTCTAGGCAACCATGACCAGAACTCAAAATCTCAACTATAGCTCCGTTCCCAATTCTTATTCTCGTTCTCCATTCATCAAACGTAGAGCAGCGCGGCCAAGGCAATTCACCTGCTCATATTTGGATACATGGCCCCCCAACGTATCGAGACTCACAGTCAGAAACCCTCCTGATCCCAAGAGATCAACCCAAGAACCAACCATCAAACTGTCCAAACGAACAATGGGCAGCTTAACCACCGTCAGCGCCCAGGCTGTCACGGCCCCCCTGACCCGATCAGCAACCTTCCTCGTCCTATCCGTCACAAAGCCCTCAGACATCCCAATAATTCGCTCGGCCCTTGCCAGCGTCTCCAGCCTAGCCAAAAATGTCGCCTTCCGAGACCCCGACGCCAACTTCAACTGCACCGTAGGCATCGGCAGCTCCATCTGGGACGAGCTCACCAACCTCCCGCGACCCAAAGAACTACACCCCTTCCGCGAAATCAAGGGCGCCAAACACACCGCTGTCTCCACCCCCGGCGACCTCCTCTTCCATATCCGCTCCGAGCGCCGCGATATCTGCTTCGAGTTCGAGCGCCAGCTCATGGACCGCCTCGGTGGCTCCGTGCAGCTCGTCGACGAAACAGTTGGCTTCCGCTACTTCGACGCCCGCGATCTCCTAGGCTTTGTCGACGGCACCGCGAACCCCGTGGGCCCGGACGTTCCGCTCTCCGTCCTTATCGCGAGCGAGGACGACCCAAATGCTCGGAGCGGCAGCTACGTCGTTGTACAGAAATACGTACACGACCTGGCCGGCTGGAAATGCATACCCGCAGAACAACAAGAGCAGATCATCGGACGGACAAAGCCCGATAACATTGAACTCGACGACGCCAAGGACGGCAATCAGGCCTCGCATAAGACCCTGAACACGATTAAGGATGAAAACGGCGACGAGCATGATATTGTCCGCGATAATATGCCCTTTGGATCGCCGGCGAGTGGGGAGTTCGGGACTTACTTCATTGGGTATACCAACCGGCTGTGGGTTATTGAGAAAATGCTCGAGCGGATGTTTGTGGGGCATCCGCCCGGGTTGCATGATCGATTGTTGGACTTTTCGAGGCCGTTGACTGGGACTGTTTTCTTCGCGCCATCGCCTACGGTGTTGGATGGGCTTGATGGCTGATATAGATATAATGCTGTTTTTAGTCGTTCTCGAGAAATCCCAAGAGGTGAAGTTGTTAGATTGAAAAACAGACAGATAGATATAGGAGTACACTGACTAGGAGTGGTCAGATAGAAATAGGTCTCGCTATGACTAATTAGGTATTGGCAAGAGTGGTTGGGAGAAAGTAAGTCTGGCTACGACTACTCAGTACTAGCCATAAAGGTACATACAAGAAATGAAAGAAATACCCTAGGGATTGTATGCTCCCCCACTAGATCGAAGCTTATCCTAAGTGAGATATTATAAGGTGTGCTAAGCGCCACGTTAGTAGTTGAGATGGGAAGGAAAGGGAGAAGGAGAAGGTTCAGGAAAGAATATAGTAACATATGGTAGATTAGAAGAATTCAAAATAGAAAGGTCCCAAACGAGTATAGTCATAGCCAAATAGTAGGACAAAAGAAATAAAGGAGTATCAGTATAGAATCTTAATTCCAGTAGCACCCAAAGATAAATTCGACCGCCTGAATCGAGCGGAAAGGGAAAAGTCCCAACACAAAACTTTGCTAGCCGACGGACAGAACTAAACTCCCATGGGGTGGAGTGAAAATTACTACAATTGTAGTCAAATTTCAATCGCCAGCTTATACGAGCCCCTGGATTTACGCCTAGAAGTTTCGATAGCCCCTTGAAAATCAGTGTGGTTATTTTGGCGATGGACGTCAGGTGCCCCCCTTGGCGTACCCTATCAAAATAGCCTGATCACCTACAATCCCTACAACCATCAGTTTCCGACTTAAGACCGGGTTTGAATTAAAAATAAGCATATGCATGTTACTCTGGCGTTCTGGCTTTCAAGAACCCATCACGACGGCGGCATGAGAGCAGCCTAACGGCGGGAAAGACAATTGACCACAACAGGCTGTGACGAGGCTCTAAGCTCTGTCGAGAAGCGATACATTCTACATGGACATAAAAGGACACATATAGTTGCGGCAGTCTGCATATTACTTCGGCGAAGGGTTGGGGTAAATGATACACACCCAAAAATACACCGGCTGCGACACAGACACTACACCTCACGCCCTTTCCAACTATCGTTCGCTCGGTTTCCGCTTGCGCAGTGACTAGGGTTCAGACTTATCCGAGCCTGTTTAATATGTTGGTCTACGCCATGAGGTTCTTGTCACCAACGCCCTTTACCTGTACAACGAGTTGCATCTGCTCCTCGGCGGCAGTGACAGTCTCGGACCACCTCCAAGCGGGGACCTTGCGTTCGTATAGCTCGTCGATTTCGCCGGCGGATCGGCTACGTTACGTCAGATTCCAAGCATTCCCATCGTTAAAGATTAAGGCCGTCATACCTTCTGGTCTCTGGGAGGTAGAGCCACATGAGGATACATATTGGTATGGAGAAAGCGCCATAAACGAAGCCGGCCTTGATGCCAAGTGCGAGGAGCATGGGCGGAGTGGCATAGCTACGGAAAGGCGTCAGCTTGGGTGGCTCTGACCCAGCGATGGAGTCGCACAGCACGCACCAAGTAGCAATACCCACGATTGAATTAGTCACAAAAGTAACAGGGCCGGTTTTCACTGCATTCAATGTCAGTGGTGAGACCGATTAATATTTCACTAGAGTCAAAGGGCCAAAAAGAAGTCAGAAACTTGCCTCGAAGAAGGGCAGATGGCAGTTCGGCCGAAAAAAGGTAGTATGACATGATTATAATCTGGACCGCGAAAGTCCAAATGCAGCAGATGACAAGCTGATAGAAGGCACGTCAGCAAAGCACCTGGACTCCTCCAGATTACAACCGTGACGTAATGATAGGGGATGCCGGGGATAAACGCACTAAACCAGTCCCAGCTTTGGCATTGCCTGTCGTCGCCCCTGTCCAGTATAAACCGCCGCAGATAAATAGAACGACGCAAACAAGCGTCTGGCACGTATTGATGATAGCACGTCGACCGAACTTATCGGTAGTGAAGGACCAAACCAAGACGGAGAGGAGGTTGACGCAGCTAAACAAAACCGATCAGCCATGTTCATCCACTGTTAAGAGGCGTTTCGCTGGCTCACGAGATGATGACAGTCCCGAGAAAGGGATCGGGCAAGCCAGCGAGGGAGAAAAAGTCTGGTGCCATCATCAGCTGAATGTTTAAAGTTGGGGATGGGACAGGGCAACGTACAGGTTGAGTAGGTACTGATGATGGTAAGACCGGCGAACTGCTGGGAGATAGCGAGTAGCATGACGGTAAGTGTACGTTTCTAGTCCTTGTTCAGCTCTCTGTTTCTCCTTGGCTTGTTGGAACAGCCTGGAAGCACTCACCCGGTTCAGACCCTTAAAGACATCAACGTATCGCGGCTGGTCCTGCAGGATTGCCCTTTCATGTGCGATGGTCCTCGCGATGATGCCATATTCCTCCTCGATATTATAGCCCTTGACACCACCGTAAAGTTGCTTCATGCACTTCAACGCCTTCTCCTTATTTCCACGGCGAGCGTGGTACCAGGGCGACTCGGGGATAAACATCCAGAAGATGATCATGAGTCCAACTGGTGCCCAGATGACACGCATGGCCAACAAATAATTATCAGGATGGGTCTTGTTGAGCTGTTGCATCATCACAGAGCAGATGATGCCGCCCATGTTACTCCTGTCCAGAGGAATCAGCTACGTTACTTAATGCGATGACTGGAGAGCCACCGGTAAAGGATCTAGTGATGTTACCAGACGGCTTGGAAAGTGACCATGCCACCTCGGATCCTGTTTGGACAGATCTCCATGACGTAAACCTGGCATGTAATCCTGCGAGATTATCAGCGACTAGAGCGATATATGCCAGTGCCGGCAATGCTCACTGGAGGACGCCAATACCTGCGCCATTGCAAAGCTTCGCGAGGGCCTGTGGCAGAGGTCAGAACGAGCACCATACCATTCGCTGACTGTGAGGCAGCAGACTATTGGTGATTTGGACTCACCCACACAGATGGGCTCTTGGCAGTGTTGAGGAACACGCAGCCCTGGATAGATGTCAGCTTGTTTTGTGATTTGGATTCTGCAACCCCCTTGTCAACCCCAAGGCATCACTCACAATGACAAGCCAGGCCCATGCAACGTATAACGATGTCTTGCGACCGAATCTGTCGGCGAACCTATTTCAATGGGTCAGAAGCCGCGCACAGATACAACCCGCAGGCAATACCGGGGAAGGGGTTCCTTTTGAGACTAAAGCTAGGCCACTCACCAAGAGATGTAAGTCAAAGTTACGATTTGACCAACGTTCTATGTAGTCTTAGAATCAGTTCCCAGTCACCTGTAGCCTGTACTAAGGGTTAAGAAAGGCTAGATGGCATACGAGAAGAGCACTCCAGGTGGACACTAAAGCATCATCGTCAGTGAGCTCTGAAGAGTTAATCCATCAAAATGTGAGGCCGCTTACCCCAGGTAGGATCAAGAGCCTTAACTCCTGATTGACCCTTTTCACCAAACTGTTTGATGAATCCAGCGTTGGCGATGACACTGCCTCCAGCACCAAGCTGTAATTTGCCAAATAAGCCGATGGTCCTGTCACAGCGTTCACAACGCATTCCAAAACCTCTGAAGGGTTTGGAAGAATAGGATTATGGCTGCTCACTTCGAAACCTTCGCAGATGTAGCCAGTGTAGACAGCGAGCGAGATGAGGATGACGCGCTTGAAAGCCCACAGCGTTTGTGGTATGGACAGCTGGTCAAACGTCGACTTGACGAGTCCATCGCTATCATATCCATCAAGCTTTGTTGTTATCTCGTCCACATTCGCCGGCATGCCCTCAAAGTGCGATACACCGTCCTTCTCGGATCGGCTCGTCACGATTGCGGCCATAATATCTCTGGCGTCTTAATCACTTGTCAGTCGTAATTTCTGCAGACCAATATCCCTTTTGATATGCCGTGTTGAGCAAAACAGAGAACAGTGATTTTCCAAGGCTGGGAGGTGCTCTAAATAGGTATGTTCTCCCGCGAAGCGATAGCTTCCTGATTTTGGAATTCTGGGAATTGAATGGCCAAACTCAACGCAGTCGCGAAAGTCTGGAAGTGGAGCCCTGACTTGGAAGTCTACCACGCGAGTTTTATGGACCGTCAAATATGTTTAGCTGCTCGGTTAAAATTGCACCAAGCACCACGAACCGGTACGTGTGGAGAGTCGGGCTACTGGGGCATCCTAGAAGCAAGTAGAGTAGCGCCGGTATTCGGTCCCATCTACCCCGAAGTTGGGGCCCGCGTTTCCGAACTTGGGAATGCGGGGCCTCGCAACCAAGTGCTTGGGAATGCGGGGCCCCACGCAACCAAGTACTTTGGTACTGGTCTTGTAACTGTGCCATTGGATTCGGCAGGTTGTCGCTATGGGGCACAATAGGGCACGCGAAGGCACTCACGGGCCTAAACTTAAACCATCGACACCAAGTTCAGGCTAATCCTTGCCGAGTCTGGATGGCTCCTTTACTGTTTCAAATGCTCGGGAATCGGCTAGATTTCATCTGCATAAGTGATCAGGCTCTTCCTCTTCCTCTGCTCACCTGGTCAGATAGACATTTACATTGTCCCATTTACACACCCAGCGCCTTGCGGCGTCCTGCCCTTGAAAAAGATGGATTCGTTACCATGCAGATATTGTCTTTACTCTGGCAATTCAATATCTAATATGCAATACGCTGCCAAGAATAATCCCGCGCTATAGGACTTTAGCCGGCACTTCCTACACCTCGTCACTTTCTATTGTTAGCGTTTATCCATAACAGTTATACTACAGACGTACCCTGAATAAAATCGGTGTAGCCAACGCTGTTAGAGATTCATTAGCATGGAGTCAACTTTCCCCTACTAAGGTTACTTATACCTGATCGTATGCCCGTGAAGCATCGTAGAACCTCAGATCAGTTGAAAGTCTGATAGTCGATTCTGGATCAGTGTTCACGGTCGAGACATGGATCTAATGTACTTGTTAATAATACCCGAATTCCATGGCTCAAGTTATTCACAGTAAACGGATCATGGAGCACAACATCCCCTGCCTCGAAGAAACTGACAAGCCACCTACGATGGTGCTTACCTGCAAATTCAGCGGGCTGTGTGGAAGTCCTCCAGATATAGTCATGTTTTTGCTGTATGCAACGTGGCTTCTTGGCAAGACAGCCCACTCTCAAGGGCTTGTTGAGCGAAACTAGCTTCAATTTCTTCTCCAAAACCTTGCCTCCCGATAGCTTAGTTTCTATAAACTTTGGTGGCATACATAGCATAAGAATCTTACTTTGTTCCAGATAGATCAACCCACCCCCGTTAAATTTGATATCGCCGAGAGCGCAGCAAGCCGTGATATTTGATACGTCTCCTCTCCCAGGAACATTTGATCATAATTCACACCAATTGGCTCTGACTGGGGGAGAATTCAACGAAATAAGGAATGCTTGAACTGGCGCGCATTCTTCCACTGAGACAACAGCGCAACGAATTCTATCAGATTCGGTTGTTTGCACAAAAGTCGTCCGTATACCAAGTTTCGTTGTGGACATTGGCGGTCAACTCAGAAAATAACGCTGCTGCTTGCTTTTAGGCTTTTCATTGTCGTCTTTCCTTGAGCTCAGTCCCGGGAAATTTGAGAGGTGGTTATCGAGATTGAATATTCCAGCCACAGGAGATGTTCCAAACTTCAAAAGATTTGAAGGAGACAGGAAGCGGAAATATGATTCACGAGCCTTCAAAACATGATTACGAGGAAAAAGACCCTGCACAAACAGGTAACCATGTTCTTTGAATCGCTTCCTAAGGATCTCGATGGGAAGACCTGCATTCAAAGATCGAAGCAAGCCAACCTGATGATATAGCAGCTGACCATCTGCAACGTTGATACTTTCAACCATAGGGTCCTTCGTGTTGGACATGCTTGCGAGTATTTCAGAGAAAAATGAGGAGGAGATATGTCCCGTAAACCCGAAGAACCTGTAAAATGTAATTAAACAAGCTGGTCCTTTCTATAAGCCAGCTAACATTGTGTGGAGCTCCGAGATCGGACCAAGAAACAGAAAATTGAGGACACAGAATATCGAAATTGAGGTACATCCCGGTCGAGCGCGTTGAGTTTGGAATCTTCAAGATATGCAATCTGGGCATGATTTCGACATGCCGATCATACTTTCAGAATAACATCGCGAGATATCTGCGTCCTACAGTACGCGAATTATTGATCAGAAGCTATAAATAGCAAATGTCTCCGAGGTTGCACAGGTACGGCTTACAATGCCCCGAGCGAGGGCCATGGTTCCTAGCGTGGCTTTCTTTTAGCTTGTTTCCATACCCCGCACTTCTGCTATTACCATATTAGGGGCAGAGTAGGAAAAATCGCCCGCGTATAAACCTAGACTAACAGAGCAGGCGGAAATTACGCCCCTTTCTAGTCTTTGTGAAGAGCCGTATAGGCCGAGACCTCAAAACACTCCCGTATCTGAACGAAGAGCTGCCACTCGGGGAAAAAGAGGCCGAGAGCTGGTTACTCCTCAATTTGTTGTTCGGTACATCATACCCAGGAATCTTGGTGGCATAGAGGTCTGGCTTATCCTGGGTGATGAGGCAGGTATCCTTAACCACACTAATTTCTGGTCCCAACAGCTATGTACAAAGCTAGCTGACGTTGTGAGCTAACACCACCCGTTTTTCATACAACACACAGTAGGTGTTGAACCATCATGGCCTATAAATACGTTGCTTTAATGTTCCTCTCAACGCTTTTCAGCAATTCGCCTATTGCTCGTGCATTGACCCTCAATCTTTCTACTGGAGGTGGCAATGCGACCAGCCCTATCCAGTACGGTCTTCTCTACGAGGTAAGCCCTTTGGTTCAACCAATCACGGGGTGGGAAGCTAATTTCCTGTCAGGATGTCTTTCACTCTGGTGACGGAGGTTTGTATAGCGAGCTAATCCAGAATCGCGCATTTCAAGGAACTTCCGTGAACAGTAATCAGGGCCCCTTTCAAAATCTCCAGTATTGGCACACCCACGGATCTGATACTCTGATCCTCGACAATGACCCTCCGTTTCTGACTAGTGCACTTCCATGCCACATGAAAGTTGATGTGGCCCACGGGGCAGCTGGCCCAACTGGCTTCTGGAACGAGGGCTATTGGGGTATGAATGTGACAACAGCAACTCGGTATACCTCAAGTTTCTATCTCCGAGGCAGCTACAAGGGCAAGATATTGGCTGCGTTTTGGAGCAATACAACTGATTCTATGCTTGGAAGCACGTCCTTCAGTGTTGACCAGACTGAAGCTGATGGTTGGGTGCCGTACTCACAAACTTTCACACCAGAATCTTCCGGTTCTGACGAGAAGAATACTTTCCATATTACCTTCGACGGAGCCAGCGCTGCGGGAGCGACCCTCCGCTTTCATATGATTAGTGTCTTCCAGCAAACATTCAAAAATTCACCCAACGGATTGCGCATGGATCTTGCAGAGGCTGTCAATGAACTTGGTGGGAAGTATCTCCGCCTGCCAGGGGGGAATAATCTCGAAGGAATTGCTGCTCCGTACCAATGGAAGTGGAACGAGACGGTGGGGCCAATCATCAGCCGCCCTGGCCGTCCGGGGACTTGGGGCTATGTCAATACTGATGGACTCGGGCTTCTAGAGATGATGCAGGTTTGTTTAAGTCCGTGGTTTAAGCCTAAATTATAATCTGACAAAATAATCGTTAGTGGTGCATTGATATGAACCTTGAGCCTATCCTTGCAGTGTGGGATGGCTTGTATCTTGATGGGAATATTCTCACTCAGGCAGACTTACAACCATATGTCGACGATGTTCTCAATGAGCTAGAGTTTTTGACGGTATGCCATAACATCGTCATTCTCTATGAAGTTTTCTGATTACATATTACAGGGACCTACCACGTCAACATGGGGCGCCAAACGGGCCTCCTTGGGATACCCGAGTCCTTTTATCATCAAATATCTTGAAATCGGCAATGAGGACTTCCTTAATAATGGAATACCCACCTATCTCGGTATGTTACCATTAGCCTGTAGCCTTGGGAGCTGTAAACGTAACAGATTCCCAGCCTATCGTTTCAACATGTTTTACAACGCAATCAAGAATAAATATCCCAGCATGAAAATAATTTCGTCCATCTGGGCTGGATATTTCACCAACCCTCCGCTCCCTGCCAACGTCATTCAAGATCTGCATGACTATTTATCAGTGGAAGATATGGTTGCGAAGTTTGATGGCTACGACCATGCCGATCGTAATTACCCTGTCCTGGTTGGTGAGTATGCTGCCATCTATGATGACCAGCATGTAAGCCCAAATCAGCTTGACAATCCAACTTTGCAATCTGCAACCTCTGAAGCTGTCTATTTCCTTGGCTTGGAAAGAAACGCAGATCTCATTGTCGGAATCTCCCACGGTGCCCTGATTAAGAGTTTGCATGACGAGCCAGACAACGTCGCCATGATCAAGCATTCTCCCAACACCGTCGTGCGATCTATGAGCTACTACGTAGCCAAGCTTTTCAGCACCAACTTCGGCTCGGAGACTGTCGCCGTCACTGGGGATGTTGCATACGGGCCGCTATATTGGGCCGCCACGAAGGATGAGGATGGGACATTTTTTGTGAAAATCGTGAACTACGATGGCGCTACCTCGACCCCAATTACGGTGGTGATTCCGGGAAAAACAAATGAGGCCACTTTGAAGACTTTGAGTGCTCCTTACAAAAACAGCACAAATACACTGGGTGATATTCAAAGTGTTTGGACTGAGACGAAGGTCTCCTGCTCTGAAGGGCAGTATTCCTTTACGTTGGTTGGGAGTTACGTCAGTTCCGTCTTGGTTGCATAGCCAAAAGATTTGAGTTATATGATAACTAGTGTAACGTACCTCATGCGAACGAGACACAAGCTGCCCCAGCATGGATTAAACCTCTATATTTCTACCAATGCACGTAAATCTCATTGGAAGACGTCTCTACTACTCTCCGCAATTGCCAGAGTGCTGAACTGGTGCGCTCCTCCGTCCTGGGTCGCCGACTAGTCCCTTTAACAAGGACGTGAACAACATTTAAGATCGTCCTTGGAGTCTGTGTTGTTGGCGAGATATCAGGCTTTTATTAGATTCGCCTGGGCAGACACTCCGATTGCTGGTGTTCTAAAAAAACCCCCGGTATTGGGTAGTTTGGTTGGGGAGAGGCGGAATGCTCGCTCGCTCGCTCGTTCCAGCGGGTTGGCGTTTTAATCGGATATTAAGCCGAGATGTTATCCTTTCACGGTCAAGAGGAACATAAAGCGTTCCTTTAGAGCCACTATGAATAATTTTTCTGCCACAGTGGCATGTTAGGCTGTGTAAAGAAAATCTTCTTTCGTGATGGAGTTAATATTCACCATAATAAGCCCTTCGATATATTTACCATACGTTTAAAGAACTAGAGTATTCGATATCAAGGAGTTTGGTAACCTTTTTTTTTTTAGTTTTTTTTTTTTACTTCAATCCACTGATCCTGAGAAATTTAGATGACTTCACGATGGTAAATAGTAGTAGTACTACTCGATATAGCTTGCCCCAATGCAGCCGCCGTGAGGGACTGCAATCGGGCCTGCCCGACCTCATGCATTTCTGCGTGGGCTCTACGTTATGACTAGGCTATCAGCATGAATGCAAGAATGCAAAAAAAAACACAAAAAGAAAATCGAAAATCCAAAAAAAAAAACACAAGTCACGACACGAGTCACGACAAAGCAAAAACAGTAATGGAAAAGAGTGAGATCTCCGCCCGGTGGGTGTGGCCGCTTCCTCTGCTCCGACATCCCACTCTCTAGCCTCTCAAGTTAAGCCTCCCCAAGTTACTGACGCCTTGATTCACCAAGTTCCCAAAGTTCTCGAATCTTCGATTTTGCCTCCACGATGATACAGAGCTAGCACAGTTCTCAGACTTTCACTCGGAATGTCGAACGCGCAAACTCTGCCTTTGGAGGCCATTCGGCAGGCTCGTAGGTGCAAGAAAAGTGATGTTTCCCAGAGCCAATCGGAATGCTTCTTTCATCTCCCTCCTGGTCCCTTTTTATCCAAAAAGAGGGTAAAATGACCCTGGCTTCTGAGTTGGGAGGAATAACGACTGTAAGAGCAAATGTGTCGCCTGACTCGTTGATATTCCACGAGCATTCGATGCGCCCATATGGGCTTTCATATGTGATACTTGCGTTCATAACCGTTCCACCTGGAACTGGCCTCACCTGAATCGTCCGCCACCCAGGCTCCAAAGGGCTAATTCCACCAACGTTCTTGTGTAACCAATTGGCTATAGAGCCCAAAGCATAGTGGTTAAAACTTGTCATATCTCCTGGGTTGATGGATCCATCTGGGAGCATGCTATCCCATCTCTCCCAGATGGTAGTCGCACCCATTGTAATTGGATAGAGCCAAGATGGGCATTCTTTCTCCTGAAGCATGCGGTAAGCCAGTTGGTAGTTTCCTGTGTCTGACAGTGCATGCGTGATTAAAGGAGTTCCAGCAAACCCAGTCGCTATTCGGTACTCAGCCAAGTGGACCAAATGACTGAGGCGGCTCGCAGACTTTATGACATGGTCATGCTTGTCAAATAGCCCAAAGGACAGGGCAAGTGAGTGGGCTGTTTGAGTATCGCTAACAAGGAGGCCCGACGGTGTAACATATTCGTGTTGAAAGGCCTTTCTTGTACTCAATGCGTCTTTGGCATACCGAGATGCGTCTTCCGTCTCCCCAAGAAGAGAGCTGACCTTGGTTATGATACCTAGTACCCGAACTAGGTAAGCATCAGCAACGTAAAGACTATCAGTAAGGCCCAATCCTGGCTCAGACGGCGGAGCAGCAGGGTCCAGCCAATCGCCAAATTGCCAAATATTTTGATCCCAAAGACCATTTGGTCCTCGCTTTATTCCTTTATCCACCCAGGCTTTCATACTTGTATATTGCCTGCGAAGGATCTCGATATCACCTGAGCTGTTGTACAGATCCCATGGCGTCAAGACAGCAACGTCGTGCCAGACAGACTGTGGCCCTGGCGGATGGGGAGGATCATCAAAAACATCTGGAACCACCAGCCCAGGCACTCCGTTCTCGCAATCTTCCAGTTGCTCGGCTGCAACATCTTCTAGCCAGCTTCCAAGAAATCCATTGGTGTTGAATAGAAAGTTTGCGGATGGGCTGAACACCTGGATATCCCCAGTCCATCCTAAACGCTCGTCACGCTGAGGACAGTCCGTCGGTATGGAAAAGAAATTTCCTTTCATGCTCCAAACGACGTTTTTATGGAGTTGGTTGATGAGTGGATCGGAGCAGGAAAACCATCCGGAACGACTCATGTCGCTATGTAAAACAAGGGCCGCGATATCTCCATGGTTGGGTAATCCAGTATCGCTCGGCCAGCCATCTACTTGGACGTAACGAAATCCATGGAAAGTAAACTTTGGTGACCAAAATGAGGGCTGACGATGGGACAGGATAACCTTGTCGACTGGGGTGGCTCCTCTTAAAGGGCGTGTTCCAAGCTCGTCACGCTCAAGAACTTCGGCGTGGCTGAATGACAATTCGTGCCCATTGGGCGTTGTTGCCAGAGCTGATGCTGGGAGACGAACTCGCAGTTTTCCAACCAGATTCTGGCCAAAGTCCAGCAGAGTCTTACCAGACTTGGACATGAAGATTCGAACAGGGGCTCGCTCTTCTATGGTCCGCACGGGGGGAGAGTCCGAAGCTAGAAGCCTGGCGTGAGGGAACGGTAGTAGCTGGGTTGGCATCCAGGTACTCTCGTCCAGATTTGCGTTGTCATTCCAACCCCATCTCTCCTCGCGGGAGTCGTAATCTTCGCCATCGTAAATTTCACTGCGAGTTGTTGCACTTGTGTGGGACTTCCATGTGTTGTCGGAGGTCACCAAAACCTTCTGGCCAGACTCAAAGTTGACTTCCAACTGTGCTAGAAATGCCAATCGATCCCCATAGAAACGGCGCTTTTGGTCCATTCCTAAGCGACCGGCGAACCATCCTTCCCCCACTTCAACACCAAGCACGTTTGAGTTTCCCGTGACAAGCGATGCAGTTACATCAAAAGTCTGATAGAGCAGCCGATGGTTATAGCTAGTCCATCCAGGTGCCATCTCCTCATTGCCGATCCGATGACCATTCACAAATGTCTCGTAAACACCATGAGCGGTGATATAAAGACGAGCTTTCGAAATCGGCCCTGAGTCTCCCGGTAGCCCAAAGACTTTTCTGAACAGTAGAGGGCGCATTGTCTCGTCCTTGTTGGGCGTAATTATTGAGGTCGTCAAATTCGCTTTCCAATCTTCATTGTCAAAAAGCGCTGCCTCAATAATCGCTGGGCTTGACCATTCCGTGCTTGCTGTTATGACCTTGCCTGCTGCATTTGAAGCCTTTCCGTGAGACATGACCTTTATCCAAGCACGTTCCCGAGACGAGAGACAATGACTGGGCCAAGGGACTAGAACAGAGGACGGGCTTTGTACGTGGTATGTTTCAACAACGGTGTTGTTTTGTCGACCGATCTGGATCTCATAAGAATCTTGCACCCATTCCTTGAGGTCATCGTGTCTGCAAGAGAAGCGCCATGAGATCCGAGGGCTGGCATGGCTGATCCCAAATCCAGTGGGGTGGTGTTCGAATGTAACTGAGGAGATTTGAATTGCGGCCATGACAGGCACAAAAGAATCAGCGTACGGGGGGTGCAAGTGGTGTGTTCTGTATAAAACACCTTGTCGGTGGTTTCAAAGAAGACAAGTTGAACATCACCCGTTCAGGGCAACATTCTGACCTTATAAGCTTCCAGAATCCCATAGGTAACGTTTTGCTGCAGTTCCTCCAGAACAGCGTGGGGCTTTAATCTCGCCAAGAGGTGCAAATTCTTCCCGTTTGGAGTTTGCCAAGGGTCCGAGAGCCCTTTTCATAACCTGCAAATATAGATTAAATACATGAATCATCCTAACAGTACTGATGTACACAGTACGGTACAAAGGGGGCGGTATTTTGGCCCGTTGGCGACGCCCAGTGGAGCGAGCTGTCAACTCTCGGGAGGAACTGACCCGAGTCCGGGGCTCGGTGATAAAGTCAGGCCGCCACATGACTATTGCACATATTTCGGGGGATGTACTGTCAGCGAGGTTGAACCCACAGTAAAGGCGAGGTCAGTGATTTCGGAAATTGGGGTCACAACACACACTCTTTCATTGTTTCTTGACCCTAGTGTTAGGGAAACCTAGGCAGCTTGTAGCATAGTCTTAAAAACTTCTTGGCCCTCAACAGACCGGTCTATTAAGTTGAGCTTTCTGTTTATCACTGTCATAGCTAGATGCAACTCGCCCCCGCTCAGTATTTACCATCCACGTATGTTGTTGACAACCGAACACGCCAGTGGCGCAATGAGAATATTGAGTAACCTATAGAACCTGCCCAGCTTCAGGAGCCTGGGCCAAGGCATGACTCATGACTACATTAGTGCCAGTATGAGCCAATCACGTCTAAGTGCGTGACACGGCCTCGACGCAGCACATAGCTATAAATGTTTGATATTGGATCCCGAGCCCTTTCAAATTGCTACCATCAACAAATATGGACCATTCTCCTCAAAGTCTTGCTACCAGCGCGAAGAGCTGTGGATGATGAATCGCGAGTTCAAGAACATCGCCCTATCGCAGCTCATCGTAATGGACAGACAGCGCTTCTACATGAGTAACCAGTGGGTTACCGGGTTTCTCTTCTTACTTTTCCAAGATGACCCGTCCCATCCTTGCCCATCTCGAATGATCCTAAGCCCTTCACTAGGGAATTCCATCCCACTCAGACGCCGATTTAAAGGTTCACGAGATAAGGGCACTCGTACTCCAGTACCAAACTCCACTCCAAAATCATGCCGGTGTCTCCATAGCCAACGGACACACTGAACGGGGCGAAGGAGATGGAGAAGAAGACAAATCACGCTCCTCTATATCAACTTCTCCCATGTTGGGCAGCTGGGAGAAGAGACACAATATGCGGACAGAAGCACTGAAAACAGGGGAGGAGCCAATGTTGATGGGAAACGGTTCTACTGTGGTTTTATTGTGCCGTGTGAAGCGTCCTGCTGCTCAATTATGCCAGTGCCTGTTTTGAAGTCAAAAGATGAAGTTGCTACATGAAGAAGGATAAACAGAGCCTGGTACACACGCAGAGGTTACTGAGGAAGTATCTCCTCGGATTCAGCGTTACGTAAGTTGAAATTGTCGAGGCTCGTCAGCTACTCTATTCTTTCAGGTTTAATAGCACGCATTTTTATTGTTTTGATTATCTTGAGGTCTTTCGAACTTTGAAAACAAACGATTGTAAAATTACTTTCCACACACCACTGACATTATTAAGAGATTAAGTGTATGCGTCTAGCACTCTCATATCCATCCAAGCATTCATAAATTCTTCAGAATCGGCGCTTAGAAGTTCCGGAACTGCCCGTTGCGCTGGCCGTCACAGTGGCGTCTAGCGGTCCAATTTGAATCGAACCGCATGGGCTCTTAGGTGCAGTCACACAACCGTTCAAGTATTGGCCAAGGCTTCCGGTCTGGTTCTTCGACTGAAGGATCTGGGTGGGAGAGTATGCATCCACCAGGGAATTGCTGCTGGGCGAAAACATGGAGGAATTCACGCGACTGCCAATCCAAGTGGCGTGGGCACTGTGTTCAGCCGCCAGACGAGCCAGGAGGAAGGAGACCTCCGGAGATTGAGTATAGCCAGCCAGGCCAATAAAGCCACCAGACACTGTAGACTCGAATTGATAGGCGAACGTTGCGAATGCCGGGATACTGTCTGCTTTTGGAATGGTGAAAGAGCACTTCGGTTGCTTGAAGTTGGGGGCCTTTGAGCTGAGTTGCTGAATGGCTTCAATGCTCAGGTTGTTTTGCTTCTCAAGGCCCTGGAGGTTGGAAAGTGCCTTGCTTGCACTGGAGCTATTCTGTAGCTGAGAGGCAACATTCTCGTTGACAGGCATGGATGCGTAGAACTCGGAGATGAACTCGGAGAGAGCCCAGCTGAATTGAAGAACTTGCGTATCCCCAGATGCCAATGAGCACGAGGTCAAAGCTCCAGGGGAAGGGCTAGCGCCAGGAGAAGAAGTAGCACTGGTGGCTTTTGTGGGCGAGGTTGCAGCAGAAGTGAAGGTTGCTCCAGCGAGGAGCCATCCGAGAGTAGTTGTGAAACGCATGGTTATTTGATTGAACGCCCGGATTGCAAGGCAATTTTTTTCGTAGGAATCGGTTAAGAAGGGATTGAGTCAGAACGTAAGCAAAGAAAAGGGAAAAAAAAGTTCTTCAGCATGTACGCCTTGCTGTCTTTTCAATTGTGGGCAGGCGCATGTCTTTACCATGAAGCTTGCGAAGCCTAGCCCACTACAACACCGCATGCAGCGACATTTCATTATTGTGTGCGTCATTTTCTAGCCTTTATACTGTATTTTCACCAGATCTTTGCATCATGACTATATTCAAATGCCATTTTTGGCTCTGTGGGGGCACGGTTATCCCTGTATCGCCACCCGACGGCGTGTCATGGATGCATAAAACTGGGAAGTAGAATATATCCCATTTAATCTCTAATATGGCGAACATATCATATCAGAGCTACTCCCATGACATCATGACCGAACAGGAAGATGCGACGTGAGTGCGTCTGGCGATTGACTCTCATGCCGCGGATGGCTCGGAACGCTGGGTTTTTAAGGTTTGCAAATGAGATACTCGACATTGGTACCATTCCTCTTGCCATGTGTTCCCATCGAATGTAGCTCGATCCTTGATCTTCATTAAACGTCATGTCCAAGTACTTGACACTAAGAATTCTTGCTTTTGTGCCTGGAGAAATATTATCTAGTCCGTTGGTTGGAGCTCTTTACACAGCAACTCGATCTTTCGCGATAAGATAAGGCAATTCAATAATCACGGTCTATCAAATAATAGCTTTTTGATTTCTACAGTTGTCGTAATAAAACATTGGTCCAGGAATCGCAAAATGATGACACTTTTACTGCTCGGATGGCCCCAGGTGGTACACTCGTACTTAGATATCTCCCCGACAATCCACGCATATTTGAGTCGTCCCTCGGTGGAACGCTGAGCTCCACGCGAGGAAAGAGCCATTGGTTTTAGAGGTTGCTAGAGCTGAATATGTACTCATCAACTATCCTTTGATGGATCAATGAATCAGACCTTGCATTTGATAACTACTCGCGACCGTGCAAGTCATTGACTCCGTGGGTGAAGCCGTCCTATTCTGCGCGATCACCCATTTCCAGTCCTCTCATTTTGCCAATCCTGTCCTCAGCAACCCCTGTGTTTCTCCAGCTTCTGCCGTCCTACCTCGTCGGCGATCCCGGCTCTGTCATCCAATTCTCATACTGTATTGCCACAGTACGTACCCACTAACTACCCCATTCGGAGAACGTTTTTCCGCAAATATCTGCCAGGTCGTCGCCAATCTCGATCCTTATACCCCTAGTGCAAACACGAAGTCAGATTAAGCCCATTGCCATGTTCGTTCCCTTCGCTGTTTCTTTTCCCCTACAGGACGGCCTGCTACATTTCAATCAGAATAAATCGTTCTCCAGTATTTTATCGTGATTCCAACTATTTCTTCACTTCGACCCGACTCGTATATTTCCAGATTTCCGATGATTATAGTGATCATCCGAAATCGCCGAAGTCCGGGATTCCCCTTTGTGTGATGGTGGGCCATCCGCCATGTAAAAGTCTGCACGGCATACTCCACTGGACCCACTCATCAGCTTACAGAAAGCCCCTTGCTTGCACGGCATTGCCCTCCGCAGCCGCTCCCTCCGTACAGTTCGGGGCTGCTCTTTCGGTCTGTGAGCAATGATGAAGACAGATATTACTGGTTTGTGTGGAAGGTGTGATCCGGATCATTACGGCAGTGGCGCAAGAAGAACGCGGGAAGAATAAGGTTAAGTCGAGCACTGCCTAGTGTGGCCAAGTGCGTATCTTAGCGTCGGATTCGCTGGGCAGCCGAACTTCAACAGAAAGTTTGCCGAAGAAAGGCAGTCGGATAGTCCTCCGTATGCTTTGTCTATAGTCCATCCACCTGAAATTTTCGTCGAAGTTTTGCCGCTGTGTGGGGACAGTGGTGAGCGCACGGTGGGGTCGAGGTACGCTCACTGGCCAATTCCTGCAGCTCGATCGACCGGCTACCACTGAACGACCTTCGGGCCCGTCGCCTTCCAGAAGCCGCGGGCTCGCAGTGGCACTGCAACTTTTCCACTTCGCTGATAAGCGCGTTATCGGGTCGTGAAATACTTCCTTTTTTACCCGCTCACATATGTCCCGCCACGCTGGCTCGCACGTTTTACTTTTCTGTTTGTGTATTCCGGTCTGTTCGTTGTGCTGCATCATTGATACCCTGCCGCGATTTTTGTAATCCAATACACCCTGCCTCGAAGCGCGCAATGACGACCAGTCTTCCCAACGATGTCCTCCTCTTGATCGGAGAACATTTGGACCGGCAAGATCGCTGGAACCTGTTGTTCGTCTCCAACCATTTTCATGACTTGTTCCTGCCGCTTTTCTACCGTTCGGTAGCCCTTCACAACTGGCATAGCACCCTTTCATTCCTCCACGCCATATTGAAGCGCCCATCGCTTGCACGCGCGGTTCGACAATTGGACCTGAACGCTTGGCAGTCAAGAAGCGTATCAGATGATGAACGGGCCCAGATTCTCGACTCTGTACAACTGACAGATTGGCTGACAGCTATTTCGCACTCGGAAGACGACCGGTTGCAATGGAAAAAGGATCTCCAATCCGGTTTTGGGGATCCCTGGATTGCCCTGGTGCTCCCTCTTTTGGGTCAGTTGGAACGTCTGCGGTTGGCGTATGCATCGAATAACCCTTACTTGGACCGCCTTATGCAAAGAGCCGTCAACCCCGAAACGCCATTTGATGGTCACCAAATACTTGGTCGATTGAGAGAGGTTTCGCTGCGCCACCGGGAGGATCTGGACCGCCCGAAACACCAGGACGGTGCTGATCTAGAGGATCGATCAAGCCCGTCATCATCATCCCTGATTCTTCCATTCTTCCAATTGCCCTCGGTGCAGACGCTCCGTGCGGAGTCCGTGATCGATCCTAGCTCCGACACATCGGGAATCTCTGAGGACGAGGGCAATGTGCAAGGGCAATGGCCTACCGGCTTCTCCTCCATCAAAGAGATAGATCTTCGCTCCAGCAACGGAAATCACGGTATGGAAAGCTTGATCACATCATGTGCAGATCTCCGGTCTTTCAAATATCAGCATTCCGACGCGCATATCCTCTCGCATGGCTACCAACCATCCGCCTTCCATCGATCCTTGATACGCAGCAAGCATAGCCTTCAGACCTTGTGGTTAGACCAACATGGCGATCATTACCCCTTCACGGGCGCCGGACTCAACCAAACACACGACGAGTGGTTCGGGTCGCTGGCCGGCTTTGTGGCTTTACGGGATGTGCGTATTCGGCTGCCCAACCTTCTGGATATCCGCTACCAGAATCAGCCGAGCACGCCTCTCGTGGATATACTCCCACCGAAACTAGAGACTCTCTATATCGAGGGATGTGAGGAACGGAATCTGTCCATGCTCGCCTCGCAGCTCCAGACTGTGATTAAGAACCGCCAGGCCAAGGTACCGCAACTCCACCGAGTGGACATCGAGGGCGCATTCCACAATGATCCTTCCGATGACTCTGGACACACCGAGTCCTTTCTGGCCGAGTCTCCTGAGAACACTATCAAAGACAAGATCCTCCAAGCCGCTGAGCCTTTGCACATGGATTGTCTCAACGCGGGAATGGAACTTCATCTCCACGATCGCATATGTTCTGCCTCCCCGGGGGTATCCTGGTGAAGTTTGAATGTAATGTACGCTTCGCTTTTATTCTGCTTGTGACTTTGGTGATCGATTTCAGCGCATATAGACTTTTGCTTTTGTGCGTTAATATAGAATAGATTTCGGGGAAAGTGTTTCGTCTTGGAATTGGGAGAGGGATATATATTTTGGCTGGACCAGATGCGATTGCTTCATCCCACCGGCTCTTTCTTATTTACCTACATCTCTAGCGAGAATATTGGCTCTACTAAAGGAGACCATAGTGCATATGAAATCGATATTCTATGTCAAGTTATAGGTTAATGCAAGACGAAGTGCACGGTCGCGCCCTTTGGTGTCGGTGTTTACAGCGAAGCGAGGACGGCATCGGCGCCGGATTTCTGCGAAGGGGTGATGTGGTCAGCGAATCATGTCCATTACGGAATACTGTTTGTTTGCTGCAGAATGTGGATCCTCATACCTTAACCGCGCCCTTCTCGGTCTCAATTTGGGCGTAAGAGATCTTCCCATGGTCCACAACGATGGCATACCGGCCCGTGCGTCCAGAGGCGTTGTCGGCCCAGCCAATGCTTTTGGAGAATTGAGCATCGGGGTCGGACAGGAAGAGCTGTCAAGCGACAGAGAGAGATGAGAATGTGTCGCTTGCAAAAAGAATAGAAGGGAAGGGTTAGCCGGGGGGCGGAGGGGAGGAGCTCACGATATCATCTCCGTGCACCTTATTCGCCTTGCCCCAGGCGCTCATGACGAACGGGTCGTTGAAAGCAAGCACGGCCACGATATCCACGCCCTTCTGTCGGAGCTGGGGCAGGTTCTTGATATAGCCCGGCATATGGTTCACCGAACAGGTGGGGGTGAAGGCGCCTAATGAAATCAATCATCAGTTCAGCTTCGAAGTCCCAAACGAAACCACTGACCTGGGACCGAGAAGAGCACCACCTTCTTATCCGCCCACTCCTTGGACGCGTTATAGTTGATCGGGATGCCACAGGCGGTCATGTCGCCGCTTTCCTCCGACCACGGGATGTACCTGACTTGGGGATCAGCCATGGTCGTCATCGAGCAGGATCGAACTCACTTGAAGACCACGTCGCTGGGGAACTGGTCACCGGGTTTGAGTGTAGTCATGATGAGTGTAGTCGGGGTGCAGCTACTGGCGTTCGGTTAACAAGTGGGAGAGAAGGAAAGAACAATGATCGATTGGCGGGGCAGTAAGTGACCTGGGGAATGATCATCCAGGCTGAATCATCCGGTGGTCGGAGCCCTCCGTCGCCGGATCGGCGAACCAAAAACTAACTACCACGAACGGACTGCCGCGGGTAACGAAGCCTGGAGGGACACAGATGGGTCTTCACTGCCATGGTGGTGTCGCTTTCCATATTCCATTGCGACCACACTTGATATGCCAGGCGATGGCTGGTCCGGGATGATGATCCCAGATGGCTGCCGGATGGCGACTTCACCCTCGGCCCCCAACACCAACCTTTCACCCGTTTAAACATGCACTGTTTCTGTGATGCGAGGCACGAAGCATCAGACAGAGGGGGCGAACAGAATCAATGCATCATTATTTAATGTTCCTCCTTCCTCGCCCCCTGGTCTGGGCCAACAACTGAGCAACCGGGGACCGGTCAATTCATCAAATCCCCGGCATCCACCAGCAGTGCGTCGATAGGTCCACACAAAGTATACTTTCAAGCGCATCCACTATACGCAACGAGACGCAATGCCGCTCCTTTCGGGACAAATTGGCGTATGGCAGGCCATGCATCACCTACCCCGGATTTTTTTTAGAGCCACTCACATGGACCGCAGGGGCTGTGATTGAAGTATAAAGCTGCCCTGATGCGTCCCACAATTGACAGGGAACTATCTTCATCTTTGAATCGCCCAACTCCGCTGCTTGCTCACCATGTTTGAGAAATCCCTCCAAGGAAAGCCGCTCAGAAGGCTTGCACGACTGAGTTGCTCGCTGGTGGGTTTAGTTCTGAATGATCTCGAAATTCTGTATGACCGGCTGACCTCTTTAACTAAAGGCCTTCCTCATCGAGGGATACCAAGCTGGCATCCTCGGCGGTGTCCAGGATACCAAGGCGTACCGAGACGCCCTTGGGGTAAGCTATCATCGAATACCCGTCTTGCAGTTGTTGCTCACGACTTAAAGAACCCAACTGGCAAATATATAATCCCGATGATTGCGTCCTCCTATACGTTAGCCGCTATGGTCATGTCCGCCCTAGTGGTCGTTGTGGGGATGCCCTTGGGCCGGCGGAATTCAATTCTTCTCGGCACGGTGCTCATTTTCTTTGGTGGAATCATTCAGGCCGCCTCCTTTTCTGTGGCCCAAATTATTGTCGCCCGGATTCTTTGCGTGAGTAATACCGCGTTTTACCATCTGTGAAACCAAATCACCTAACCAGTGGCTACAGGGTCTGGGAATAGCTGTGAGTTTTAAAATATCCTCCTCAGGATGATCATTAAACCTGACCGCTTTCATAGCTTATAACCTGCAATGTTCCTATGTATATGGTCAGTTGCGTACTTACTCGCATGCCTTTATGGTAGGACACGACCATTGACAATCTACAGTCTGAAATGAGTATTCACGCCAGCGAGCGCGGTCCCGAAGTCGCGATAAATTGCTCCTCCTTGCTAGGAGGCGTCGCTCTATCATACTGGGTTGACTTTGGATTCACGCGATTGTCTACTCAAATCTCATGGGTGGGACCACCCGGCCTAGAATAGCAACGGTTGATGAAGCTAACATACACTCTCAACAGAGAATGCCCATTGCGATACAATCCCTTTTTGCTTTGGTTTCCGGAGTCGCCATGTTTATCTGTCCAGACACACCAAGGTGGTATTACGCAAAGGGGCGAAATGCTGAAGGTGATAAAACCTTGGCCAGACTTTACGGAGCTTATCTTCCCACCGATGAATCTCAAGACCGAAGCCCCATGGTAGAGATGGTGAAGGCAGAGATAATGCAGAATATCCAGATCGAAGCTGAGCAGGAAAATCAGCTTAGCTGGGTCAGCCTGATTTGGGATAACACACCACTGCGCGTTGGCCGCAGAATTCGAATCTCATTCATAATTCTTTCCATTCAGCAAATGATGGGCATTAACATCCTGGTGTACTATATGACTCTTACCTTTTCCCAGGCAAGTGTCTATCCTATGTGCCCGCTGCAACTCCTATCCATGATATTGTTGGAAGGGATCACGCGAGTGACCGCACAGAAAGCTAATCAACGAACTATGTAGGTTGGTCTTTCGAGTTTCCTCTCATCCCTAATCTCCGCGGTGGCCTTGACGATCCAGTTTGCCGGCTCCCTAGTATGCATTGCCACAATTGAACGAATTGGCCGGCGCAGGATCATGCTGTTATCGGCCACTATGCAGAGCTGCTGCATGCTTGTTTTTGTGATTTTGAATGGAATCCCGAACAAGACTACTGCAGTACAATGGGCCGCTGCCATAATCATGTTTCCTTATCTCTTCATGTACGGCTGGGGCTGGGTGACTTGTCCGTGGTAAGTGAACGCTTTGTCAAGAGGAAATGTTTTGGTTTCTTGTTTCTAACATACATCTAGGCTCTATGGACCCGAGGTATGGTTTTTTCGTCAGTGCCCTGGGACCTGAAACTAATGCGCACTAGATCGCCCCTCTCAAGTACCGCCACATCGGGGCGGCTTCGGGTTTGTTTGGCTTATGGTTGTTTACTTTCGTTACCGTATTCGCTGGTGGCATTGGTATCCAAATGGCAGGATGGAAGATATGGATCTGGCCATTGACCTTCAATGTGCTTGGTGTTCTATTTGTATTTTTTATGTGTCCTGATGTGAGTCGGCCAGGATATAACCCTTCCCGAGTGCAAGGAAATTGACTGCTAAGTTGAACAGCCCACAGGAAAAACATTAGAGGAGATCGATGCGTTGTTTGTTAAAGACGACTCTCTGGATACCAGGCTGTCCGACCGATTAGATGCGAAGGAATCTGTCCATCAAGTTGAAGATGCAGCTTAGCTATTTAAGCAGTGAAACGAGCAGTGGACAATGTCCTTTTGTTCTTGTGGCCTCACCTTGGGGAGTGACTGTCGAAGGTGCGCTCGGGCTAGGTAAGCTTGACGATGTTTTCTTTTGCGCTGCGTGAGGATAGTATCTTTACCTGATTAGCCTCCAGAGATAAAATTGCTAATCTTCAAGAGATGCAAAGAGTGACAAGTTACTACTTCATATTTTAAAGGAGATAACTAGAGTTTTATCACACTTCTTTCTGGACTAACGCGTGGATTCTGTTCCAACCGTAATATTCCCTATTGATCATTAGCTTTGGGAATAACTCTTGGTATAGATTGCATACCTCCTGTGTACAGCTCGCAACAAGCGTCCCTTCTTTCGTCCATATCTTTTGATACATCAAGCCACGGCCTTCACCGGCCCAGTGGGTTTGAATCTCGCTTAGCAACCACTCGTCCGACTTCACTTTCTGAGTGTTATGGAAGAAAATTGCATGATCTAGGCTGACCATCATTCCAACATCATGCGAGGGACCTGGACTGGAAATTGAGTCACGAAGATGTGGCCGAGGAATTTCGTTATAGGCCGGTATACCCGCCCACAAACGATCTTTGGTGTTGTAGAACTCGGTTATTGGTGGGTTGATAAATTGCCAGATGCTGTGTGCATGTGGTAGCTCGGCTAGGAAGTAACTATCCGACATGAAAGCCAAAGCAGCGAGATCCGCCCGGGACCCGCCCCTGCAAGAAACATTGCCTCGAGCTTTGCTCCATTGATATATGCGTTTCTCGTACGGATTCTGCGACTGAGTGTTCGAAATCCCAACGCTTTGGTTTGTATACGGACTTTGAATGTGATCCTTGCCTGTCCCATGTCTATCCGAAGCAAGATCGTTTGGCGTTGGGATGTCTGAAGGAATCGGTGTTGCATGGTCAACACCCGTTTTGCTCTTAGATGTTTCACGCGCGAATCCGATAGTTGCAAGAAAGATTGTGTGGTCGTTTTGCATTGCCTTCACACCCCGAGTGATAAATGTTCGACCATCGCGTACTCGATCGACGTGATAATACATAGCATCGCTTGAAGTCCCAGGAAAATCAAACGTACAGTGCATTGAGTGCACATGAAATTCCTCCATCACAGTCTCATAAGCAGCATTCAGGCTTTGTCCAATTGTAATACCCCCAAAGATTCCTCGAGCACCTTTAGGACGCCAGAGTGACTGAACGTTGACATATATATCAGGACCCCTATTAGAAGCACTTTCGACCTCAAGCTGTGCCTCAATAAGAGATTTCGAATTCATTGGCGAGTTCGGCCGAGGCGTAGATGTTTCCATGTCTGACGCGGGTTGTAGGTGTTCAAGGTGCGGCTTCAGTCTTTAAGCTTACACACTTGGCAGTAATTTCGAATCGTTCAAGACAATCAAATGAAAAACTAATATTATAAATGACATAACGAGGTGGTTGCACCGGCATATTAAATTAGCCCCGATGTTATGGCAAGCGAAATTCTCCAGGACGCTCGGAATGGTCATCGGTTCGGAATTTTTCTGCGAAAGGGGAGTTCAGTGATCGAATGGATCCCGTGGGGGGCACTTATCCAAATTTCAATTCCATAAGTACTCCTCAAATATTAATCTGATATGCCTGACTTTTGGGGCTACTTACATCCCATTTCCGGAAACCAAACGGCATGGCTCTAATTACATCCGATAAGATGGTCCACTTGCGGACTGATCGATCTATCACTCAGATGATGCTCGAAAATCCATCAAATACAGACCCCAACAAAGTCATACTGGAGGTTACAGTAACAGGGGATACTGCAACTTATGGAAGTCTGCGAAAGGATGCTTTCATCGCAGCATGGTCCCTTCGCCATCGCCATGGAATTTCATCTGGCGACGCCGTGAGCATCATTTCAAGGAGCAATGTCCGTGTCTCATCACAACCTTGTTTCCATTTGCGAGATGCTTAGAGCACACAACCCGGAAAACTGGCGAAGCAGCATGCGAGAAGTCTTTTTCCGGTACGCGTGCTGATAGGTTTTACCCTATTGTGGGCCAGCGAGAAGCGAGTAATTTTCACTAATGTTTCAACTACAGCCCCGTATGTGTGATAACTACACATTGTAGATATAAGCTAAATCAACCGAACTGGTGATATTGGATATTTGGATAAGAACGGATATCTAATCATCGTTGACAGGATCAAAGACGTGATACATTATAAAGGGTACGAGGAATAAATCTCTGGTTATGATAGATTGGAGAAACACTGGCAACAACTATTGCTCTTTTTAGGTTTCAAGTAAGCCCAACTGAGCTGGAGGAAATCATTGGGCAGCATTCAGAGGTTGCGGATGCAGCCGTTACGTCGGTCTGGGACGATAAAGAGGCCACTGAGATCCCATGTGCCTTTATAATCCCCAAACGCAAGGCACGTGAGCAGCTTGCCAACGAAATTCAGGAACTTGTTTCATCCAAAGTTGCAGCCTACAAGAAGCTACGAGGCGGTATCTACTTTACAGATAATTTGCCTCGGAATCCCACTGGAAAACTGCTGAGGAGATAATTGCGGAACAAGGCTCAAATTATCGCGCGGATTTGAGCATGTCTTTTTGGTGGTTGTCAAGCCGTTATTTCAACCTGTACACGCCATTACTTCATGACATTGCAATCAAATATCAAGATCCCCGTTTAGGGCTCTCCAACTTCAAAGTTGAAAATTCCGCAGGAAAGTAGATTTCTACAGTTTGAATAGTATATGCAGTGAAGAATGGTTTACAACACGCCCACGTAGAATGCGTATGAATTTAACTCCTAAACTAAAACCGGGGATTTAGGACCTGACAGTGGCCCACTGTCGGAATTTACGAGCTACGTATACTTAAGATATCTTCGGTGGATAATTTATGTGACCGAACCAAAATCAGTAGATTCAAAGAAGTCATATTGGACCTGCCCTGCCGCCGGTTTAAATAACGCACTCCTTTTTTTTATATTTGCCTTTTTCCTTCCTACCGGCAATTTTGATCAATTTGGGAGATCCCTTCACTATGCCAGCACTCGATTCTATCCGCGTATTGGAGCTAGCAGGACTGGCACCTGGGCCATTCGCAGGGCTCCTGCTGGCTGAGAATGGCGCAGATGTTTTGAGAGTGGACCGCGTTGAGCCAGGCCCTACTCCAAGCCCGGATGTCCTGGTACGTGGGAAATCATCTATATGTGTCGATCTCAAAAGCGACGAAGGACAACAACTTTTTCTGCGACTGATCCCTCATGTCGATGTTGTGATCGATCCTTTCCGACCTGGAGTCTTGGAGAAATTGGGACTTGATCCCACTAGAGTTTTGCTACAACAAAATCCCAAGCTCATTGTGGCACGGCTCACTGGATTCCGACGAGATGGAAAGTACTCTAGTATGGCGGGTCACGACCTCAATTACCTTGCTGTCTCTGGCGTTCTGTCAATCCTGGGCCCTTCCATTCGGCTCCCGCCTTTGAACCGTCCTCTTCCACCTAGCCCGCCTGGAAATATTCTCGGAGACTTCGCTGGCGGTGGACTTGTTTGCTTTGTTGGAATTTTATTGGCGCTGATCTCACGCACGAAAACTGGAAAGGGCCAAATCGTGGAAGCGAACATGGTTGATGGTGTGTCTTACTTGGCTACCGCCCCTCGAATTTCAGGTAAAATTTCAGGCCAGTGGGACCAACCCCGGGGGAGAACCTAGTGGATGGAGGGTGTCCTTATTACAATGTATACGAGTGCAAGGACGAAGGCAAATACATGGCTGTGGCATCACTGGAACCGAAGTTTTTTGAGGCTCTGAGCCATGGTCTCCGCTTGTGTGACAAGGATTGGGGAGGAAGTCGCGAGGACCGAAAGAATTGGCCAATGATCAAGATTCTCTTTGAGAAGGCATTCCGAACGAAAACTCGAAAAGAGTGGGAAGCTATTTTCGATGGTACTGATGCCTGCTGCACTCCTGTCTTGAGGCACGAGGAACTGGAACTTAACAATTACGAGCAGCGCCCATTGGTCTCACTCAAAAATACCCCCTCACTCATGCCTGATAATGGATGGGCAGTGAAAACTCTTTCGCCAGGAATTGGAGGAGAAGACCTGCTACGAAAGTGGGCCGGGTGGAAAGAGAACAAGGACTTTGTAACAGTCAATGGAGGGCTCTACAACAAGGAGGCGGCTAAAATGTGAATCTATTGAGAGCGGCGGCATACTAATGTATAAAATTTGCCGCATGAGTATAAAGCCCACCTTCGTACAGAACATCGTGATATTTGAATTGATGTACCAAATATTCTCGTTCTTCTAAAATAATTTCGATGAATTTATTTCCCAGTGGTAACAAGTGTATTGACTGTGGATACACAAGCGCATCCGCGTTGCACAATTTGTTATGTAAGGAAAGTTATACAATCCAATTTCGATATTATAATCGGGAAGAGGAGGTCTGTAACCGTTGGACGACCTGCTTGATGGCTTTCTGAGTATCCTTCTGGTCACCCCAGAAAGCAGCCAATGCCCTTGCGGCTTGAATTAATTTCTGGATGCCGTCAATTCCGCGGGCAGCATGATCTGCAGGTACATAATCACCTGGTTGATCTAAAGACTTATTGAAAACCTCAAGAGAGATTGGTCCCTTGTAGCCGGTTGCAAGAACTGCAGCAGCTACTAACTCGACCGGCATATAACCTCCGTATGCTTGTTCAAGAGGGTAGAGACGGTGCCCCCTAGACCATGGCAGAAGCAAAGGTGTCTCCGGGTCAGTCGGTGGATGAAAGGTTGTTGGATTCATCAGCTCCGCGTCGCCACATTGGAAAAAGAAGATTCGATCACCTGGTACTGTTGTCGCTAAGGACGCCAGGGATCCAGCGAGAATGCTGATTGATTCGTTGAGAGTTGAGTAGATTCGACCATGCCCAGCATGATTAAAGGGGTCCGCAAACTCAACCGCCAGGATATTGAAAGCATCGATAATCAAGCCGACATTAGGGCGGTTGGCAAAGCGCACCACTTCCCATGAGGCTGACCATGTATTCCGTGTAGCCCAGGATAGACCTTCATAGCCAATCTTTAGCATATTCCCACCGTCTGCCTTGGCATAGGCTGCTGCCATATCTCCAAGCTCAGCCAAATCTTTTGCAACGGTCTTGAGATCTGACGTCACTCCCTTATCGGTGCGAATACTCGCACACATAAAAACAAGGTCGGTGTCGAAGGCTCGCATAAACGGGAACCGCTTCGCAACGAGATTGAGAGCATTTTGGCGCTCAGCCGGGTCTTTAATTCCTTCAATCTTGCGCAGGGGTTGAGTACAGGCAATGCGCATGCCCATGGACTTGACCAGATTCCCTAACGTACGAGCCACCCGCAGGTTTTCGGGAGTTTCTTCCCATAATCTATCCCCAGAAAGGCCATGTTCCTCCAGATATGCCGCCCAACACTCATCAAAGAGGTCGATCCATTGATAACCAGCTTTCGCGGCTGCTGCAAGACGGTGTTCAAGCCGGTGGCTTCTCCAGTTACCGAGAGACAGGGTGGCAATCCCATATTCATTATCCAGGGATGGAGGCCACTGAATTGGCATAGTGACAATGGGTAAAAATGCTCGGACTCGAAGGGTAAATGCGCTGTGGGTGCTGACCATCCATCGCACTAATTTTGTAAAAGATGGGGATGATCGATTAGCCGTTCGTCGTTCCCCACCTTCGCAGTCCGGCGCCTTTTTTAAATAGCCGGCTTCAATTTCAGTCGTCGATAGGCCTCCAGTAACTCAAAGCACCACATGAATCTGAATCCGGCGATGTAACCGATATAATAAAGCATTGGTGGAATCTGTCTAAAAGCGTAGGGACAGATTTTGCTAAGCTAGAAAAGGATTCGCACCTCAGGCAGCAAGGCATCTGCAGATACAATAGGCGCCTGCTATAGGCGAGGCGAGTAATGGGTAACCTGGGTCTACGGTTATTTTCATCTAAATATTATAGGATCTAATATAGCACAAGTAGCTTATTACATACCATTATTGTGAGAACAGGATATATGGAACGCTGTCTTATCGCAGCGATTGTATCACTTGTATCACCACAACCTAAGGATCCAGAATCTGGATGAGTAAGGGTCAAACTTAGGAAGAAAGACGTAGCAAAAACAGTCTCAGCTCTAAATTAATTCCGCAATTGAATCAGAGCAGCAACAACAGTAGTACTTTATAACTGTCTACAACAGAGCCTTCTTTGCTGACGAATTGAACCACATGGCCAAAGAATACAGTGCTAACACACAAGAATGATGTCTTGACCAGAAATTTACGTTAAAAAGTCGATATTAGGAAATTTAAACTATATCCACCAAGACGAGGTTTGTGAAATTCTTGCGTTGTCGCTCAACTTGACGCCGGCCTTTACAAGAATATGCCGGCCCTGGCGTTGCGGTGTTGAAGGATATGCGAACGAATATATTTTCCTCCAGAGCAACCCCAATAAACTAAGCAAGTTTCTTTTTTCTTCAGGGCATATCTAACATGGATATTCTCAAATCTTCATATATTTATGGTCGTTCTCCACTGTCCTCTGAGGCTTTGGCCAAACCTTTTCAAATATATTTGTTTGGAAAGCCCATATCCCAATCTTTGTCGCCTCTTCTCCATTCCATACTTTTTCGATCCAACCGGGCGTCATGGGACTTTTATTCCAGGGAAACTACTGACCCAAGGGTCTTCCAGGAGCGGTTGAATGATCCAAATTGCATTGGAACATCCATCACGATGCCCAACAAAGTTGCATTCCTCGACCTACTGGATGAACTGTCCGAAGAGGCTACAGCTATCGGGGCTGTCAACACGTCATTTGTTCGACTCGACCAACATGGAAATCGGAGACATGTTGGCACAAACACCGATTGCATTGGCATACGTGAGGCAATCTTAAATCAAGCCCCACTTGCATCCAAGGCTGCACAAGGTCGACCCGTGCTGGTAATCGGAGGCGGGGGCGCGGCTCGAAGCGCGATTTATACTCTCTGGAGGTGGTTTGGGCCTTCTAAAATCTACATCGCCAACCGCCTCAAGTCGGAGATAGATGCCTTGGTTCAGTTTTTCCACTCTACAGCACCAGGAATGAGGCTCCACCCGTTAATCACCGTGGAAGAAGCACGGTGTATTGATACTCCGTACATTGTGGTGGGCACCATTCCAGACAACCCACCTCGAGAGCCCGGCGAGATTCTTTGTCGACAAATCTGTGACACGATTCTTCGCAAAGACGGCAGAGGTATTTTCCTCGATATGTGCTACCTGCCATCTCCGATGACACGCCTTTACACTAGTGCCGCTGCAAATGGCTGGCAGGTTGTCTCTGGAACTGACGTTCTGGTGCGAGTATGCATTGCGCAACAGACCTTGTGGCTGGAAATGAATACGAATGAGGCTGGTATGAGAGAAGCCACGTCAGCTCTTTGGGAAATTACCCAATCTCAACATAGGACTCAAAATTCCAAGCTTTAGCTATATGAATGTACCTAAAGAATATATAAAACAAAGTCCCCAATGTGATTTTCTGCGAAAATATCAAGCGAAAAGCCGCAATGCGTAGACCCATTGAATGTTACAAGTATTTCCGTTGTGCAAGTTTTTTTCTACAACTCCTAGATTTTCTTTCGCCAATGGTACGACCATAGACATCCAGGTAGGGGGAGGAATGTGAGTCACATATAGACACTCTTAGCGTTCGTTCCTGCTGTAGAATGGAAACCTGCTAACCATGCCAAATTTCCAATGATGATTCTGGTATCCACAAGAACTTACCCCGCACTCATTTGAAAGCCCCGGAGACCGGAGATCAGATCAAGGTACCGGGCGTCGGGGTGGCGGGGAAGGCGAAGGGCTTAGTTTCTACAAAATTGGAGGCAATCCAGTTATATTTTTCAGTGAGGAAAACATCTCTTACACTATCGTGCGATTCCTCCAACTTTTCGAACTTAGCCTTCCCCCCCGTCATGGCAGTGTCTCATATAGCTCCCTTGGCACAGGTAAATCCGATAAATTCATAACGGTGCTTAAGTCCTAACATAATTATTGAAGCCCATCACGCTGAAACTTTCCGGGAAAATCATACCAAATCGACTTTATCGAACACCGCTGAGCGAATACGCCTCTACATATGACGAGAATAATGTTGGAAACTGCGGCAAGCCACTGGACCGCTACGCTGAACTGTATCAAGGTATATTTGTTCCGCCGAAGGTGCATGGTTTAAAGTTGATGAAACTGACCTTGCATCCAGAACTCGCGGATGGGGGTGCCGGATTGATCTGCACCGGCAACATTCCGATCCACCGTGATAATCTGGAAAATTACAACAACGCAGTGCTGGACCCAAACAACACTTGGGATCCTATAGCAGCATTTGCTCCTGCGGTAAAGGCCGCTAAATCTAGAGGCGCCATCTTCCTTCCTCAGCTTCAGTTTCCAGGACGACAAGTCCCCGAATTCTTGAATCAGAACCCCAAATCCGCATCCGACCAACAACTTGAGCCTTGCTTGAACAAAACCTATGGAAAACCGACCCCCTTGACGAAAGCAGACATCGATGATCTAGTATCTCGATATGTCTGGGCTGCAGGGGTCCTTGACAAAGCGGGTGCAGACGGCATCATTGTAAGTGTTGCGGACTTGATTTGAATTGCCAACTGTATATTTTGAACTCCAAAGCTAATATGACGCGTTCGGCAACAGCTTCATGCCAGCCATGGGTATATCATGAACCAGTTTCTCTCTCCATTGACAAACAGACGCACGGACGAGGTAAACAATAATATGCTTCTCATAATCACATAAAACAGCTTCGCGGTGCTAACTGACATCTAGTATGGTGGATGCTTGGAAAACCGCGCCAGGTTAATCCTTCAAGTCGTCAACGCCATAAAGGCAAAGCTCCCTTCAGATAAATTTGTCATCGCAGCCAAGCTGAACTGTCATGATTGTTAGTTTATCGACTCTCCGTTGAATATGCGCCGACTAATGATCCGACGTCAACAGTTATCGAAGGTGGCCAAAGTTTCGCCGAGCAATGTATTGTGATAAAATGGCTCGAGGAAGCTGGTGTTGACTTTTTTGATATCTCAGGCGGCACATATGCTTCGCCCGCCTGGCGCGGCAATATTATGACTGAGCTGGCAGATCGTCCTTCGCAAAAGGAGCGTGGGAGGTGCGTCAGCCTTTTATTGTTATGACACAGAAGGGCGCTGACTTTTGTAGTTACTTCATCGAATGGGCACAGGAGCTTAAGAAGGTGTTGGTATGTACATTCTCTGTCACCTCTTCCCTTTCTAACATTTATAGTCGCGCGCTGTTATTGGCACCACTGGTGGCTGGCGGGATAGTCACCGTATGTCCGAAGCCGTCGAACGAGGGGACATCGATATGTGTGGTCTGGGTCGGCCATTGAGAGAGGATCCATTCTTTGTAAATCGTGTGCTTCGTGGTGAAGTTCGTCAAAGCAACCTGTAGACTGATCAGTCAGTTTCTTTGGGAAATGGCTGATCAAGGAATTTTGGTTTCATTACTAGAGCAGATACAAAATAACGACTTCATTGGAGGACTTGCTTTTCGGAGAATAGGAATGTCATAACAAGCTGTGAGGGCAATTCGGTACACTCTCCGCTAAAAAAAAAAATAACCTCATATGTATGAAGCCACGATCCGAAAATTGTTCATAAGGAATAACCTGTTGGAGCTTATGGATTCAATTATCAGCTTGACTTAAAATTCAAAAGACACCACCAAAACCAGGCCCAAACAACTCTCTGAAAAGATCCGCAAATCCTTCTCCGGTAAGATCTCCCTGCATTGACATGTCCACAGTTGTCAAGAAAGGATCATAATTAGAGACAAGCGGGTCGCAAGAAAGATTTCCCGCTGCTTCGTAATGTCTGACAATGGGAATTTGTGCATCATAGTTGCGATCGTAGGTTAAATCGGACTGGCCATTCCCGTACTGTGTGTAGTCTCGGAGATCAGCAGAGCGCGCACGTAGAATCATCATAAGATGTTGTCCAAGCAATGCTGCGATGCCGAAGCGATGCGAGGGGTTCGTGCCGGCACGCTCAAGCTGGAGGGCTACCTGGCTGAGCAAGGCTAAGAGTTCTGTTTCGCAGCCAACCCGGGGCTCAAACAGCGTTGGGAACAGCTTGAGAGCGAGGACACCGGCATAAGAAATCATCGCCCATGTTGGAGCTAGCATGCAATATAATGGCTCCCCAACAGCTTGTAAATCGCGCACTGCAACTTCACAGCATTTTACGGCTGCTTCGAAACAGTCCTGGTGGATTTCGTCCAGATCTCGACCGCCATTTATGGAGCTGTGTAGCGCAAACGACAGTGTCCAAAGCCTTCCGTGCATGTAAACATAAGTCAGAAAAATGTTGGAAAGCTGCTCGGATGGTGATGTAGACACATTGACAAGGGAATTTGGCAACCATGTCTCGCACCAGGGTTGTAAGGTTGCATCAACCAAATCTCGTACCCAGTGCGGTTCAGAATGAATCAAGCAGGCCTGGCGTCTTAAATCACCCTGTAGAGATGCCAGATTCCGCCGTAATGTGATAAAGGCGCATGTGTGCTTATCAGTCGGGCTTGCGAGTGGATGCAGCCACCAGCTTTCAATATTTTGCGTCAACTCTGTCTCAGGAAAGCTATTAGTGCGCCCACGTGCCGCACTATTAGCCCGTTCCCATAGTAATATTCGTAGCCATGTTCGTTCTCGGTTACGGGCCAGTCGTTGTCCGTATACGGAATCTTCGAATGCGTGATCAAAGGCAGCTTGAGGTAGCGTATCTCCTGGGCGCAAGGCTGATAGGTCATTCTTTCGCTGCTCAACATGCGAAGCAAAGACATGGTGTGATGGCCGCGAATCCTCATTCCGGGGATGAGATTCGTGATCCAATCCCAGTTCGGCGGCTACCCCAAAAGCATACATTGTGTAGAGCCAGGAGCGTTCTTCCGCCAATGTTTCGGCTGGAGTGGCGGATAGTAAGCATATGTAGTAACCTTGCACGATCTCGACTGATTTGTAGCCACATGTATGTACGTATTTGGAGAGCTTTTCTCCATGAAGCCGAAGTCGCTTTGCAATGGAGGCTGACGCAGGGTCGAATTGTGCTGTAAGTGCAAGAATCCATGTAAAGAGTAGTGCCGAGCGAGAGCGTACAAAGTCAGGCGTATGAAGAATCGGATCGAGAATGCCGTTGACGGGATGCAAGCGGGTAAAATATCTGGGAATAAGTAAGAATACTACCAATCTTCGCTGGCTAAATCGGGTGAATCCTACATTGGAAACAAATAGTATGCCTCTTGCATCGTGACTAGCCCGAGATCTACCGGATCTAGGTCAGGTCCTATATCACGGAGCGGCATCCGAGCTGGCGATTTGAAATAATTCGAATACTGGGATCCGTTCTCCCTTGGAGCCAACAGGGCATCCAACCCCTGCTCAAGACTCTCTCGGTCAAGTTGTAATCCAAGAGACACGTAACCTGGCCGACTCAGAAGGCGACGGCCGAGACGTCCATCAGCGGTTAGGCCGTGAATCTGTTGGGTGGTGGATGGGGCACCATTCGAAGCAGGGGACGTATGTGCTGGCGGTGAGAGCGGCTCCAGAGCTTGGGCAGCATCGGAGGCATCTGCAAGCAATGCTAAGGGATTGCTGATTGGCTCTTGGCTTGGTTGAGATAATTCACTGCAGGGAGCATAGGCCGCCGGTGAGACGATGTCGGTCCGACACGCGGAGTCTTGGATTGCCATCTGGACAGATTCCGTAAAAGGGGCGCTAGATCCTTTGGGGGGACTGAACGCCAGGGGACATTTCCTCTGGGTCGTTAGAGAGTAAAAGATCCAGAATCGGCTCCTCTCCCGCCGGGACGCTGACAATCTCCTGAACGCTTTCCACTCTACGCGACAGCCTGGCTTTCTTCAGCTCCGATTGCATTTTTCTGTATGCCTTTTCAAATCCTTGATAACGACCCACAGCGCCTCGTTTTCTACCCAGTGGCCGAGGCTTCGGGATATTGCAAGCACGATTGGTTCTTTTGCACCGCTCGCAGGGCTCAGTCGAGCCGTCGTTGCGTTCCTGATTATTGGAGCGGATGCATCTCATCTGCCGGTACTTGTCAGCAGATAAACAAAACATAACTTTCTTCTCGCTGGCATCCTGGCTAACCTTCAACTTGCGACATGCCTCACAGGCAGCCGCAGTAGCAGAGCGAGTTTGCCCGCTCAAATTGGCCTCTCCGGGAGCCGGAGACGCCATTGTTATCCGGGATATGCAATCAAGGGTTTAGTGTATATTCAATAACAGGGCGTGTCAATTCGAAAAGAGGTCGGGAAGTCTCCATGTTGATAGGAAAAGCGGAGAAGTCAGGTTTAGTCTCCGGAGTTGGGGATTTTCTATGATGCGGGGTTTCTCGGGTTCCAGTGTCCAATGACTGCCGCCCTGTTTTTTTTTTTTTTTTTTTTTTTTTTTTTTTGGAACTACGCAATGCATTTGCTACCGCCAACTGCCGGTTTACGCTAGTTCAAGTATATGCTATTCACTGACCCATGTTTCAAATGCCCCTTCCTCCATCAACCTCCAACGTGGTTCCTGTCACGAAACTGCTTTGGTCGGTACCCAGATACCACGCCGCGTCTGCAATATCCTGTGGCTGACATACCCGTTTCATGGGCAAAGAGTCTTCTACTTGCCGCAAGCGCTCGCGTGACTCTTTTCCATTTCCAATGCTGGCTTGGAGCCTGGATGTCTATTGTGAATCACTGCCGGCCAGATAATGACTTTAAGAGGGCTTACATGGTAGTATCTCCGACGGCTGGGGAGATACAATTAAACCTAATGATTGGAGCATATTCTAATGCCATTGTTTTTGTTGCAACCTGAGCTTGTCATGATATGGTTTCGGGAAAGTGAGTTGTTTGAACTCACCGTTACAGCAGCTTTGGATGCATTGTAGATAGCGAATCCCGGACGAGGTCGTGTGCAACCAGTGCTTTTTCATGTAAGTCACATCAGGATACAACTGTTATAGGTAATACAATACCTTGTAATGTTAATGAAAGCGCCATGGCCCTGTTGAAGCATGACTGGAGCAATAATCTGTGCACTGATGAAGACAGGCTGAATGGGCTTTGTCAGTATATGTTTCCAGGGGGCTCTTCCACGGCACAATACCTTGACATTAACATCAAATGCTTTTTCATATTCAAGCATAGTCTTGGTATGGATTGGCTGGAGCAGGCTAGTAAGCGACAAGTTAAGTTAAGAACAAGACGAGGGCATACTGCAGGATCGTGGGTAATTCCTAAGCAAGTCCAGATTAATAAGTAGCCATTTGTATCTCTGTCTGATATTCGCACCAGCATTATTTATTACCAAGTCAACATGCCCAAATGTTGTCAGCGCAAAGGCAATAGCTCGTTCCCATATCTCGGCACAGGTCACATCGCCACATATGAAGTGCAGATTCGGGTCGGCCTGTTGCTTCTGTTCTCCTTTCACCCGGTTCAAGTCCAAAATAATGACTTTAGATCCCTCTTGGTTGAATCGATCTGCGATGGCCGCCCCGAAGCCATCCGCTCCCCCTGATGCCTTCTGCTTAGTTTTGGCCCTCGCGAAGAAAGGATCGGGACTCACCAGTGACGATTACCACGCTCCCAGAGTTGATTCTTGCTCTCAATGCCATTTTGAACTATAAAATTGGTTCACTTTCTGTCGGGTTGTATTTTTCTCATTTTAGCCGCTGTCACTCCTCTTTACGTTTTCTCGGAATTGAAGTAGGATCTTCCCCGCACAGTTTACTCCGCATATCCGGGCCTAAATTTGGGCCCCGGAGAAGGACGGACGCCTCGAAAGTGTTTCCAATCCTCATGCCGGCATATCTCTCTTCACTTCTGCTACCACTGTACTTTCAACATTGAAATCTTATATCAGCAAAAGATGACATTTCCTAAGGTGGCCATTGCCACCAACTCTTTGGGAAAATCCGCCGCAGGTCATGCTATCCTCCGCAAACTTGAAGCTGCTAAGTCACATGGCTATGACGGGATAGAAGTTGCGATGGAATGTCTTGAGGCGCATGCTTCCTCCTTTCCGCTGCACTATTCTCGGGAACATCGACTTCGTGCTGCCGCAGCTGATGTAAATCGAAAGGCCGGCGAGCTAGGGCTGCATCTCATTTCGCTCAATCCATTCGGGGCGTATGATGGGTTGACAAGTGCTGAGGAAATTGAGTCGCGCCTCCAAGAAGCTAAGTTGTGGCTTAATCTTTGTCAATTGATGCACATATCTATCTTCCAGGTACGTCGCCCAGAATGGCTAGCGACAATTTGGATGTCATTGATGTGTTTAGATTACTTCATGTCTGTACCCGATAGACCACTCTCGAATCACTCCAAACTTGACTCATATTGCCCGAAATATGAGACGATTGGGTATTCTCGCCCAAAAGTTTAACTTACGAGTTGCATATGAAGCACCTGCGTGGGGAATCCACTTGAGTACATGGCAACAGATTCACGAGGTGATCAAGCTTGTTGATCTTCCAAATGTGCAGCACTGCCTTGATACTTTTCATATATCTGCCAAAGAAGCCGGAGATCCGTTCAATGCCGCCGCGCCTATTCGGCCAAATGGTTTATCAAATTTAAAGCGGAGCTTAGATGAGATGAAAGAGACGCTCAAGCCATCACAGATTGCGTACTTGCAATTGAGCGATGCAACGATTGCCGACCAATACCAGAAGGACTACCCGCGTCGTGATCTCAAACAGCCACCCTACATGACACAGTCACGAAACTGCCGCATTTTCCCTTGCGAATCCGAGTTCGGGGGCATACTTCCCGCTGTTGATGTTGCCAAGGCTGTCTTTGACTTAGGATATACTGGCTGGGTATCCATGGAAGTCTTCCACACGGACATGTGGGATCCGCGACCTTCGTAAGTCCAGGATTTGCGTCGATAATATCATTTACTTATTCTTTTCTTCAAGGGTTCCGGATGACTGGGCAAGTCGCGGAATGGCGTCTTGGCGCCGAATCGTGTCTCTGTGTGGTCTCGATAAACTAAACAATAGTAAGTTTTCACATTGAGCGCTGCTTACCACCATGTTAATTGTCACAGGCAAATTGTAAGCTACTTATGCTCTGCCCTTCCCGTTTCCTATTTAAGATTCTGTGAATATGAAGAACAGTTGCAAACACAGAAGTCTTTCTGGTGTCGTAAAATGCGATGTAGCATGACTCCCCTCCCCGGTGTAAACAGTAGAAGGTTAATATTTTTCGTTGTCCCGAAAGTTTCACTAATCAAGTTAAAGTCTTGTTAGTACGTTTTTATCGACCTATAACAATGTCTGCTGGTCCAAATCATCCATTATTGATTGGTGTGGGGGCCAACCCGGCCGGCCATTTAATATAGGTACCGGGTGAACCGACACAACACAGCTACTCGCCGGCACGGCCACATAAAATTCGTAGTAAAATATAGCTATCCCTTCTGGGCAATTTCCGTCATTAGTGAATATTTTCTCAACGGGATAAATCCCGTTTCATCCATTCTTCCAATATCTGCATAATGGAAGTCATCAATGTCGATGTCTTGGTATGTGGAGGGGGGATGTCGGGGATGGCATGTGCTGCTTTTACAGCAGATGCAGGAGCCAAAACCTTGGTTATTGAAAAGCAAGGAACTGTTGGTGGATCTTCCAACTATTCAGCTGGCATGTTGTATGTGTCCGATGTTCCTGCGAGGATTCGTTCAAGGGCTAACAAAAAGCCTCGCGTAGCTGGGGACCCCAGACCTACAAAAAGTTGAGATCATGGGTGCCGAATGGCGATCCGGTACTGCAACGTGCGTGGCTGTCTGACTATCTTCCGGCTGTCCAATGGATGCGCGAGAATGGAGTTCCAACGGCAAGTCGGTTCGACGGCATTATGACCATCGGTATGTTCTGAATTGTATTCCTCCACCTCCAGCGGATGCCTTCTGATCAATTTCGCAGGTATTGGATTTCCAATTAAAGTACCTCACCTCCATAATCTGCATCGCAAACGCATTGAGCGCAGCAATACTGGATCGAAAATTTTGACCAACTCGTCGGTTGTCAAGCTCATCCAGGAGAAACCAGGCGTCCCTGGTTCGCGTATCACCGGTGCCATAATTTGCTGCCGCAGTTCAGATAAATCCCCAGCCACCTATCTTGAAGTTCGTTCCAAGATGGTCGTGTTAGCTACGGGCGGGTTCCAGGGCTCTTCGCGCATGACAGCCAAGTATCTCGGACAGGGTGGTGACGATATCTTCGTGCGCTCGAACCGGGGCTCGGTCGGTGACGGGCTTAACTTGGCGGTCCAGGCAGGTGCCGCGACTAGCAGAGGCATGAGCACATATTATGGTCACCTGTTAGCTGCTCCAATCCGAGCAGAAGACGTCGATCCAAAAGACTATCTCCCATTGGCACAGTATCGTAAGTGACGAGCCATTTCAAAGCGGACGTCATGTTAAACTAATAATTCAACAGAAAGCAAATACTGCTTGCTATTAAATGAAGGAGGTCGGCGATTTGCAGACGAGACAATAGGTGACGAGATTGTCAATCAGTATCTCGCTAAGCAGGAAAAACGTCGGGGGTTCCTGATATTCAAGTAAGCTGTTCATGTTGAATTCACTCATCAGCGTTCGAACACCGTTTGCTAATTAGTATAAAGTGAAAAAACTCGCGTGCAACATTGCATGTCTGCATTGTTCCCAAACGCCGGGGACGTCGACCGTCTGCAGAAGGCTCGTGACCATGGATGCAATGTTGGGAGTGCGCCCACCTTGGACGGATTAGTGGCCATTTTGCAGAATTGGGGGGTTGACGGGGTGCAAGCAAGACATACAATTGATCATTACGATCGAGTCGTACGCTTAGGTGATATGGATGTCGCCCTTGATGCCCCTGTCGGGAGGGGCTGCCCTCCTCCTTCCACCTTGCTGGACGGAGAGGGCCCTTTTTACGCCATTGAGGTTCAGCCATCGTAGGTACTGCCCTAAGTCTTGACTACTTCCATCAGCTGACCTCATTATAGGATCACGTTCACGTATGGTGGCATCGCCATCGATATGAAAGGTCACGCTCTGACAGGAGATAAGACGATTATTCCCGGTCTTCTCATCGCGGGTGTTGACGCAGGGGGTTTTAGCAACCTTGGATATGCCGGTGGACTTGCTCTTGCCTTTGTAACTGGTCTTTGGGCTGCGCGAGAAGCTGCGAGTATACTCGGATTGCCCCAGCCACGTCTGCCAGCGGCTGATCCACGGGATGCTCAGGAAAGCCTAATCCAAGGGCGTCTGTGATCGATTAACGTTGTAGATCTATAAAGAGTGCTTTTTTTATGCAGTTAAATATTTACCTTGCATTTCCTTACATGCTTGAACCAGGAGCACTGGGACCGCCAAGCCTTTTTCTCAATTGTGTTCTCGCCTTCCAGCATCGAAACAGATCGATCCTCCACGTACACCCTAGCCCACCTGAGCTCCTGCAACCAGAATCGCACGATACCGCATTTTGCCATCTTCTAGGGTCTGCAAACTCTGCTTTACAGCTTCGGTTTAATTGCAATTCTAGTCTCTTATCTCTGATAGCTTGCAACCTAATGCACGTGAATGCTCGTTTAGATATACGGCAAATTGCAGAGCTCCTGCCACATGCAGGCATCAATAATAAAGAAAATATATGATTCTTTCAATTTTCTGGGTCGATACATTGCTATCTCACAAATCTCTATTATATCCCATTATTCTTGGATGGTGAGCGCAGTTCCAACAGTAGTTTCCTCTTTGAGTCCAGTCTTTGTTTCCACATGTTCCTTCCCCAAGCGGATCTTCAAAACGAAGAAACTTGCAAATATACCCAAGCCAGACATGCATGTATACATGATCCACATATTTCGCAAGCTCCAGGAAAAGGCATTTCTAACAGTAAGCACCTGGGTCGCATCCTCAATGGTCTTTATGAGCTCAATATTTGCTGCAGCAGAATCTCCCGACATCTTCTCCGCCATATACTCTGACATTCCAGCAGCCAGAAATTCAGGCTTCATGTGAGCCATGCTGTTTTGGAAAACAACACCCCCAATGACAATTGATGCAGCCGTTGCCAGATTTCTAATGAAACCAAGTGTAGCAGTCGCGGTCGCTGTTTCTTCCTGGGATACCATTGCTTGAATAGCGATAATTGGGGTTTGGAAAAGGAATCCAGCTCCAATACCACTAACAATCTGATAACCAATTATCTCACCTAGAGATGAGTGGGTATTGAGATGGATGTATAAACCACTTCCAATCGCCAGCAAGGCCAGCCCTAGCCAAATAAGCTCTAGGTATCGTCCAGTCCGATGGATAATTGCGCCTGTGACTATGCCGGAGAAGGCTTCAGTGACGACAAGGGGCAGGACCATCACTCCAGATCGCATAGCTGATGCACCTTTCACTGATTGCAGGTACAGCGGGATATAGTATTCTCCAGCAATAAACACCTGTTCGTTAATAATTAGCTCATTCTTTTTGAGATGAAAGGGCTGCTCACAAAACCATGTGCAAAGGCCACTGCGAGGCTAGCAATATTAGACACCCTAGAAAAGAGACTTAGTGGCATCAGAGGGTGTTTGGCAAGCCGTTTCTCGCTATAAATGAATAGCAAAGAGCAAAGCGACCCAAACACGATCATGCAGATCACTTGCGGTGAGCTCCAAGAAAATGTCTCGCCGCCGAAATCTAATGCCAGGAGCAGCATCAAGGTGAGGCCCAAGATAGATATGCTTCCAAACCAGTCAATAGCCCGGAAGCCATCCATGATCTTGGTTTGGGGATTGTGAACATCCAAAAAGAACAATAACAGTATGAATGCAAGCCCTGAAACAGGCAAATTGATCCAGTAGTTCCATCTCCAAGAGACGTACTCGGAAAATGCACCGCCAAGAAGTGGACCAATGCCACCAGCCAGAGCCCACATCAATTCCATCAATCCAAGATAGAGACTTCGGTGCCTGTTGTATTGTCAGCTTGTACGCCGGAATGTAAGATGGGTTTCCATCAGGTTTTACCTAATACTGAAAAGGTCAGAGATAACGATCGTAACCAGCTGGATTAAACCACCACCAGCGACGCCTTGCAGCGCACGACCAGCGATAAGCATTGGCATATCCACAGCAGTGGCACAGATTATTGAGCTTATAAAGAACCACACAACCGCTAGAAGTAAAATGAGTTTGCGACCCCATATGTCGGACAGCTTGGCCCAAATGCAGGCGCCTGCAGCGTTAGCAAGAAGGTAAGCGCCTCCAATCCAGGTATATCCGGCTGCCGAGTGAAGTTTTGCAGCGATTGTTGGAATCGCTGTAGCCATTATTGTCTGATCTAGCGCGGCAACGAACATGGACAACTAGATACCGGTCAAATTCTGGGATACAATCAAATGGACAGAGTATGTATACCGAAAGAGCCACCATGATGGCAAAAAGGCGGACTTTACTCCGCTGCGGTGCCGGCGTAGTTGATTCCGGGTCCATGTTGACACTCGAGAGCTTCTTATCCATGACGGGTACTCTCTAGCCACCTTTTCCACAGAGGAATATAAAAGAAGTTCGTGTTTGTTTCAAGATCGCTGGGAACGCTGAAGGTGAGCGTGGTCTGACTCAAAGTTTCTCGTCCAAGCCACGAAAATTTGGTTTAGTGTGCCTAAGCCGCCCCACTCGATCCGTAGTTGAAGTGGGGTGCTCAGCAGCAAAATCATACCGGGAAGCCCCGATGCGCGTATTTATCTCCAATCCGGTGTATCGATATTCTTTCCCTGTCTCGTAAACAATATAGTCTGAAAAGAGTCAAAACAAGAAATTCGGTTTTCAACTCATCACACAGAAAAATTCTGTCTTTGGGTTTGTCTATCTAATGATAGCTAATGATAAATATTTCGCATACATATTCTGGCAACGGCCACCATGACTAGGTGTGACAGGACTATGTAGTTACGTTCTTGTGCAATGATGGTAATTAAAATTGGGGAAATATAAGAGCGGGAAAATGTCCACAGTGGGGATACGTTGAGGGCGGTAGATCCCGCGATATCGGACATCCTAATAAGGAAGTTGCGAAGCCAAAAGAAGAATTTTCTCCTGTCTTGATACTTGCACTTCTTGAAGGTCAAATCCTCATCCAGCAGGGTTTGATAAAAATAGATTATTTGTCACAACTTCTTTGGACGCAAAAAGATGATCCAAGTCCGCGCCATCACAAGCGCCATGGACTCGATTCATGGGTCCGAAAAGGATGCGGCACTGGCGGTTGTGGGCGATGTTGCCCAGGCGATTGATCCAGTTATGGAGAAAAAGATCCTTCGGAAGCTTGATATGTATTTCATGCCCGCGATGCTCATAGGTTGGTTCAATGCTTCGACAAGTGCTATGCCCCCAAGTGTCCGACTAACCCAACGCAGGTTATGGCATGGTTTACTATGACAAGGCCATTCTAGGTAGTGCCTCGATTTTTGGCATGACCACTGATTTAGCCCTGGAAGTGTTCGACTATTCGACCTCTCCACCGTCTGCCGACACTTCACGTTTAAGCTGGGCAACATCAATCTTCTATTTCGGGATGTTGGCTGGCCTGTACCCCATGACTTTCATTTTTCAAAGATTTAATACTCGCTACGTCTTCGGCCCTGTAGTCCTTCTCTGGGCCATTGTTTGTGCATCCACCGCCGGGGTGTCGTCGTGGCACGGATTGTTCGCCCAGCGATTTTTCCTTGGTGAGATTTTTTGCGCTTTTATTGTAAAAAAAGCACTTCTAATCAAGTTCAGGTTTCATTGAAAGCGTCATTCCAACAGGGTTTATGACCATCGTTAGTGGCTACTATACACAAGAAGAGCAAGCTCTGCGCCAGGCATGGTGGTTTTCCGGCACTGGTTGGTTTACTATCATCGGTGGAGCGCTCAATTACGGATTCGCCCAAATAGAGTCAGATTCTCTAGCTAGCTGGCAGTGTATCTATATCTTTTCAGGGGCTTTGACATTTATTTTCGGTCTGTGGTGCTGCATAATGCCAAACTCCCCAGTCTCCGCTTGGTTTCTGTCTCCAGAAGAGCGAATCGTGGCAGTTGAGCGACTGCGGAAAGGGCAGACTGGTGTACGATGCCAAAAGATCAAGCTCTATCAAATCAAAGAGTCTGTGGTGGATGTTAAAATTTATTTGGTGGCCATTATGATGACCGCGGCGTGAGTTCATCCCTCTGCACAGGGTGTTGGTTAAGTCTTGGAACGGCCAGGCTGACAACAAGCAGGTACACTATCAATGGTGCCATTTCGGGTTTTGGTCCTTTGATCGTGTCCACTTTTGGCTATAACACCCTCGATTCTATTCTATTCCAGTTCCCCGTGGGTGGCATTTGTGTCATCTTCATCCCTTTATGTGGATACATCTCCAGTCGTGTCCCCAATGCACGCATCCCAATGCTCATTGCTTGCTGCCTTCCTGTCATTGCAGGTTCTGTCATGATCTGGAAATCACACTGGGGATACCATTCAGCTACTCCAGTTGTAGGCTACGCACTGACCGGTTTTTTCGGTCCTGTGGTAAGCCTGATCATCACCGTTGGAGGCAGCAATGTGGCAGGGGCCACGAAGAAAACTGTTATGGCAGCTACAGTCTTCGTGGCGTATTCTGTAGGGAACATCATTGGCCCACAGCTGGTGAATAGCGGAACAATAGCGCAGCACTACCCAGAGCTTTGGACGGGCATGATCATTTGGTAAGCCTGCGAGCCCAAGTCTATTTTGACTTCTTGTGCAATCTAACCTGGTAATAGTTATTGCATCACCATAGTCGCCGCTTTGTTGCTTTACCACGTACTTTGGAGAGAAAACAAGCTTCGAAGTGCACTAGACTTGGACGAAGTTCAACGAGACACGATCGCTTTCGATGATCTCACGGACAAGGAAAATCCATTCTTTCGGTATGCTTTATGACACAAGTACGATCGGATTTCCTATATTTTGGACCAGTGAGTATGCAAGACAGTATTTGTTGCAATAGTTTGAGATAGTGGTATTGGTTCTTGACAGTATTTGAACATCATGGACGTTGAAAGCATGTCACTTAGGATACCCAGTCAAACAGTCAATGTCAGGTCGGCTTCTTCAAATTGTATCGAAGATCCGTATGTTAAGTCAAGACTACTTTTTGGAGCCCATATCACAGACAAATTTAAGAAACCAACATGTGCAAGGTCCTCGGTTGATTGTGAGCACACACCGGGTGGGATTAGTTGCTTGAGACTTAGCGGGACACGGAATCTTAAGATTCCGTTTCTTAACCCCGCAAGATATGTTAGCCACATAAAAGGTAGGCAAACTCCTCTAGTAGAAAAAGGGGGAAATATTTTGGAGATTCGTTCATCTTGGTTCACAATGGATGACAGTAAATGCTCCGACATAGTCGATTGCCCTGACGAACCCACCATCCCTCATGATCCCAGATTCGAGGTCACTTGGGAAGCAGCAGACCCAGAAAATCCACAAACGTGGTCGGTATGGTATCGGAGCTTCATTGTCGCGTCTATGTCCTTTTCAACCACGATAGTGCAAGTGTTTACTGTTCCAAGTACGGTGATATAACTAATCCATTTTGCAGAGTAATATATACTACCCATGTACACGTCAGGAGTTGTCGGAATGCAAGAAACCTTCAAAATTGGGTCTAAGACAGTTATACTTCTTGGTTTAACAACCAATCTTTTTGGCCTTGCTTTGGGGTCTGTGATCCTTTCGTCTTTGTCAGAGATATATGGCCGCCGGCCGGTTTATCTCATCTCGGTTTTTTCCTTCGGGCTTCTTATATTGCCAGTCGCTCTTGCGCCCAATATCGAAGCTATTCTTGTCAGTCGATTTTTCGGTGGCTTTTTCGGTGGAACAATGATTGCAGGTGCACCAGGGAGTGTAACAGATGTTACAGATGATAATTACCGTGCATTGGCATTAAGTTGCTGGAGCCTTGGAACTATGAACGGGCCTGTTCTTGGTATGATCCCCGCGGTGAAATACATTTCACGCCGTATTGCTAATTCGAGTTGGGTGCTGGACACACAGGCCCCATAATTGGTGGTTTTGTGTATGAGTATCTCGGTTGGCGTTGGATCAATTGGTTTGTCTTGATCTGTACTGGAGTTTCCCTGCTCTTGATATATTTGGTCAAGGAGACCTATGCACCGGCTCTCCTACGGAAAAAGACAAAACGTAAACAGAACGAAACCGGTGATCAACGCTGGTGGTGCCGCTTCGACCATGACGTGACAGGGATCCAGGTCTTGAAGACAAACATGATCCGACCATTCCGGATGATCGTTTTTGAGCCCATATGGTAAATTTCTCTCTCCAAAGATACTCTGGGCGTCTTTTTTGAACATAAACACTAATTTCTTTTTCGAAAAAAGTTTATTCTGGAACCTGTATGTTGGGGTAGTCTATGCGGTTCTCTTCTTATGTTTTGTGGCCTATCCTATTGTTTTCCAAGAGCTTCGTGGTTGGTCTCCGGGCCTTGCTGGGCTTAGCTATTGTGGTATTGGGACAGGTACTGCAATAGCTGTTGTGCTAGAGCCCATGATTCGAAAAATTATTTCCAAGCACCCACCCGATCGACTTACTGGGCGGCCAGCTCCGGAGGCTGCAGTTTTTGCCATCTGTATTGGAAGTGTGCTGATTCCAGTCGGCGAATTTTGGTTTGCTTGGACCGCACGGCCACCCGTTCACTGGATTTGCCCTATAATTGCCGGTCTTCCCTTCGGACTCGGAAATGGTTTGACGTTCATCTATGCAACCAACTACATTGCGGGAAGTTACACCGTATATGCAGCGTCAGGCCTAGCGGGCAACTCCATTGTTCGTTACGGCCTAGCTGGAGTTCTCCCCCTTGCTGGCTCTAAGATGTACCACACCTTGGGGGCACACTGGGCAGGGACATTGCTCGCTCTCGTCGAAACGGTCCTCATTCCTATTCCTTTCATCTTCTACAGATATGGCCGTAGAATCCGCGAGAGAAGCCCCATGGTTGCTAAAGGAACTGGCACAGAGATTGTTCGTTCCTAAAGGCTTCTTCTTGTGTGTGAATAGAGAAAAAAAAATATACAGATTTCTGAACGGAACTTACAGGAAAAGTCTAGCATCAAGTGTATATCCAGAGTACAGAATCGGCCTTAGCGAATAGGAAGTAGAATTTAAACAATCCACTCTCATATTGGAGGCAATTACTGGTCTGTGCCCATAACCATTACAATAGGTAGTTATTTATATCGTTCTTTTTATGCTGATTCAGTAGTTTATAATATGCGGATGTCTCTCTGTACAATATTGATTTTCAACTAATATGAGAAGCATCGAGAATTCTTTTCCAATGTCTGAGACATACATCAATCCCAGGCCGGAGGGATGTAAGTATCCAAGTCGCTTGTAAACAATGTTTGTAGCCATTCCGTACCGCCCCCTATCATTTCTCCAGGCAGCCATGCGTTTGGATAAGGTGTCGATACTCTTGTGTCACTCATTATATGAGCAGGCACTGTTGTCGCTAGCGTGTCGACTCGGCGAGAGCCAATAGGTGAAGCATCAACAATGCCTCCAATGCTGGGTAGGGCAGCATTATAACCCCCATTATATCCACATGGTGGTGCCTGTCGGGTGCTGGAATTTCTCTCTTGGTTGTTATCCAGTGCATCAGATGCTGTCAAGGAATCCTCAATATGGTGGCTACCGATCTTCGGATTTCTGTGTCCCGATTCCCGAGTGATTCGGGAGTATTGCGATTCTTCCGCAAACGACATCAGTCTTTGAACAACAGCCTCTGGATTCCGCTCTTCTGCGGCAGGCTTGGACATTTCTTGGTCCGGACGTTCCGATATTGATCTGAATCGGGCTCCGTTAAGCACGGATGATCCTGGAGGGTCAAATACCATATTATGATGGCTTTCCGCTCTTGGTAGAGAGGCCTGAGTGACAGTGCCCAGAGTTGCAGTTGCCATTTGATTTAGTTTCAGGACAGCTCGGGCCATTCTACCAGATACCCATGTCATCTGGCAGTGATTCTCTAGTGATCTCGCTGCCTCCAATGTCAAATCACCATAGGCATGTTTGAATGCAGGTTGCTTGATGATTAGTCCCAACGCAATTATAGTCGCGCCAGTCAGATAATGCAAGAATGGAAATGTGTACTTGGGGTGTTCCTCAGGGACGTTGCTGAAGTCTTCGATGATACACCTAGCCAGATGCATGCACATTACTTCATTCTCAATAGTTTCTGAGGATGATTGTTGATAAGATAGCGTTTTGTGGAGCATTGGCTTTCGGATTAGCAGATGAAGTGAAGACCACCGCTTCAAAATAGGTCAGCTTAAAAGGGCCAATTTGGAGCTGAATTTAATCAGGGGAAATGGACACACAATTCGCATGATCAATCGTTGTTTCACCTGCCACCAAACCAGCCCTTCCGTCTTGCACTCTGTCGGATGGTAAGGGTCATACGAGAACTCCCGTCAGATCTCTCTTTGAGACTGAGTGATTAGATGCATCAGGTATTCATTGAGAAAATAGCTGGGTGTGGACTCGTTAGTGGGAGCGCCATATAAGGCTTCCCAGATTTTCCCAATGACCTTCGAATAGGCAGTCATGGCGATCAGGTACGCCACTGGCGAGCAAATATTCTCGCATGACGCTGCATTGGACACCGGAAACTGCAAGTCGTGACATGTTCGAAGCCACTCGTCACTCACATCTTGAGGTAATCCGACGTCAACGTTCACGTCCTGAATTAAAAAGGGACGCCCTGTTTCAAGGGCCAGCCGACGATCCAAAAGGTACACACACCACCACAGGCGGCGGCACATCTCGCTCGTAAAGGTTCCCATGCCATCGACCACTTTGCGCCTATGGAGCCCAATATGGTGCGCATGCGAAATGGTGAGAGCCAAGACCTTTTCAGCTGGGCCATGTGCATCGAGACGAAAGAGATATACAACCTGGATCCAAAATCGGTATCACGTTTTATTCCCGTAGGGAAGTTTCGTTTTTGGGCCCTTACCATCAAGGTTATGGTCTGCAAAACAATGATCTGGTTATCACCATCGTGAAAACTGTCGAGAAGGTCGCCAAATATATCTTTCCCCGCATTATATAAGCTCCATCCAGCCGAGTATTGCTCCTCTCCCGAATGCAGTCGCGAAGACCCGACACATTTTCCATTGGCAAGGCACAGGAGTATATGAGCGACCTGGATCCGATTCTCACTGTTTAGATGATCGTGTCTGGAGAAATTAAAGAACTTCTCCCATGTCTCTTCATAGAGAGTCCATAATGTAGGAATATGTAGGAACGGGACGAGTATATGAACTTCTTCGCAAAATGTGCGCATGAAGCCCCTCCACAGCTCTTCATTGGGCACAACCCTGTGGGAGTCTAGTACCTTGCGGATGTAGCTTGTCTGCCCCCATTCTAATGTATTATCAGGTAAGGCCTCCGGGGACGGTGTCAAATGGGACCCAAAGGAGTGCCCTGGAGAAGTAGATCGCAATCTCTCATATATTACTCCCATCTGTTCTAACCGACCTTCGATCATGGTAATATTGTGTGTTAGGGATGTTTCTCCGGAGAATGTGGGCACGCGCGGCGAAAAAGAGCTGCCCTGACTTCGTGTAAGGGAATTAGCAGCCGTATTATCATCTAGCGGCTGCCGGCCGCGCGGCCGAGTGGGGGTTGTAAGAGTATCTCCAAGGTGGTTCTGAGTGTGAGCTTCTGGGCGCAAGATCAGGCTAAGCTGATGTTCAATCCGGCTGACTCGGGATAGAAGTTCGTTTTCGGTGCTCCTTTGAATCTTCTCTCAGCTATTGGCAAATTCTCAAATAAAACAGCAGCTATAAGCTCAAGCCGTCTCGACTAACCTGTTATGTTCGTGTGAGCGTCTGCTGGCCTCCCGCCATCTTCCGCGCATGTCAGTCGTCTTCCTTTGGCAATCTCTTCCCTTTAGCACACAGGAGTGGCATGGAGACCCCCCGTCACACTATTTAGATCAAGAAAATATGGCTTGTTAGCAACGCTTCATGATTCTCCAGTTTCCAGGTGATTACGTTACCTTGATCTTTCGTCTCTGACAATAACCGCTGATTGTGGTTAGCCAAATTTCCAATTGTGAAAAATCGCCATTTGAGCACAAACCACGCTTTGGAGACATAATTCCCCCTTTTCGGTCGTTTTGGTTGAGGCTCGCTGGGGCCGACACGGCTAGCATCTTGATCCTGCGAAGGATCACAGGCTCGTGCTAAAGATACATCATGGCCAGCCACCAAAGCCTTATCCGCAGTTGCAGCTTGACACTGTTGGCTCCCTTTCATGCTGCAACAGGGTCATACACTCTGTGGTGATAGGATTATGGATTGCAAACGCAGGCGGAATTTAAGCGGGGAAGCTAATTGTGGGTCTCGGAATTCACGGCATTTTGGAGATTTGTCTCTAAATTATGCCTAAGGCACACTTTCATACAACAAGACGGGCTATTTATAAGAGCACCAATTGTAAGGTCCGACTTGAGGGCGAATAGATAGGTATAAAAGTTTTTGGTACATTGTTCATGGCGGGACTCCACGGAGCCTCGTTAGAAGTAAACACGAAAGACGTATTACAAAGACAGGCAGGCAGAAGAAAGCAGGTATAAAAGATGTTCAATCCCAAAGGTGGTCATTCGATGCCACGGTCCAAAAAGCCCACAATGCTAAAACAAAAAGTGAAAGAAAAGGATTGAGCCAGTTTTCTCATGACTTGGGTTTTGGTCTTGTTCACCTCGTTTCACTATCGGTTCTCTATTTATCGTCGAGCCCCCTTCTCGGCACTATGAACGATGGTTTCATGAATCACTTTAATACCTGCGTTCTGACTGGTGTGACTATTGGTCTCCCAGTCCCCATCACCAGCGGTACACGTAGGAGGCTGTTGTCTCGATGTCGGCAAGATCATTTGCTCATCGCTTGTGGTGTTCCATTGCGTGTCAACCGGAATCGACAGGGGGTGGCGGAACTTCTTCCGCTTAGCGTATCCATTGTTGCTTGTGTCCCCATCTGACAATGGATATGCAGGATAGCTTTGAGATCCGCCTCGAGTGGTGAAGTAAAAGCCAGCACGGCGAGCTGCACGACGGACTAATGGGTAGATCATAGGGACATTGCCGATAACGACGGCGACGAATGTCTCGCGACATGCCCAGCTGCCAGCTTGCTCAGCGCCATTGGCACCAGCCTATTGAAGGTTCATTTTAGAATTCAAGATTATGTAGAGCATATGTAGAGCAGACTCACTGTAAGAATCAGAACACAGCGGAGGATACCAGCCATCATAACGAACAGACCACCACTAAACAGTACAAGAAGCTCAAGCTTTTCGCGCCACCGAAGTCGGGCCTTGAAAAGCATCTATTTCCAGATGTTAGGAATACCTTAGCCATTCAACCAATTCCGGTACTTACTGGGGCAGGAATGCTGATCAGATAGACGTCCGTGGCAACGTTCAGGATCACGGTCACGTAAATATCGATCTTGGACACAGCCGGTTGACAATGGTCTAGACATGTACAGTCAGTTAACTTACATGCAGAAGGGCTTTGTCTGGAACCCACTTCCGGGATTAGGGTTGATTTGCCAATTTTTGTGCATTGGATGGCACCCAAAAAGAATGGAACAGATCGTGACAATATAGGTCACGGCGATCAAGCCATAGGCAATATGAATCCGAGTTCGCATGTTGACCAGCCCCGCCCTGACTCATGAGGTTAGCAATTGCTTTCTCAGATCTGGTAGTGGGACGCACGTCAATCGCGAGTAGAATATTGCCATGCATATTTTGAGCAACCATAGAAGGAGCGTGTACAGAGACCAGCCGATCACCTGCACTTTGGAGCCGCCAATGCGTAATCGATATTCCTCGGAGTCGGGAGACAGAGTGACTCGCTGTTCGTCTGTCATCGCATTGTTGGCAAGACCTTTGAACCATGCGCCCACAATATATGCAGCGCCAGTTTCCAATCCGTACACCACCTGCGAGCGGCAGTCAGCTAGGGCATCGCATCGCTCTGCCAGTGCCACTTACACATGCGAACGGCATCAGATAATCGTCAACCTGGAAATTCCTGGGTCCAACCATGACCCAGCGAGCAACAATTCGCAGGCTAATGACCACGATGGCCACCCCTAGTAGGGTGAACGCCTCGGTGACGAAGTCACTCATGGGTGTCCAAATGCGGGGATCTTTTTTTGGACAGTGTTTCTTTTTGTCTTGGATGGTTGTTAACAATGAAGAGACAACTTCCAACTCCGGGGAGCTGTCTAGATAAAGACTAAACACCAACCTGACACACAGAGGTGTGGCGGCAGCAGCAAGTCAGTATCTCGGAGACTTTATCTCCTTCGTCGTGTGCCTTGTCATTGGAACTTGGACGGACAAAGAAGCAAGGCCGCTCCCCCCCCCCCCCAGTTGATTTATAAACGCCAACAAAAAGGAAAGGCTTATGGAACCCTCGCCGTCAGCGGGGCGTTTCGCTGTCTGCAAAGCTAGAGACCCATCAAAATGGAGGTCCAAACATGTGAAGACTAATTATGACAGGGCAGTGGACACTGTCACGGTCTTCGGCTCCATCGTTGATCTCCACTGTTCCATGCGATTCCGCCTGGTAGCTCAAACGGGTTGACGGAGAGTGTCTTATCTTGCAACTCCAATGTGGAATGAGGCTTGTGAGTGAAAATCGATACCATTATTGTACCGGGTAACATGTTCTTGAAACCGCCGTCGTGGGCGCTCCACGACGCCCCCCCGGCGAGGCGAGAGCTGCCTCATTCAGGATCGATCGGCATTGGACGACGGCAGAGTGATGGTCTTACAGCTTGCAAGGGACGGGTAGAGGTAGGCTTTGTCCAACCTCAGATACCCTGTACGATCGGTTACACAGCAATTAAGCGCCACCTCCATTGGGTCAATCTTTTCCGTTCATGTGAGTTGGCAAGGGCGGCGGACTTTCACTTCCCCTTTGTGTAGTGCGGCCAGAGACATACAGGAAAGCAATAAACCTGCCCATAGCCGGCGGTCCAGTCATGGCAGGGACATACACGGTAGATCCAATTACAATTGTCACTCTGGCCGATTTCCGCCAGATTACAGGCGCTGATCAGCCTGTCCGGAGATTGTCCCGATCAATCCAGTCGGGGATTCTCAGATCGCACGGGTCAGGGCCTGATGGAGATTTATGGCACCGACTGGGCCAGGTGTGATGTGAACGCTGGAGTAACCATACCCGGACGGTGTGCACCTGAACTGTGTGAGTATGGTTGGTGGCATGCGACCGTTCGGACACCGTGGTAAACCACCACGTTTTCGATGGCCAGGGGTAAAAAGAAACCTTGAGCTTCTTGTAAAATAACATACATAATCATCGAAACACGCCCTCCCCACCTGCCAGGTGGATCCGGGTCTGTCTTGGTGTCCGTTGGACTAGTCATCGGAGCGCGGCTATTCCTTCCGGACTCGTGAGTACATCGGACAATACAAAAGAACACCCAATGCCGTCGACCTTTCATTATTGGATAAAGCGGGTCAGAGGCGCTAGATAGTGTCCAGGTTCTGTTGCGATCCCGACTGAGATTGGGGGAACCGCATGAAGCTTTCTGACTGAATAGCCTGCTCGAACCAATTTGAGTTGAATAATAAACATCTCTTCGTAGGTAATGAATTGTGGTCCCCCAAGGGAAGTGGAGCCGCTAAACTCACCTTCAGCCGTCCAGACGGCCCCAAAGAGGATCAGAAAGGTTGACGATCCGAGGGCCAGAACCGACGCTTGGACAGCATGGGCAATAGGTCAAACAACGGACAGAAGCCAAACGGGCTACGTTTCCACCTAGGCCCCCTCCTAATGCTGGCTAGTCTGGCCGCATTCGACCGATTGCATGCTAAGGGCCGCCGGGGTTTCCCGTCCAGAGGTCCAATCGGATACGGGCAGCTCACGGTGGAAGCTCACGATCCTCGCATCGCACGTCAAAAATGGCCCAACGGCGCGGTAATTAACATCCAGAGATTCGATAGTCCCACCAATAGTGGACTTGTCTGATTTTCCCACCCCCGGGACCCGCACAGGCTGTAAGACGCCCAGAACTCTCTTTCTTTGTCGCCGTCGCTTCTCTTCTTTCACTCGGTGTATCTCGTCGGGTACATAGCGTGGACTAAACCTTTGTCGCATCGCATTCTTCGGTCTTTCCCGACATCAAAGAAACACCACCAGCTTCCTCCATTCACAATGGAGTCCGTGGACTTGGTGGTCGTTGGCGCAGGTGAGCATTTCCCATGTGCTTCCCATCCCCGATTTTGACTGGTGTCCACACACAGGCTGGAGCGGGCTCGTCGCCGTCAAGACCTACTGCGAGGTCAACCCCAGCTGCAATGTACTGCTTCTGGAAGCCGCCAGTTCTGTCGGCGGAGTCTGGGCCAAGGATCGGCTGTACAAAGGCCTCAAATCCAATAATATGCTGGGGACCTACGAGTTTAGTGACTTCCCCATGGACGAGGAGACTTTTGGCGTCCACACGGGCCAACACATCCCCGGCGAGGTCATTCAGCAATATATGGAGGCTTATACAGCCCAATTCGGCTTCGCCAACCGGATTCGGCTAGAGCATCGCGTGGAGAGCGCCCGGCATAACTTGGATGGCACATGGCAGCTAGCGGTGTCGCATGGGAGCAAGACCACAATCATCGACACCACGAAATTGATTGTTGCCACGGGAATCACATCACAAGCATACCTGCCGACATTTTCGGGCCAGGAGAGCTTTGGTGCACCGGTTTTCCACTGTCGCGATCTACTGCAGAATGAGGCGAAAATTTTCCAACCCGGTCAGCGTGCAACAGTGTTCGGAGGCACCAAGTCAGCATGGGATGCGGCCTACGCGTGTGCTACGGCGGGAATGCAGGTGGACTGGGTCATTCGCGAGTCCGGCCACGGTCCGGTCTGGATGGCACCACCATATGTGACCCCGTTGAAGAAGTGGCTAGAAAAGCTCGTCACGACTCGCTTTCTGACCTGGTTCAGTCCATGCATCTGGGGAGACGCGGATGGGTACACGCGTGTGCGCAGCTTTTTGCACGGCACCTGGCTGGGACGTAAGATCGTCGATTCGTTCTGGTCTGTTCTTGCGAACGATGTGGCGCAGCTCAATGGCTACGACAAGCACCCCGAAATGAAGAAGCTGAAGCCGTGGGTGAGCCCGTTCTGGTTTGCCACATCCATCAGCATCCTCAACTACCCCACCGACTTCTTCGAATTGATCAAGAACGGCACCATCAAAGTGCACATTGCCGACCTGGACCGGCTCTCCGACCACACAGTACACTTGTCCACGGGTGAGACGCTCCCGACGACTGCCTTGATCTGTTCGACGGGCTGGCGCTCCACACCCAACCTGCAATTTCTGCCGGAGGGCATCGACCGCGAGCTAGGGTTCCCGTGGAGCACCGATCCGTTGGGTGACACGCTCGTCCAGGCCGCCGACGAGGAGATCCTGCGCCGATTCCCGCGTCTCCGCGATCAGCCCCGACCAAATCCCCAATTTCGACCCCTTGATGACCAGGCAGAGGCAGCCGTGCCGCACCCATTCCGGTTGGCGCGGTTCATGGTGCCGTTGGCTCTGCTCAAGGAACGCTCGCTAGCCTTTATGGGTGTGACCATGAACTTCAACACCACCCTGGTCGCACAAACCCAGGCATTGTGGATCGCAGCCTATTTCGGGGGTCAACTCACGCCCGCTGCCGTCGAGCGCTGCCCACCTGCATTGTGCGCGACCATGTCGGATGGCAAGGCCGCCGTAGAGGATTCCGATCTGGATCTCGCTTGGGAGGTTGCTTTGCATACGGAGTTTGGCAAGTATCGCTACCCAGCGGGCTTTGGTCGCCGTAACCCGGACTTTGTGTTCGATGCCATTCCTTACATCGACTTCCTACTCCGCGATCTGGGTCTGTCACCTGAGCGCAAGCAGGGTCTTCTGGCGCAATGCTTCCATCCGTACGGCGCCGAGGATTATTGTGGTCTGCTAGATGAGTGGAAAAAGACCCAGATGAACTAGGTGTGGTTGAGAAGCAGGATGATGCGTCGTAGTTTCTGTCTACATGCTCTTGATGACCCCTTCCCCACGCGAGATACCCCTTGTTTGGATTTGTCTTTTCCCGGAATTGCTTAAACTGTGACAATTTCTGCTAGTGATTTTTCTCTATCGTTTTAGTGCAATATCGATATCCAAATGAACAATATCATGAGAAATATCTCTGAGCCCACATGTCGAAGACCACACACAGTCTGCAGTTCATATGAGTCTACATATCAATGCCTTACTCTACCAGCGCAAACTGTTCGAATGCTGCAACACCAGCAAGCAACGAGGGTTGTGAAATGGGCGTTGTCTTTGTGCCCCCTGCAGCGCATGCATCTTGCAGTGGACTCTCGCTCTTCGCGATATTCCCGGTCATATTTCCAGTCCACCGCATATAAAACTCTCCGTCACCAGCAACCACAGTTCCCGCGGAGACGTTAACCTTCAGCAAGCCCTCTGTTCCCAAGTCGAACTGTAGTCGGAATCCTTCGGGGACATCCCCAACGTGAGGTGGGTATCGCCCACCAGTAGTTCCCGCAGTGCCCACCGGATGAACTGCGAGGAGCGATGTATTACAAGATGAGACAATCGCTTGGCCATCTTTGGCAACATAGCTGCTCACGTAGGTTGTGTTGGTAGGGTCGTTTAGTGCGAGGTAGCTGAACCACACAAGGGAATACGGTCCTAGGCGGCCATGACCCCAGTACCAGCTCTGGACTGATTCCATAAAAGGGCGGTCCGACCAGTTCTTATTATTGTTAGGAGTGGAAAGATCGGACATGAAAGTGATGTTGTCCTAACCTTATCGTGATACCCGGGGCCCTGGAACCTCAGCAGCGATCCATGGATTGTCAGATCAACAATGCCCGTGGCGTCGGGAACGAGGTTAGCCCACCCCATATGGGGTGCGACCTGGAGAGTGGTTGTTCCTTCTTGGATCCCACACGGCAGATGAAGAGGGGCACGCTGTCTCGTAGCGTCAATACTCGATCTATACCTATATAGAGTGCATGCATTCTCATCACCCACCGAGGTCAGAGTAAACCGCCCTTCAACTTGCATTTCCTTCGAACTGATGGTGATCTCATACTGAGACAGATTACTCCGCTGGGAGGCCCAGCTGAAGCCCGTCGAAGCCCACTGACCCGTGCTGGACACATTGCTTGTTCCACCGACAACGGTGGCCATGGTGGCCGGGATGAAATCCGCAAAGACGGTGCCATTGGCAAACGATGCCCACAGGTACGCAATGAGAACGGAAGACTCGTTCGTACTCAGGAATGGGAATGCAAGAGCCGATGAGGTGAAGAAGGTGACGACCAGCGAGTCGCCGGGGTCAACATCCGACACGACATCGAAGTACCACCAGTCGAAAACGGATGCGTTCACGACATCTATCTGGGGTTCATCCAAGCTTAGCAACGTCTCCGGGTCAAGGGTCTTGGATGGCGTTTGAATGTCGAATCGAGCATGACTAGTTCTATTCTGAACCTTGTTAGGGATGTGATATGTCCAGGGAAGAAAATCAAGGTCGATGCTGGCATTAATGGCCACTGAGGGCTGGCGCAACGCGGCGGCTTGCTCCACGAAGCAAACAAGGAAGATGAGTGCAAGGAAGGGGCTGAGATTCAACCCCCGAGGCACCATGATGAACAAGTATATAATTGAGGAAGGAATTTTATGGACAGCTGTATTCCTATGTCTGAAAGGGGTCTGTTTGACATATAAGTCGATTTTTCTGGCCCGGTGGGACATACATGTCGGCAGACTTGCCATCCGCCCAAATATAATCTCCGAGCTGCATCAGACCCAGATGGAAGCGGTGGAGGCGTCTATTCAAGCGAAACTGCCACGGGCAGGGAGGATCTCTATTGGGCTAGAGGATTGGGGCACGCTTCCCGATCCAGTACTCAATAGAGGCGGTGGGGGATGGAGGCATTAGCCACCGTTGTACCCCGTTGTCTACGCTAGAAGGCGACTGGCTCCAGAAATACTTCGGCTAGATGGGTGGGTCTGAACATGATGCAAGAACGGCCATATATACCTGAGAAGAACACACCAGCAGCCGAGACACCGGGTTATCAGTTCATCACTCGCTTCGGTTGAATCACAGAAGAAGAAACAGGAGATAAGTACATCCGTCACACATGATATCAGGCTGTAAAGAAGAAAAAAACAAGCGCATACAGTAGTCCAGCAGAAGATCAAATCAACAAATCATCCCAAAAAATGCCAGAATCACACGCAACACACCCTTCGCCAAACAAGAAGTGGAAAAAAAAGCCATCAAACCCCCGACTCCCAAGGCCTGTACTGTAGATACACTCTCCCTCTTCGTGGTCTCCATATACATACACGAATGGAGGTTTGCGAGAGATGGAAATGCACAAAATGTAGAAATGAGGTGGGTCTGACCCGTCAGACATGTCCATTCATGACCGGGCTCCCGTCCTCACTCAATCCGCTGCTCTTGACCGATTCGTCAGCAGCCCCACTTAGGTTTCGATCATCTGTGTCGTCTTTGCCGCAGCCCTTGACGAGAATATGTCGCTGTGAGAGGGAGTCAGTATGAATCGAAAAAGAAATAACTTCCGCTAAAGGGGGCCGGGGGCGGAAAATACGCACCTTCAATGCGTCCTTGCGGGAGAAACTCTTGTCACAGTGTTTGCAAGGAAACGGTTTAACGGCCAAATGAATCCGCTTATGTCGCTTGAGATCGTGATTGCGATTGAAACTTTGCGGGCATTGATCGCATTTGAACGGCCGATCAGCCGCCGGGGCAGGCATGCCATGCGGCGGTTGGTGGGCGCCATATAGGTGCTGTGAATTCGCAACATGGCCGCTATTGAATCCGGGCAACAGGCCTGCCTGCATGCCTCCCATCATCGACATGGGGGTGTTCGGACTGTGTACATTCGTCATGATCGGACCATTCATGGCCGGTAGAGAGTACGACGGCCACGGCTGGCGAGGAAAGCCGATGTGTGGGTGTCCGGCGGACGGGCTGTGTGAGGGCATGCGCCCTTGGGCATGAATGCCTAGCCCGGCCGACCCCACGGGGGAGGGGCCCCCGTAAAGGTGAGCGAATCCGCCTTGGTGCGGACTGATCAGCGGCGGAGAGGCGCCGTACATGGATTGCGCCTTTGGGGCGTACGGGTCATTTGACGATAGCGACGGCGGAGAGGTAGCTGGTGGGTAAATTCCGCCAGCCATATGGGGCATGGTTGAAGGAGCAGGGAGCGGCTGTGGAAATGAAGACATCGACGGCACCTCGTGGGTCGAGAGACCGTCTGTGGTAGGAGGAGATGTGATGGACGAGGAACGACCCACCAGGCCGGACTGTGGAGAGAAGGAGCTTCGTCCTGGGTATACCGAGTGTGCCCAGGCTTGCGCATGCGGCGGGCCGGCTGCGTACGGGTTAGGGTTGGACCAGTATGAGGGCAGATCCGAGGATCCCCCGGTGGAAGGCGCCAGCGCGTGGGATGGGGTGGCGCTCTCCCCGGATTGGTTTGTGGCGGGTGGCGTGAGCAGGTTCCCGACGCTGGCTGGAGCCTGCGATGCAGGCTGGCTGGGCTGCGAAGGGTACTTGGACGTCGCCGCGAGGTTGAAGGGTGGTGGCGGCAGCTCAAAGCTAGGAAGGGTCGGCGCTCCGGCACGGCGCGCATTCAACGGCTGGGCTGCCAGCGCGTCCAGCGCGGTGCTCATGCCCGGTGCTGCGAGTGTCGCCAGATTGGCGGACGGATCGCGCACGGCAAAAAGATCAGGGGTGTCGCCGAGAGACGGCGGGTGCGACAGATGGCCGGTAGGGGCAGCGTACGAGTGGCCCAATGCCCAATCTCGACCTCCAGGCAAGCCCCCCGAAGGGCTAGATGGATCCAGGAGGGGCGGCCGTCGATCGCTGGGATTTGCGATCGGAGAGAATACTGGTAAGCCCAGTCTCGCGGGGGAGAGGATGGTGGAGAGTGTTTCAGGCGAGACTGTTCAGGAGGCGGCGATCAAACAGACGCTGGGCGTTGTAGTGGTGGTGGTGCTGATGAAGCCGCGAATTGAGACGAGCCCGACGATGCGGGGATCAGGGTGAGATGTCACGGCCACCGAGTGCGCGAGACGTGCATGATCTCGGAAGAAAGCGTAGAAGTCGCACAGAAAAGACTGCGGGCGGGATTGGGTGGAAGGATGGTTGAGGGGATAAAGTGAGAGTAAGATGAGAGAAAAGGGGGGAAAGCAGAAGGGAAAGCACCGCAGGCAGGTAGTGAGCCAGTAGTATAGATTAATAGTAGAGATAGCGTGGCGTTGGAAGAGGCGCCGAAGGGGAACAGCGCGGGGAGGGGGGAGAAGGATATATGTGTTAGTTATGGTCCACGCGGGTCTAGCCTAAGAGCGAAAAGGAAAGCAAAGAAAGCGAGGGGCGGCAACGTGGTTGACAGCTCTGGGCCTATCCCCCGGCTGGCCCTTCCGAGTCATCTTCATATTAAAAGGGAAGGATCGAGATCTGATCGCCACCGGGGGACTACTTTGTGCTTTCGCCTCCTTGCGTCGGACAAGAAAAAGAGAAACTCCCTACGAAGTCACTACTCGAAAGAAAAAATAATGAAAAAAAAGTCGCCACTACCTAGCACCATTTGCTCTGCGCTAGGAATGCCAAACAAGACACGGATATTAGCCGGGTCTCCTAGGTTAGCAGCTTCTCTCTGTCTCTCGCTCTTTCTCTCCCCTATCTATCAGGAGTCGAGACGCACGGACATGGCCGGGAATGGCCAGAATACGAGACCCATGGGTGCTCGGGCAGCGGCAAGCGAGCAGCGAGCCATCTCATTCGCTCCGCGTGTGGGCGCGAGGGCCGATGCAGTTAGACTCTGGCCATTCCGGTATGCCAGCCAGCTCCCTTGGCTTGGTGCTGCTTTCTTTTTTCTTTCTTTTTTGGCCCCTCCAAAGTAACCGAGCCGGTGAGACGCCGCCGATTGGTCCCAGGTTGGTCCTATGATAGAGTGATTGGAGTGGTTTGCACGGGCTCCACCCACGATCTGGCCTGCAGCGTTGCCTCTTCCTAAACGATTAGCCTGTTCATCGCTTGCATCCATGGAATGCATCCGATAGTTAGTGGGTGACTTACTTGGTTACAGAGTTGAGTTAGGGTTACTTTCGGTCGGTCTAATCCTCGGACCCTCCTATTATTGCAAGACGTCGAGTCTTCTCCACACGGTGCATGGATTAATATTATTGCCATCGGGGCTGCACTTATTCCCAGCCCGCCGGCCAATTCTCCCGAAATGAAAATCTATTGGTGTGCGGGTCTGGCCTGGTTATACGCGTCGAGGAGCCGCATTCCAAAACAAAAAATAAATAAAAAACAATAAGCCGGATCGTCACTGCACCCATCACCATCGGTTCGCAGCCGATTTGTCCAGGTCCCTGCAAGGTGGCACCCTGGGACATCTCCACCCCCAACAGATCGTCGCCCGCGTCGGCTCCTGCCGATGTGGCTTTGGAGGAGGCTTGCGGCAGGCGTGGGTGCGGATCTTCTCGAAGCAATGAGGGCGTTTCGAGGGCCGGGAGATCGGCGATGGGGACTGCTGGCAGGGCTGAATGGCGCGGTGAGTATCTAGGAAATGGCGAAAGGGGAGTGAAATGGGCAACCCTAGGGGGGAGGGAGACTCCTCTGACACCACTGCCCATGACTGGATCCATCAGATGAGAGTATGTATATCTCACAGACAGCATTAGCAGACATATCCCTTCATCTAGATCGGTGAACAGGGGTAGCACCCTGTTATCCTCTCTCCCCGTCTCATGGCGAGCCTCCAACCAATCTGATAGTCTCACTTGACCCTCAGATTTGGTGTCTGGCAATAGTTCATGCCTAGGCAGCTCTTCTTTCAGACTCAACTCTCGATCAGACCCAGTCGATCGAAGCGATCTCACAGGTAGAATAGGGGTAGGGATAGATGGATATGTGGTCGGTGGTGGTGGTGGTGGGAGTAAACAACGATATATATACTTCCCTATCTAGACCCACGGGCGCAACAGGACTACCGCCCATGCCCTAATTCCATGATCTCGATGGGGGAACATCGATCACTAGGTATCAAAACACTGAATTACTTCTCTTATGGACCCCCACCATCCTCCGCACTCCCCCACTCACTCTCCCACCGGTCGCAAAAGATAATGCCCACTGAAGATCCCAATGACGTCACCAAGAGGAGTCCCTCTTTTCCCAGTTCATCGCTCTTCTCTCCTTTCTCTTCTCCCTCCCACAACACACCCACCCTAATTGGCCTCGACTTCGTGGTGAATTATTCTCCCTTGTGCGTCCCTCTCATGCAGTACAGACCGTTTCTGACTAGCCCCCTGCGAAGGACATTCCTCGCCTCGTCCAAACTATCCCCCCGCAACACGCGCCCTGTCCACTGCTCCTCAGCAGCCATGTCCGGTGTTAGCAAAGCTTGTTGCTCGTGCGTGACACCTTTGCTGCCATTAACCTGTTGCTGACCACTCCGGTGTGCAGAATCCCGCCCGTCATCTCCAAGGGCTACCAAGCCAAGGGGGAGTACAAGACATTCAATGGCCTGAAGACCTGTACGTACCATATGGAACAACCAGAAACAATCCCACTGACCCTGCCCAGATGTGACCGGCCCCGAGTCGGCCACTAAGGCCATCCTGGTCGTGTACGGTGAGTGATCAGCCCATAGGCCAGAACGACTCCAAGCAGAGACTGATGGGAGCCCCAGACATTTTTGGTTTCTTTGACCAGACCATCCAGGGAGCCGACATCCTGGCCACCTCCAATGAGCAGAAGTACCGTGTGTTCATGCCCGATTTCTTCGAGGGCAGCCCGGCCGACATCTCGTGGTACCCGCCCACCACCGACGAGCACAAGCAGAAGCTGGGCAACTTCTTCCAGACCAAGGCCGCCCCGCCCAACACGCTCTCCAAGATCCCGACGGTTGTGGCCGAGGCCAACAAGCTCGCCTCGGATGGCGGCTTCCAGTGGTCTATCCTTGGCTACTGCTGGGGCGGCAAGATTGCGACGCTGTCCGTCGGCGCTGACAACACCATCTTCAAGGCCGCGGTCCAGTGCCACCCGGCCATGGTCGATCCCAAGGACGCGAAGAACGTGAATGTCCCCATGGCCATGCTGGCCTCCAAGGACGAGCCGGCCCAGGATGTCGACGCGTTCAAGGCCGCCCTAAAGGTTCCCAATCACGTCGAGACCTTCTCAACGCAGATCCACGGCTGGATGGCCGCGCGATCGGATCTGGAGGACCCCGAGGTGCGGAAGGAATACGAGCGTGGATACAAGACCGCTCTGGAGTTCCTCCACCAGCACGCGTGAGGAAAGAGCCAAGGAACTCGAAATGTAAATCATGATTTATTTCGTCAATCAAAATGTGGTTTGCGATGACTGCCTTAACCGTAAAAGTCTGTCCGTACATAATGGGGGTAGCATGGCGGGCAATGTGGTCGTGGAAAGGAAAACGTCATGACTAGCCACTCCGGGCTTCATTCTTCCCTTCGCCTTTTGTTGTTGCTTCTTCACATTCCTGGACCTTGCTGGCCAGACCTCGGCCGTACTCGAAGTTCCTCCAATAGTAATTTACTATCTATTCCTTTGCCGACCCCGCCGCCCTGTTCCTTGGGTTCCGCAACAAGCCGAAACCACGATTTGGCATGCCCAGAGAAGAAACCTCATGGTTGCGTGGCCTGCGATTGATCCTCGAAGAATGAAGCTGGGTAAAATAGTGCATGTCACACAGCCCGGTTAAATCAACTGCACGGCCATACTGGGCCATCAACGATGTCCTTCTTTGGCCGTCGCCGCTCCCAGTCGGATGCAGCACCTAATGTAAACAATGCCGACACACCCAGGCCCTCACCATCTCATCGATATATCCACCATTCCCATTTGGACTTTCACCGGGATGAACCCCAGGGCGAGGGAATGTTCCACGGCCTCTTCCGAAGGCGGAGTGATAGCATGCCCTTGCCGGCAATCACTTCCGAGGAGCATGTGAGCGTGCAGCCTGTCCCTTTTTAAAACTTCTAGCTAATGAGCTGTAGGGCTACGGACATTCCTCTCGTGTCGAGGCCAGCCAGTTGCCAGGGTCGCAGAAGGGCGGCGATGCCCGTCAGCACGACACAAGTGGTGCCTCTTCCCATGCAGGGCGCACCCCCCAGTCACCTACAATTAGTGATCAGGGCGAACCAAAGCAGCCCGGGAATATCCAAGATTTTTTAGAGTATCGGCTGGGCTTTGCGGACCGACCGAAATCAGGAAATACCGAATCTTCGGCTCGCCCGGGCCATCAAGTGCTAACCAAAAATGATATCAAAGCCATTCTATCAGGCGCACCGCACTTTTTGTTGGAGAAAGGCAAGCACGGGCGTTGGTATCCGCAGGTCGTCTTTCCCTGGGATGAGCATAATCCGTCTATCCAGCACCTGTGGGACCGAAAACCATTGCCCCATGCATCATTCACACTCTGCACACTTCATGCACATCTTCCAGTTCCAGACGACTGGGCAGTGAAAGGGGGAGTGCCCATTCGGCTACATGATTGGCGCCGGACCGGTGGTCCCAAAAGAGCGACTTTTGACGTTGGAGTCTTCGAGGTTCCAAATATGTTGTCGAATAATGGACAGGAGCCGGGTACAGTGGGATTCCGGCATTTTCTCGAGCTTGCAGTCGCGGATCTTGTTCGATACAATGGCCCTCCGGAGCCTAGACCGCCCCCGAGCATGCGCCGAATCTCCTCGCTTCCGGCGACGGAAGCATTTGAATTGATGGAACACTATAATGATCCTTACTCCCAGTGTCGCAGTGGTGCCGTACATGACCGACATCGGCTCATCTGTGATGGCCCTTCGGCCTGGAAACGTATAGGAATCCGAGACATCAACCTCCGGTCTCTGGTCAAACGTCTAAATCATTTGCGGCAGTTCCGCCACGACATGCTCCTCGATGGATCAACCGAGACCATATTGGATATCGAGTCCCCACAGGAGCTTCACCATACCCTCTACACGCACTTTTTGCATCCTCCGCCGCGAGCCATAGAGACGAAGTCCAGTCACCCCCAGAGCCTCAAATTTCAGATCAAAACATTAACGGTGGTACTGTCCACCCCCGGAGCGTGGATTGACTTCTCTCTGCCCGAATGGCGCTTCCGGGCCGGCCAGGTGCTCTGGGAGCCACCTCCGCATGAGGATGGAGATTGCATTGATATCAGAATGTGTGCCGAGGGATCGTCGCGGGCGTCCTGGGTGAACCCTGGCATGGAGAGAAAATGGCTCTTGATACAGTTGCTCTTGGCGGCCGAGCTACTTCTGCGCCTGGACGCATTCGTCCGAGTCGGGATGTTGCACGATCCGCATGGTGTCCCGATCACGGTGCAGGAGCTACGCAATTTCGATAAACTGATGAATGGAAAAGTGAATTGGGATCTGATTGTCGTCCGCCGCTTTCTTGATAGTCTCGACATCACATGTGCTTTGTCGCAATCCGAGTCACCTTCGGACGGCTCTCGGCCACCTGATAAGCCCCGTCGCTTTTCTCTACTCGAGACGTTCACCCGTCGTGGCTTGTCTGCCTCGCATGCCGATCTGCGATCCGCCTGGGAGTGCAATTTGAGCTCGCAACATGTTCGGCAGCAGCTGGAAGGACTTTATGTTTTTGCGGAGAACATCTCATGGCCGAGAATCGACGCCCTCAAAGCCATCATGAAGTCTAAACTGGGGAGCAGCGAGAATCCCGTACTTCCCAGGGTACGCAATTGTGTCAGCCCGAGACCAGACAAAACCACGAAGGATACTCCGGCGATGTCACTGGCCAAGGAAGAAATGTACACTCGCCAACCATCTCGACGGCTCCTCAAGCTCCGTAACCCGCGATCCGAAACCGGTGACCAGCATGAGGCCGAAGATCTGGGCTGGATCTCTAGGAGCTGGCTCTCCGGGTTTGTGATACCGGGGGAGGGTATCAGCCATCTTCTCATGGCTACTCTCCTCGAGAATGACCCCGATGCGATAAAGCAGCTGGGACCGATGGTCAATCTCTACGGAGGATTTGTGTACACAGGTCGGAGCTGGTGGAGCAAGGCATGCATTGTCGGACGAGTCTTGTCCAGCTCGGAAGGAGCCAAGACATGTATGGGCTGGATCAACAGCGATATAGTTCCCCACGATGCGACTACACTAGAGCCCTTGCAGAAAGGGTGGTTTGAGGTCCCCGTGGATGAGGTGTTGGGCAGCTCAAGCAAAGCTCGAATCAAGCAGGGCGGCCGGCTGGCAATGGAGTCGACGCCGCTGGGGATGGGTGATATCACCGCAGAAGCGTTCACGCTCCCCAAGGATGCGGCGAAGACGACAGCCACCGTCGATCTGAAGGCGCTGTACTTGTCTGTGAACGGCTACCGAACCCCCAACAGCCAGAACATCATGGTTGCGGACGAGGCATCCATGTCCTTCGCGGTTTCAAGTGCCGGACTCACGTCCCCATCTATGATTTCTTTGCCTCTGAAGTATAACGTACGCTTCATCTCCGCACACGAGTGCCGTCCACCATTGGGATCCCCGTGTTACCAAAATTCTAGCTCGAGCCATGAAATGGACCAGTCTACGACATCCAGATTGTACCAGCGCGCGCGTCTACCGGGTCACCCTCTACACCGGTTCTTCCCATGTCAAAATGTCCCACTGGCCGCTCTTGCCAACATGTCCGCACCGCCGGTGATATCACGTTCATCAATTCCATCCGCCACGCGAAGAGCCGAGTCGCTCCCCAACCCGGAGGTTTGGGTCATTGACGCACGAGGAGATCGAACGAAGGAAACATATGCGCGGGCTTGGTGCGCCTCCGTCGGCTGCCATGCTATCATCGGGCGATCTGGGCGGACATGTGTGGCGTGTTGTGTTCGAGAAGCGAGGGCCGTCGACGTCCGGGTGGTGGTGCGCGTAGGCGATTAAGCAGATCGAAATAAACACGCTTCAACCAAGATCGAATGTTGCATTATTAATTTCAGATCTATTTCCGGCGCAGGAACTCCATGAGTTTCAGTTCGTCTTGCATGGCGAGAAGTCGCATCAATAGCCGTATCACATAATGGGCGTGATTAGTAGTGTAACGTCGCGCGAACAGTGTTGACGTTGGCTGCGGCCGCCCCTTTTCTCATTGAAATTAGGGCCAACGGCATTTCTTCCATGATGATTTGCTCAGAGGGCGGGGGGTAAACGAAATAAAAGGCCAGCACAGCCGCAGCGCCCCAAAATTAAGATACTACCTTCCTTTTCTCTGTGCCAACAGAACTAAAGCGGCCCTCCGACCATAAGCGAATGATAAGGCGCGATCCGAGTGAGGAAATTTGCTTGGGTGGACGCGTAAGGCAGGTTGCAAGTTAAGAAAGGATGACCCATGAACGAGAGCCGAGCCTGGCCGCAAGGAGTCATGGGCCCGACGATGGTGAAACCGCTGGGCCCTTCTATCGCCCTGGCGGATGAAAGCCAGTCAGGTCCCTGCATCGGGTGTCCACCTCGGGGCAAAAGCCAAGGCTTGCGATCGGAGATTCCGAGAGCAACGGTATGGCGCATGTACTAACTGCATTCGACATGACGCCGATAGCATGGCTGCTTTTGCGAGATCTCGTTGAGTTGTTTGTCTTTCGTCATAGGGCTCGTTTGTGCCGGCTCAGGTCTGGCCATAGAGTCATCTGATTTGGAGGAGCGCAATTACTAGATAACTACATACAGATACGGAGTATATACTAGCCGTGCTTTTCAATTATTATGGAGCTACAGCCAACCCAAAGAACCCTGCAAAGTCGCTCCGTGGCAATGTATACCTCTACTGGCTGCAAGAAGCCCTACCTCGTGACATTTCTACTTAAATCTTGTGGCCATGGAGTTGATCCGAACATGCCTTGGTCTCCAGTGATGGCAAAGCCGACGATCGGGGCCAATGTTTTAAACAGCTCAAAAGGCCGAAGGATACTCGATGGCACTGCTGCTGTTACATACAGCTATTCCTACGGCTAAGAAGTCATAGAGGATATTACAGACGAGATCTTTACTTCGGAGGCTTGATGCCGGCTCTGCTCTGTCGGCACTTGAAAAAATCACTAAACCAGGACAGGTCTAGCTTGTGATGAATTTCCAGTGCGAGTACTACAAGTACATCACCGCCATCGTTATTCGAGAAGGGTTCTCCTCCGGATTATTAGGTTACTTAACTTGGCTAACTCACCCACAAACGAGCATGTCCGCGTTAGCCCTGGACCTTGATACGTTAGATCTGAGGATGGAAGCCTAATAACCTAATTAATGCCCGTTGAGACATGAGCCGATCGCCCAACCGAGGCCAAGTGCCGGGCATGTGGTCGGAGTAGCATTGCTCGTCTGGTACATTACATTATTATTTGCTCCATGCGGAGCCCGTTTTATCACGCTACTGCCAGATCTCACATCGCGTGCTTAACATTTCGCCGCGTCACACCGGACCCTCGAGCCTGCACGACGCTGAATGGAACCCACACGACGCCCAATAGGACATCCTCCTCGGATTTGTCTCTCCAAACCTGCCCGCCGATCTTCTACCCAGAGCGTACTGGATAGGAGAAGGTGGTGCGGGGCCTACGTTGCCTTGACTGCTTCGACTATCACCGGCGGTCGAGTAAGAAGTAATAATAGGAAAGCATCCTCCCTTGGAAGGTGTCGTAGAGAGGCGACTGCAGCCCACGCTACCGGGGACCGACGGGCCCTCATTGGCGCTGACGATGGTTGGCCGACGTGAAGATCGCGGCCACCGCTTGAGGACTGCTTGAGGATTTGCAGGTCCGGGGACGAATAGTTAACTAATAATTGACAGTTTCTCTGCTAGCGACGGAGCCAGTGGAATTAGTCGGCGAAGAAAACCCCTTTTCTTGTTGCTGCCGATCGTCGCATGATTAATCGTAGAACCTTCCCTTCTGCCCTAGTTCGGGACTCCAGTCATAGAAGCCTCGCTTGAAGGTGTGGAAAAACCAAAGAAGGTCGATCCTAAGCCTTCCTGAGCGCTTTCCGACGCCAAGGCGATGCTGTAACGCACTACGGGGTCCAGATGATCCTTAATTAAACCTTGACGATACGCCCCACATCAGACCCCTGTCGTTACAGAATTGCGAATGGCAGCCAGATCGCTTCCTGCATGACTGATTGTTGCCCAGCGCTGGCCAATGTCCTTGGGTCAGCCTTCGGACCGACGCCCTAGTCGGGTGTAGCTTCAACAAGGATCTCGTTCGAGGATCAGGCTCGCAACGGAGTCCGCAATGTATTCCATGACATACTTCTCGGATTACTCCGGCGAGCGCTCCTCGCACAGGCAGCCACCGCGGAGTAAGTCTAGCAATGATAGCACGTAGGTAATAATTCAGCAGACTGCAACCGACAGTCTGTATGATTAATATTATCCTGGTGGTCCGGCTGGGGCTCGTTACCCAAGGTACCACCATCACAGGATCGTGAAATGGAAACTGGACCCGTGACTAAACCAGGCCCGCCGACAAGCCCGATTGGCGCGCAGAGAAATTCCATGGACTCGGGAAAGTCTTCATGGAAGGCAAAAAATAGAACAAGGGCAGCGGTCGATGTCACCGGCTACGTACACAAAGGATTAAGCTACCCTCCGGGCAACGGCCAAGAACTGGTCGTACGAAATAGGCAAAAAGGGGCAGCCAGAGTTCAAGTCCAAAAAAAAAAAAAAAAAAAAAAAATTGCGAGATCCAACAGCCGGACGTTCCATCCTCGGTATAAGGTGTTACGCATCAGCCGTGGACCCTGAATCTGTTTTTAGTGCCAATCAACCAGCAGTTCGTTCCTGATGCCACGGTCTTGTTATTATTATCCGGGCGCTGTTGGCAGTAGCTGACGGCGTGCTCTGGCTGTCCTTTCGATCTGCCCCAACTTTAGTTGAGTAGTAGCTCAGCTCGCCTTTTCCAGAAGTCCAGGGATCACCCTTTTGAATGACCAGAGAGAGAAGGTTCTTTGTGAGCAAATGGACCCTAGGAGCAACAAGCTTATTGGTCCAAGGTGCCGACCCAGTTGCTGTCGCCAATCAGTTAACCAGTCTAGAAAGGAAGAATTCCCCAGTTCATCAATGATTGACAGGTATCGCGCGCTCTAAGCCCAAATCGTTGGCTCTGAAGCGACCACCGCCCAGCATCCACATAACCCCACTGTGTCAAGGCACCCAGACCATGGTTCCTCGCCTGTGGCTCATTATTTGCTATGAACCGGCCCTAGATGGGGGATCCTACGCAATTAGGGGGTGGCCTCTGCCTGCCGGATTGGGCCAACGCCCACGATGACGAGCAAAGTCCGTGACGGTAAAATTGAAAACAAAAAGCAACCGTGGAAAAATGCCTCGCTGCACGCCTAGCCCTGGTACTGTCTTTTAGCCCTCACTGGGCTCTCTACCCGGGCACCCCTGAGCGGTGTTGGGCAATACGGGCAATACTTAAGATTAATGGGCCTGCAGGCCCAACTTGGACTAAAGCTGATACTTACGTCTTAGTGTACACAGTCTGTATGCAGAGCCACAAGTGTCCCATACAAATAATCTTAAAATAATAAAATAATAAAAACCAAATCAAATCAAATGAAGACAAGCTGGCAAAATAGGGAAAAAGGAAAAACACAAAACCAGCCCCGAGTCGTTTCACCCCGCGATTAGCTTCTGTCTTTTTAGACTGTAGCAACTTCCTCGATCCGCTCCTCTTCTTCTCCTACTCCATTTTCCCGATTCACTTACTTCATACACTCCTTTGGTTTTTCTTTTCTTTTCCTACTACTTTTGACTAATCTATAGCTGACCTCACCGTCATTATCGCTTGGAGACGGGGGACCCTGACGCTACTCTCGAACCGGACCACGACCATTTCTAGACCCTAACCTTGGAAACTTCGTCTTCTACCTTGATGGTCACTCTAATTTCTATAATTATTCCGGTTCATTATTAATTCGCCTTAAACGCGCCTGGAAACAAGCTTGTCTCAGATCTCCTCCCCCGCCGGCGCAACCCAATTTATCCTTAACCGTGAACACTTGCCTACATCGTCACGGCCTACCTCACCACCGCCACGACGATACTCCGGTCCCTCTGAAATACGCGCAATATCGGCGGTGATCCAGTCCGGCGCATGTGGAGTTGGGCGTCTGAACAGACTCTGAGATTTTCTACGCAACAGCGTCATAGCCTGTTGGGTCTTCCGCTTTTGTCTGCTGCTTTGCGGTGCCTGCATGGCCTGGCATCGATTGTCCTCGCTCTCCCTTCGAATCACGTCTGGCGACGCAATCTGCCGTCGCTACCTCACTCCGCTCCTCCTGCCGCGCAAGGGCTATTGATGCGCGCTCGGCCGGTGCAGTGATAGAATCTCGCTCGGGGGAGCTATGCCCGCGGCTATCGACGAGATGGCATCAACACCGACATCACAAGGCGCACCAGACGCCTCCAGTGATAAGAAGCGCAATAAGTTAGGGTATCATCGAACATCCGTCGCATGTGGTCAGTAACCGTCCCACGCACCTTTACTATCTTTTTTGTTCTTTCTTTTTCCGTTTCCCCATTGGCTTGTCGCCTTTGCGACGCCAATTTAAGCGAAATAATATCTTCCTTCGCGGGGTAGTGGCAACCAGATCGTGGATGGTTTGGCTCATACATTATATACAGTACATTGCCGACGACGGAAGATTCGATGCCTAGTGGCAGCGGATGACACCCAGGGACGATGCGAAAACTGTATTCGGTTGCGCAAAGAATGTCAGTTTTTCCCAGTCGACCAGCAGCCTCCAGTGGAGAAGAAATCAAGGCCCAGCTCCAGGATCGAGACGCCCACGACGGACCGCCCTGCCGCGACCCCCATTGCCTCCTCCCCGACGACGAACATGGGTCCCGAATCTGTCGAGACCTTCTATCCATATCAACCCATACAATTGAACACGTCAGGCCAGGACATGGCGTCCTTCAGCGTGGACTCATTTTCCGGCAATCCGATGCCGGGCTTCGCACCAGGTATGTTAGCATCTTTTCTGCCTTCGTCCTGTGTACTGTAAAAGCCGCGCAAAGAAATGAGCATGTATTGACCGGTGCTTTGCCTCTTTCAGACCGGTCGATGGTATCGGGAAACTTCCCAGGGCATCCGTCAATGGACCCTGGAGTGCCTTGGGACGAGTTCACCACTATGTCTGACCCCAGCATGATGACCCAGATGCCAACTGGAAAGGGCCAGATGATGAATATGGCGCCCAATGCCTGGAATCCTGGGGCCATCCCTTCTGGATTGCCATCTGTTCCGCCCATGACGGGGCAGACACAGCAGATGAGCGCACACCCGACATTTACCTTGCAGCCGGATGGCTCGATGTGGCCAATACCCTCGGGCCCATCAAGAGCAATGAGTTATCCTGGACAGGAGATCGGATCGTCTTATCCAAACCAATTTCCACCCCAGATACCTCCGGATCTCAAACGAAGGATGACAACACCCGCACAATCGGCCTCTGCGCCCACTGCTGCTGGGTCACACGGCTCTCATGGCCCACGTTCGGATATGCAAGCACCGCCGGGGTCAATGTCATACACCGGTCAACCAGGTATGGGGTATGCATCCTGGCAGGACATGAACGCTTTGCCTGGAGTGGGTGTGGTGCCATATCCCATGTACACCGGCGATGCCATCCAACAGCCTCCTTTCACAACCAGCCCTCCCCCGATGGGGCACCCCGGTGCGCCGGGGAGATCATCGGGGTCATGAACCTCAAAAACCTCTCATCTTTCTGGTGTGCTTGAGTCGATCATATTCTTATGGTTTGGGTTCCGTCACGTTACACATAACATTTCTAGAACGCCTTGTTTCATTTCTAATACCCCGGGGATACATTGTTTTCTGGCATTTCAACTTACTGCGTTTTTCGCCTCATACTTTACATACTCCGTGGCGGGTCTGCTTTGCAGCTGGTCATTAGCGGGCGCATCAAAGGGTCTTTCTATTCGGGTGGCATTGTTTCCTTTTTCCTTTTCCTCCTGGCTCGGTCCAACGTTTTTACTTCTCGGTTGGACCTCTCCTATTGGAGACTCTTTTACCTTTGATTTCCTTTTTCTTTTCTTTGTTACTTTCTCCTTTTTTCACCCATTATGCAACCCTCTTGGGCCTTGGCTTTGGCCAATGTCTCTCCTGTGACCTGAAAACTATCTTTTCAACCCATGCATGCTGCGTGTCCTCATTTTTCGGGCAAAAACATATAGACTTCTCTTTCCCTTCTTTTTGGCTTTTTGCTTTGTTTTTCTAACTATTTACTCCCTTTGCCTCTCTTTATGTTCTCATTTGGCATGCATTGCCATGTTCCTTTTTGGTCTTCCTGAGTGAGACCATAGCGAGGATTGAGGTTCCTCATGCCGACACATGGCCCGAGACACCACGTCGACACTTCAATTTCAACAAGGGCCATTGAGCCCGGCTTTGCAGAATTACATTCAATGTACATATTGATCATATCACAGAGAATTGAATGCCACTGCTCTTCACTTCAATAGCCACCTTTGCTTTTACTGGCTGTATGATTTCGATTAACTTTTAACCCCTGAAGGATCTCTGATATCTGTGCTTGTCCGTGGACGGTATTCTGCCTACCATATCTCTTGCGTACGGACCAATCAAATGTTTGAATGCCACATCAAAGACTCAGCACCCTCGTTGATAGGGAACCCGCAGCAAGGATGATGTCAGAAATTTGGGCTAGAAAGATAAGCACGCGACTCGCTGTCTCCGCGGAACTGCAGGCCTTCCTTGAGCAGTGCCATCCCATTGGTACGATCCTGTCCAGACTCAAGATTAGGGCTTAGATTGTTGCCAACCCCTGTCTGGATCTCAATTATCTGGGAGATCTAGGAGATAAGGGCGGTCCCGGGCACCTGGTGACTTGTCTTGATACGTCTGGGGTCGCCGTGGATCCCCCTCTAGGGAGATCTTCAGGAGCATCCACCGGGAAGTCGATCCCTTCCGGGGATGAAACCTGGAGATAGCAGGGTCGTAGGATGTATGGCTATCAAGGCCAACCTTCCACCAGCAGATAACTGTGCGCCTTCTGATATGGCCTAGGTGATCGCCCGTGGCTCTTATCTAGCCTCCCGGAGGCTTCGACGGACCTGCAGACTTATCTGCCCCTGGTTCTGGCCATTGTGATCGCGACGAGTGTCACCGCTTATCGAGACGGTGCTGAGTGATAACCACACGCTCGGCTGGCCATTGAATCTCGGAAGCGCAGGTATATATAGGGGCTCCGACCCGGCCGTTTGTGGAGGACCTCTCCCTGTTATCATTATTTTGAAGAGTGTAGCACCCAAGGGAGTCAAGCGTCTGGCGGACCTGCCTGGCTGTTCCATATGCGCAGCATTGTTGGGCTCTTGTCTCCACGCTCGTCCCCCCGGGCGCGCTCCTCTTCATAAAGGGTGGGTTTCTATTTTTCCCTTCTCCCATTGTCGCCTCCGAGGCGATTTCACCGTAACCGCAGAAGGCGCACGAAAAGAGCATCCCGCGGTGGTGTGGACTAGGATGGACTAGTTAGGGCTCAGCAGCAACAAAAGTACATCCGGCCGCCACGGCGGCGCCTCCGCTGCAGACCGCCACGAGATTATGTCCGAGACGCGATGGACTCCTTCGGGTTGATTCGGACGTATTATTGACCCTCTTGTCCATCGATGTTTCCTTCGTGTGATTCGTGGTTATTCGCGTGGATGAGGCGATAAGACCGATGTATCGCCGGGGCTAAGATCCACCATGACCACGGCTAATGACCATGTTATCAGCTTATCAGGGTGTCTATCTTGGGTTTCTCCCCATGGTGGGCCAACGTATCTCTCGTGGGGCCAAAAATAATCGTCCTAGGTACCTCCCCCTGGTGCTGATCCGCACCGATGATGGCATGATGGATTGTCCATCCTTCCTCTCGCGTGCCTGGTCCCCACTGCTGCGCTTGGGCAACCTCGACCGAGACCTGACATCAGAGGGAGCGCGGCTGCTGGGGGATCGACCCTCAACTAAAAGCGCTGAGAGGATCGGAGTTTGATACCGAAGACTGTGGCGAGCCAATCCTCGGATAGATTCACTTCGCTACTGCTACAGAATTAACCGGCAGCTGCGGTCCCCGCAACGAGGTACGGGCGTGACACCAGGGGTCGTATTGGTGTACGGAGACGCCGCAGTACCAGATCGGGTAATGTAGGGATCGGTGCAATGGCCGCCGTTCGACCGTTCCTTATCTTTTCTCTTTCGGCATCCGTCCGTGGGTTCTGGCCAGCTCGTCCGCAACTAGCAACTAACGAAGGAAATAGCTAACTAATGGAATCATCACATCTTTTGCTCTTCTCTCTGTTATGACTAGATAGAGATTTCTCCGAGTGTCTGTCTGGTACAAGACGTATCCTATTGTAGTGAGTGATGAATGCTCCGGGATTGATCAACTGCCGACCTGGCCAAGTAGCAGCCCTCGTGTGCAGCCCTGGTATGTACCTGCGCCTGGTCTCGGCCTGCAGAGCTGGACCGTGGTCGGGCCGACCGTCAAGTTTCCACCATCCCGGGAGTCTCATTCGAGGAAGTGGGATCGCAATGTGTGTCGGTGGTTAGCTAGTGATCCTATTCGAGGTATGCCATAGTATACCGTGGTGGGTTGATTTAGCATTAAATCTGGGTACCGGTATTACCCGTACGCGGAGTGTGCCTCGAGCGACTCGAACTTCACTTATACAACTCACGCTGGGTGGTGGAATTCTTTTTGCTCATCTTCCTCTTCTGCTGCCCTCTCTCTCCCTCCCTCTCTCTTCCCTCTCTCCCATCTCCATCCATCCTACCTTGTCTGTCTGTCTCCCCCGGCCCGCATTGGCCGCATCCGTCCCTTCCCGCCCTTCTCGCTCGACTTGCCCTCTCCTTAGCATCATTCCACCCTCGATTCTAATCTCACCCGATCGGGGCATGAACATCGGGAGGGTCTAGCCCCAACCCTCCAGGACTCGTCACAAGCAAGACTCATCCAGCGACTTCAAGGCCAGGTGGTGGCCTGGGATCTTTGGTGAGTTTCTCTGTCCAACATGTGATGACGAACCGTCCTCTCTTTTTTTTTGCCATCTTCTTTTTCCTTTTCTTCCCTCTTGTCGTCAAGTCTCGCGCGTCCATACAAAAACTAAACTAATCCGGCCACGGCGGCAGACCCCGGTCGCTGGCTGCTGCACCAGGCTGCCAATCGCCTCTTTTCGGCCAAGGGTTTCTCGTTTACGGCGGGAACGGGGGAATTTCCATCCAGACCTTGCATTTTTCGGGCCTGGCTTCCCACCCCCACATTAGCGATTACCGCTTCTCATTCTTTCTCTTCTTTCCTCTCGTCTTGTCTACCCTCTCTCCCTCCTCTGGCCTACGACCGAGGGGATCATGCAGGGCTTCAACCAAAGAGGTCCGGGCCCCGGCCGACCGCACCAGCCCGCCAGGATGGCATTCCCCGGCTTCGAGGCAGATTCTCAGATGACGACCGATTTCGCCTTCGATTCCCCCTTCAACCCGGCCCCGCCTTCCCACGTCCACGACGGTGTGCTGAACGACTCCATCTTTCCCGAGTGGGAGACCGGCGCCTCCCGGGGTCAGCTCGACGACCCCGAAGAGATGCAGCGACAGGATCCACTGGCCGCCCAGATCTGGCGGCTCTACACCAAAACCAAGTCCCAGTTGCCGAACCAGGAGCGCATGGAGAATCTCACGTGGCGGATGATGGCCATGAGTTTGAAACGCAAGGAACGGGAGCAAAAGGCTCGGTGGGTGCCCGTCCCACCCGCCACTGTGAGAGAGAGAGTGCTGATGTCGCCATGTGTCGGCAGCTCGTCGCAGGTTCAGCTCAACAGTCTCACCAGTCCTACCCCGAGCGGCATGGCGCAGCTGCACCTGTCCGACCCCGTATCGACCAGCCCCGCCTATCCAGCATCGTCGTCCCACGATGCCACTTCGGACCCGATGAATTTGGATGACTTCATCGTGCCTTTCGACTCTCCCGCCGATCATCCTCTTCACCCGCCGACCGACCGCAACTTCACCGCGACGCCGACGGCATCAATTCCCATCAAAGCTCGCAGAGACCACCCGATGGTCGATTCCACAGCCGCCGCCTCGTTCCCTAACCCGCCTCAGGACCAGCGCAAGAACAGTGAGTTTGGCTATGTACCTCGTCGGGTGCGCAAGACGAGCGTGGACGAGCGTCAGTTCTTCGCCGGACTGGCCGTGCCGACTCGCAAGCGACCTGCCGAATCGTCGCCGCAGGTTCCGCCCGTGTCGAATGCCATGCTGGCGCAGCATTCCGAGCTGTCCGCTGCGCTGCCTGATTACTCGCTCGACCACCCTTCCTCCAGCTTTGCCTTGCCTCGCAACCCCTCCATGGGGGGCCTGCGACGCCCGCAGCACCATGGCCTTTCGTTCGGCCTGGACACCTTTGGGCTGGGAGAGGACCCGAGCATCAACTCGGCCGGCCCCTACCAGCAGCATTTCACCTTCTCTCCCTCGGATTCTCCCATGACTGCTGGCAATTCGTTTTCCAACCTTTACGCTCAAACGCCTCTGGCCTCGTCTCTCAACTCCACCGAGTTCTTCTCCCCGCCGCCATCGGGCTACCAGTCTGCCGTCTCGACCCCGCAGCCCATCTACGAAGGTGAACAGTCGATGTTCTTCACCGACGCACCCTCGGTGGAGTCCCAGACGCAGCGTCGCGTCCCCAACTACATTACTCAGCGATCCTCGAACCTGTCCGCATCACTGCAGCCGCGTTACATGTTCAACCCCGCCAATGGCGATTCGCAGGCGGGTGCTGTCAGCGGCCCCCCGACGACGGCCCACATGGGATTTTCGGCTCCTCCGCAGCACGTCGACCCGTCTCAGATGCTGGGGACTGGAGAATTCTCTACGACCGCACCGTCAGGAAGCATGTTCACTTTCGGTGGTGACTCCGACAACGAGGATGATGACATCAATACGTTTGGTGAGCGCGCTGGCATTGCAATGCCGCACGATTTTGCGTCGATGGATGAGCATGCCAGTGAACTGAGTGCAGGACTACAGTGGGATGGAGGGTTCCCCGGGTCTGTTCAATCGATGCCGGGATTTCCTGCCCAGCACCGGAAGCACGTCACTATCGGTTCGACCGATATGATGGATGCTCCGCCCGAATGGCATCAAGGTGGCGGCCTCGGACGCACGCATGGGTCTGCTGCTTCTGTGAGCGAGGTTCGCAACCGAGAGCAGGATCCCCGCCGCCAGAAGATTGCACGCACTACATCCACCCCGAATGCCCAGCAGTTGCTACGCCAGAGCATGAACAATGGTCCCACAAGCGGCCCCCCGACAAACCACCCATCTCCCAATACACCCCCCGAGTCGGGTCTCAGCAGTGCCGTTCCATCGCGCCCAGCCAGTCCCGGTGGTTCCAAAAACGGCGATGCCAACGCTGGGCCAACTACCTGCACCAATTGCTTCACCCAGACTACTCCTCTCTGGCGCCGGAACCCCGAAGGCCAACCGCTGTGCAATGCTTGTGGTTTGTTTTTGAAGCTGCACGGCGTGGTGCGGCCGTTGTCGTTGAAGACGGACGTCATCAAGAAACGAAACCGCAACAGCGCAAACACCGTTGCCGTTGGTAGTTCGCGGTCTTCTAAAAAGTCTTCTCGCAAGAACTCTTCCGCGCAACCTTCTTCCACCGTGTCTAGCTCGCGTGCTCCCAGCGGCAACAACTCCGAATCGCCCCCTGCCTTTGCCGGATCAGGCATGGGGAAGCCCGGCGTGGTCCCCATCGCGGCCGCGCCCCCCAAATCAACACCTACATCTGGGGTGGGCCAAGCCCGCAGCGCGATGCAGGCCGCCCTGAAGCGGCCGCGCCGACTCGAAAAGGCCCCGGGAATGGAACAAGATATGGACGACAGCCCCAAGGCCAGTGCACCAACAAGCCGATCCAAGGTCGTCCCGCTGGCACCCGCGATGGCGCCCGCTGCGGCGAACCCTGCCAACCACAGTATTGCTGGTGGACAGGGAGCCAGCCAGGAGTGGGAATGGCTGACGATGAGTCTCTAGCTGAGGCATGGCTTCTTTTCGTTTCGCTACGGACTCTGTGACGCGGGCTACCCACCACTCTAATAAGTTTCACCTATGCACGACTAAAGCTTCCGCCGGTGGATTGCGTGGTATGCTCTCGAACTTTACAGTGCCGTTCATCCCTTGCCTTTATGTGTCACGTTGTGCTCCTACCTGTTTTTTATGTGCTTTATGATTTGATTTGCTTTGATACAACCGCGTCTGTCCGGTGTCCCGAGCTGTTTTCCTGTTTTGTTTCTTGTGTCGTGTTGTTTACCAGCTCGGGGCCGGGCAGAAGTGCGCATCTCTGTTTTGATGTTTTGTGGATTTTTCTGTTGCAGCTGCTGGGCAGACTTTGACTTCATGGGGCCCAGCCCCTTCCACGCGTGATTACCTATTAGGCTTGAATCTAATAACGATAATGACCTTTCTGACCCCGACCTTTGGGTGAATGTAGCCCTACTCCAAGTGGCTTTGCTGCATATTTTGCATGCCCCTGTTGACATCACAGTGAGAAAAACCCGTGACATCAGTCGCCCCATGGGCATCGAGCCACCATCTAGAACAGAACAGACATCATGTTGACGAATTTCTGAGGTGGTCTGCCTCACGGTTTCTCCTCTTCTGTTCTTTGCCGAGCGGTCCTCTCCTTGCTCTTTACACTATATGTGCTCATCTCTAGAGATCCCCGAGTGATTGAACTATATTGTATTCACCCGCAGTCCTCGATACTACTACCGCGATGTCTGGAATGGCAGTATGGTTTGCTTCCTTCTATTCTAATTCCAGTGGCGCTGATGGCGGTTACAGGGCGACACGGCCAGTACGGATGGTGAGTGATACACTCTTGACTCCTTGGTCCTGTGCTTCTCACTCACGACTGGTAGAAGGATCCGATCAATCCACGCCTAATGTGCGCGGGCCAGATACGTATGCCGGCCGCGTTCGCGAATCCGCCAGCAAGACGCGCGAAAAGATTGCCAACCGCTTCCAACCGGGTACGTATCCCAGCAGCCCCGGTGCCATGGCCGTGAGCCCGGACCTGGGGATGTGGTTTGTCATTCCTAGCGCGAGCCATTCAATTCTGACATTTTTTTTTGGCTCTATTTGCAGGTGACACCAAAGCCACTTCTCGTCGACTGTCCGACACGCCTTCCAACGCGCGCCAACAATTCCGGGAGTTCAGTCCCAAGGAATCTGCCAAGGAGTCGGCGCAGAAGAGTAAGTCGATGCTGCAAAATGCACAGGAGACCGTCGCCAAGGCGCTCGGAGGGGGTTCGCGTGGTGAGCCACTTTCTTTTGGTAACGTCTGATCGCTCTAATCCTCCGATCACAGGGGCGAGCTGAACTGGTATAAGGAGGGATTGGAAGACTTGATCAAGTAGTTGTTTAAAACAAAACCCGAAATTGATTTGACTGTCTTGACGATCTAACACTTGCGAATGCATTCTTGTAATATGTATGGGAGACCGTTTTTCTTCTATTTCATTTTTCACACCCACCTTCACCCTTCCCGGCACGGTGCATGTTTATAGTTCTAATCCAACGCGCTAATCAAGACCCCTACATGAGCCACAATTGATAGCACCACAAAGACATGCCAGAGGGTAGAGTACGTAGATCTGAAGTCTTTCCCGTTTGGGCATGTTGATGCCTGGGGAATCAACTGATACGATCACGTGTGATAACAGCAGAAAAAAGCAGCAACTTCCACTTCGACTTGCCATTGACACCGCCAGGATGGGGAACAGTGCCAAACGCAAGAAGGAGAAGCAGAAGGACTTCCAGGTGAGGATTGTGTGCTTTAGCGATACTGTGCAAGGTCACTGACAGTCCCCAGAAACCCAAACTCAAGGTCGGCAAGGCTAAGGCCAAGCCCGACAATTTCACCGACACCAGCTTTCGATCCAAGGGTATGTGCGCTTTGCTGGTATCTTGGAATTTCAGGCTGACTCTATCTGCTACAGCGATCGTTCTCACTCAGCAATCTCTCCACCTCTCGGCCCCATCCTTGAATAGCCAGTTTTCTCATCACCTGTCCTTGCTCTCGTCCAAGTCCGACAGCCAACGGCGCGATTCTCTTGCTCACCTGACGACCTCGATCGCCTCCCGTCCTGTGAATTCACCTCTTCCGCAACCTGTTAGCGTCATCCTTCCGTCTCTTCTCCCACTCATTCTGGACGCGAGTAACACGGTACGCACACAGCTGCTCAAGCTCCTGCGCACGCTCCCGCGCAGCGACGTGGAGGATCATGTCTCGCAGCTCCTTCCATATGTCCGGGCAGGAATGACCCACCTGGCAGCAGACATTCGGGTTTCCGCTGTGGAAGTGCTGTCCTGGATGGTGGAGGCGGCCGGAGAGCAAGTGGTATCCTCCGCGGGCGGGTGGATCAAGACGTTGAACTGCTTTTTCTCTGTCTTGGGCTGGCACACAGAGGAGTCGGCAAGGTGGTCGTCAAATCGTGCATCCTTTGGCAAGTCTGGGAGTCAAGGCAGGCCTATGGTCAAGGTGCTGGGGGCGCTGGCGGAATTTTTGAACGCTGGAGTCGGCCAACCAACAATAGCCGGGGATGACCCACTTGACTCGGATGATGAATTGGCTGAATGGCCGTTCCCCCTCTGCCAGACATCTCAACACATGGTTTCCCAGTCATCTGCCACATACGCATATCTGAATCTGTTTGGGCAACCACGCGATGAGGAAGGCGAGATGTACGAAACCCGGGAGGATCGGTATCGGGTGTTTACAAGTCGGTTCTTACCAGCGATTGAGCGCGGGCTGAAGAGTGCGCGCGAAGAAGGCGGAGAGTTGGGCCGTGCTTCCTCCGGCGTGAGCAAAGTGGTCAAAGAAGCTGTTTCTTATGGTTTGGGTCCATGAATTGATTGCCCTGCCCTCCGTTGCGACAATCCCGTTGGACTGTTCGGCTCTTATGAACACCACTGATAGACCACCACAGACAACCCCGATGAACACAAGCACTACAGGAAGTGCACGGGCACCTCGCGGTGACCGCCATGTCAGTTTGGCCTGGCTCAACAATAATACTGCAATTTTCGTGTGTCTTGGACACTGGTCTTTGTATCAAGCAATCCGCCCATTCAGAACTGCGTGGACACGAATTTGCAGACATCCAATCACAGTCACAGATTGATCAGCCTGTGCCGAGCCCTGAGCTCGACCTCCCGTGGCTACAGATGGAAGCACCTGGTTGCTACTGGAAAGGCTTCGGTGGAACTATATAGAACCATAGATATGTATACATTGCAGATAAATACAAGCTTTAAACGGCCTTTTCTACCGATGATTGTGATCCGACGTTTACATTCTTCTCACCGTCAGCCGATGCCACTTTGACATTTGGCTCATCATCCGCATCAAGGCCTTCTACCACGGCACCTGTTGCGTCGTAAATCTCATCGGGCAGGACAGCTTGCTCGATCTGGGTCTCTTGCGCAGGAAACCACCACGACAAACACAGATACGCACCGGCGGTCGCAACGAAGCCTAATATCCATCCAAACTGGTAGGGATGGATCCCTGATCCGACATCGATCGCGGGATTGGCGGCATTGATGAGACCGGGAAGGCTGGGCGCCACACCGACGAGGAAAGCAATCATCGCGCGCCAGTTCACACCAGCTGTCCACCCGGCGGAACCAGCGTAGCGATATGTCGGGTTCCAGGGCTGGTATAGAGCAAGCACATCGTAGCGCCGGTGGTTGATGACCCAGAAATCGAACAGCATAATCGCAGCAATCGGACCCAGAAAGATGGCGTACGCAGACATGAAGGTGAGGAAGTTGCCTGCAGACTCGAGAATCTTCCAGGGGACCAGACACCATGACAGAAGCGCGCACAGGATCTGGCCACGGCGAATGTTTAGAAACTGTGGTGCTAACGCGGTAAAGTCATTGGCGGCCGAGAGAGAGTTGGCCGAGATATTGACGCCCAACGATGCTACTACGAACGAGAAGGCGCCGAAGAAGCGGCCTGCTCGGCTGGGCCAGTAACTGATCAACACCATTGGGTCCCAGGGAATAGAGGATAGGCCGTAGTGGGCCTGGCCAGCAGACGAGGCAGCGATACCAATGAAGGAGATGAAGGTGAAGATAATGGGGAGCATAGGCACATAGAGGAGTTGCCAGCGAGGACTGACACGCGAATAGCGCGAGAAATCAGACTGGAAAGACCATGTTAGTCTGGGTGTTACAGAGGACTGTGAAAGAGACTAACCTGGTTCACGCTGAGGGTGGCGTAGTTGCCCAATACACTGGTCATGTTCGCCAGGAATAGCCAGCTGTACTTTGGCCCAGAGACTGAGGCCTGTTGCTGGTCGAAGATATTTCCTCCTCCCTTCTCGGCGACAAAGGCCCAAATCAAAATGGCAATCCAGGCAATGGGCACAATCGCCGTTTTGACAACAAACAGCCAGCGGAGCCGATTCGGGTGCATACACAGAAAGGGAAACTGGATGATCCAGAAGATCAGATATCCCACCATCCCATTTGTAGTGATCCCCTGAGACTGGGGGATGCCATTTGGGAGGGTCAGAAAACTCGGCCAAATGGCACCGAGCATAATGCGAACGGCATTTCCACCATTGACATTCTGGATGGCAAACCAGAAGATGGCGAGGATGACCCGCGAGACGATGGCAACATACGAGCCCCAGAACCCCCAGCTCGCGCGCGCAATCACCGGGAATGGAATGTGGTAGATGGCGCCGACGGCGCCGTTGGCAGCGATCACGAACGACATGATGAAGAAGGACACGGCGACAATGATCAGTGCTTCACGGTATGTGAGTCCGACGGCAATGATACTGCTGGCGAACTGCCAGGTTGCTGCGTTGAAGGCATCGGAGATCCAGTATGCTAGTATGGTCTCAGCGTATTACTTGCCAATTCCCCGAGCGACATACCTATCAGACTGACCACACCCCATTTTCGCCGATGTTGGGGGATCGGATCCAGATCGCGATTGGTCCACCGCGCGTTTCCCTCTGCAAAGGCAGACTGAGGCTGCGAAACGCGCAGCCGGGGTCGAGAGAGGCGCATTCTGAAGTAAACGTGGGGAAGAAAACAGGCAGACCCGGAGCCGCAAACTACTCACTCGGTGAGGTTTTGAAGGGTTGCACAGGGGAGCCGGCGAGTTATTGAACGGGCTTGACCGATGATGCAGTCGGACATTCCAGGGAGGGAAAGAGGACCAGAAGGAATGAGATAACGCAGTTATCATTGTACTTCATTATGTATTTCACTATCATCGGGTGATAAGCGATCAGGATGATCAATACGAGATGCATCCCATTGGGCGGCCGATAAGCTGAGAAGGCCAATCACGATGCGGTAAACCACAATTCCATTATTGGCAGATGCTCTTCTTCTTCTACTGCTCCTCCTTCTCTCCCGGCAGACGAACATCCTCCCATCCCCGTCCGTCCCCGACCCCCGCCACGCTGCCGTGGCGCCGAATGCCCTTCCACTCCGTGACATTGAACCACCCGATCTGCTGCACATCGCCAAATCCGCCAATCCAATAAGCCTGCGTCACCACGAGTCGAGCCCAGAAACTCGCATGGGGAGACCCCGGCGCACCGGGCAACCAAACCTTCGAGTCCGGATGCGCCTCCACGAAGCACTTCTCCAGCGCGGCAGCTGCATCACCAGGAAGTGGGGACGGGAGTGTATCCAGATAGCCAAACAACGTCACCCGAGGCAGGGCAGCGAGGCTTGGGGGCAGGCCGGGGTAGACGGGCCCGGCGTCAGATAGGTGGTCCCACCAGTCGAGTTGGAGGCTGAGGTTTGATCCGGCAGCGATATTCCTGAAGGTGCTGCCGACGCGTAGTGCCAGAACGGTGGGGTCTCCATTATCTCCATGCGAGAGCTCAGTTGGAAGAACGCCGTCGCAGTCAGCGATGTATTCGCGCAGTCCGACGGGAAGCCCTGCGACCGAGGCAGGCGCGTGGTCTGAGGGAGGCAGCGGGTTTGGGAAAACGGTCGAAATAACACCGGAGGTCGAAAGAGCCAAGAGTCGACGGGCCACCAGGGTGGATGTAAACCATGACGGCCGTGTCAGGATATCAACATCGCCCACGGAGGATATCGGGTGGCTTGTCTGCGGGAGCTCGAGTGAGGGGTCTGAGGAGCCACCCAAGGAGACCTGGGCGTGCTCGGCGAAGGGAATCGCCGAGGCAGCGGTGCTCCAGGGCACAGAGAGGAATGTGGCAAGTCCGGTGAGAACTGGGGTGCTGTGGACAAAAATCATCCTGCCGATGGGAAGAGAAGAAAGAAAGGAGGACAAGAATGATCATGCGGGGGCCTTTGCAGGTGCTTTCTTATCTGATCACGCTAGTCCGAAAATAGAGAGCTAAGTATAGGCTACCCACCGTCATACATAGCCAGTCGCGATCTAGCAGACCAGGCACATTTCATGTCGATGGCCGACAAAGTTTGCCTTGATCAGATCGGCGTGACTAGTTGCCCCAGATTAGATATCTCAGAGCAAATAAGAGACGAAAATAGTGCGTGGATTGGTCATCTCGGCGAGTCGGTAGAGGAGAAAATGCATGAGATACGGAATTCTTTGGAAACAACTATCTACATTAGCTATCTATATCTGTCTATCCATATGACATGAGTTTCTCGAACGAATCCCCTTCAAGCAATACGTTTGCCATTACGATCAAAGCGCCGTGGCGTTCGGAAGAACCCATCCGGGTTCTCGATTGCACCCTTTTTCCAGTACTCATATTCCATCCAACCATCATTGGGCATCTGCTCCTCGGTCGCTGCGATAAAGTCCCCCAGCGCTGGGTTCAAAGGCACCACACCGGTTTCCAATACATACTGGTCCCACAGTTTCAAAAGCTCTGTCAGTATTTCGGGTTGTTTTTCGGAGAGATCGTGAATTTCGCCTTTATCATGATCAAGGTCAAACAGTTCCCACCGATCGTAGCCCTTAGGAGAGGGCCCTTCCTTGGTCGAGGGCATGTAGACTGCCTTCCACTTCCCCTGGCGGACGGCTGAGCGACCGTTCATCTCCCACCCTTCCACGAATTGATCTTTGTGAATCGAGCTTGAGTCTCCCCGCAACCAGGGGACCATGCTCTTTCCTCTCATACCAACCACTTCTCTCCCCTGGTAGATGGGTGCGGGATGTTGAACTCCAGCCATTTCCAAAAATGTAGGAGCAATATCCATCACGGTTGAGAATTGATGACTGATCCCATTTGCCGGAATAGGACACTTGTACGCCGTGGGAAATTTGGCCACGAGAGGTACGCGGATCCCGCCTTCGGTGGTAAACGATTTATATAGCCTGGATGGAGCGGTGGAGGCTTGGGCCCAGCGCGGACCATACCTTGAGCAAAGTTAGCAAAGTTGTAGCCACAATATTGGGTTGGAGACTTACCAGATGAACGAGTTGTAATTACCGAGATTGTCTAAGCTGTTGTCATAGTACCGCTGAAGGTATTGCATTGGCCCTCCTTTGAAAGCAGGGTTGGCTTCATGGGCACCTCCTTCCGCGCCATTATCAGACAAGAAAAGCACACAGGTGCTGTCCAGCTCGTGTATGTTTCGCAAGTAATCACAGACACGGCCCACATTGTAGTCAATGCATTCGACCATACCTGCATAGGCTTCCATGGCGCGAGCTGACTTTTCTCGATGCTCTGATGATAGTTGTTCCCACTCCGGAATTTCAGGAGCTTCGACTGGGTGTGGCTCAACGTCTTTCTCAACCAGCCCCAGCTCTTTGAGCTTGGCCAATCGACGTAGTCGCAGGGCATCTGGCCCATCATCATACATCCCACGATAATGCTGAATAAATTCTTGCGGAGCTTGCAGTGGCCAGTGTGGTGCGGAGAAGGGGAGATAAGCAAAGAATGGCTTTTCAGTGCTCTCTTCGGTATTGGCCTGGTTCCAGTCCTTCAGATAGTCTAGCAAGATATCGGCATAGCTATTCGAGGAATACCAGTCTTTGGGAAGCTCGGATTCAGGTACATATTTTCCATCCTCCATGTGGAGAGAATACGTCAGGCTAAATGGTTTTGGAGCCTCATCCTCTTCGAACTGAGGTTCCCATCCAAAATGATTGGAAGCACCCGGAAGAAGGGAAAAAGATCTCTCAAAACCTTTTGCACACGGAGACTTGTCCTTGACTAGTCCAAGGTGCCACTTACCAGAGCATAGGGTCAAATATCCAGCATCCTGAAGAATCTGGGGCAAGGTGACCACTTTCTCATTCAAGTAGCCCTCATAGCCTGGTTTACCTCTGGCCGGGGCCTGGCTCTCTTTAATTCCTTTCGGGTTCTCTCCCGCAGGGGTAGCCAGCCACTCGACCAAGGATCCCAATCCCGCAATGTGGTTGTCAGTTCCTGTGAGGATCTGCAAAGGAGTGAGTCGGGGGTCCTCAGGCTTTAAAATGGAATTGACAAACCATTGAACGCGATGGGCTACATAGCGCTGTTGCATGAAAATCTGTACTGAATTAGCAAAATGAAGAAAATTGCTGAAATATTTTGTACCTGTAAACCGCACACCGTCTTGTGCCAGCTTATCGATGTTTGGGGTTTTTATTTCGCTGCCATAGCATCCCACATCCGAGAACCCTAGGTCGTCGGCAAGGATGATCAGAAAGTTGGGACGTTTGGGCATGTTGATAAAAGTACGAGAGCTGCAATATTGTCTTCAATAATTCTCGACGGCAAAAATACCCAAGTTTTTCCAAGATGAATCTGCAAATGCTTTATGTTGAGGCGCATCGCGGTGGTCGGCTCCTCTGGAGCTTTGGCCCGCGACCTCCGCGAGCTCCGCAGATCATAGCGGAAAACATCCAGTCATATCCATACCCCACATATTATTTCACCAATAGCTAGCCGACAAACCCCTTTACTGCGCTAAAACGAGAGAATGTGGCAGAGATCCGTCATCGAGGGACCCCTTTATTGGTTGTATCCTTAGGAGTTGATGTTTTCCGAGTGGATGAGGACGCCAGCAGGACGCCAGCTTCGTCGGTTGCCGAAAGCCAGGATTGCAAAAACAGCGGTTTGCTAATAGTCTTTAAGCAGGCATGCGCCAGCTCGTCATTTTAGCCAAAAATGATGCTCAGCAAAAGTCTAGGTCCCCGAAGCTGTATATAAACACGTCCACGTCAAAAGCTTCAAGCCACTACAGCACCCTCTTTTCAACAGAGCTACACTTGCTTCAGCGCCTGCCATTATGACGGGGAAAATTACTCTAGATACGTTGAGACCCAGCTACTATACCAAGTACTTCACAAGAAATCTGGCTCTTGCATGCGGCTTGGTTGCTATATCCACGTTCAACTATGGTGCTTCTGTCCTTCCTGAATTATGACAACTTACTGATGCAATGTTGCATGCAGCATTCGACCAACAGGGCTTTAACTCGACTCAGGCCATGGATGCCTTTGACAGAGACTTTGGTGTATGCGATGCTAAGGGCGTATGTGCTCTCGAGCCATACTATCTTTCTCTCTTGAACGGGCTGGTTTATATTGGGTTCGCTGCCGGTCAGTATTTATCGGGCAGTCTATGGCCCTCACGAACATACTGAAATATTCCAGGTGCTTGGATCGGAAGTTTTATCAGCTCTCTCTATGGACGCCGTATGACAATCTTCTGCATGTCCATCTGGGCTCTGGTTACCGCAACGATCCTACTCACATCCGGAGTCAGCCACAACAAATGGCAGCTTCTTGCTGGCCGTATCCTAAACTATGTCTATATTGGAATGGAGCTTAGCTCCGTCCCAGTGTATCAATCTGAAGTGGTCCCAGCCCCGATCCGTGGTCTTGCAGTCGGTTCCTACCAGTTATCGCTGGGCATTGGCGGTCTTATCGTCAACTCCATTTGTCGAGGGACCAGCGAAATCAATGATGATAGGTCTTGGTATGTCTACGCGGGCTGATTTGGAAGGAATCAAATTGATTTGTTTCGGCATCTCTATATAGGATGATTCCCTACGGGCTTTACTACGTTATTCCAACGTTGGTTGCCAGCTGCATATGGTTTATACCAGAGGTATGGTCTTTATGGATTGTGTCTAAAAGGGTCTAGACACTCATCTGACTCGCTCTGCAGTCTCCGAGATGGCTCCTCATGAAGGACAGAGATGATGAAGCCTTGGAATCTTTGATCACGCTTCGAGGCAGAGACAATCAAATATCTCCGGAGGAAGAACTTGAACTAATCCGACTATCTTTGCGAGAGGAGGCCGATCAAGGAACATACAGTGATCTATTCAAAGGTTACAATCGCCGTCGAACTTTCATAGTAATCGGCATAGGCTTCTTCTTTCAAGCAACCGGCAATTCATTCAGCGGTCATTATTCGGCGGTTTTTGTCAAATCTCTCGGCACAATTAACCCGTTTAATGTGACTGTTGCCCAGACCGCAATCAACACCGTGACTGCACTTGTCGGAATCCTGCTGGTGGATCGCATAGGACGGCGAAGAATCTGGATCGTTGGCTCTTTCTTTATGCTCGTGTTCATGATGGCCACCGGAGGCCTGGGAATTCACACGCCCGTCTCCTACTCGGCGAGCCAGGGAATCGTAGCCACGATGCTCCTCTATCAGGCGACATATGCTGCTAGTGTCGGACCCCTATACTATACACTTATTACCGAAATCCCCGCGTCTCGTCTTCGAGATAAGACCGTTCGCCTCGGAGCTACTGCCAATATTGTTACAATGTGAGTGAGAAAAAGGGTTTGAGTGAGGAGAGCTGTTGACTGACAAACCTGGGAAGTTTCATCGTATCGTTTACTCTGCCGTACCTCCAGGACGCTCCATATGCTGATTTGGGAAGCAAAGTCGGATTTATGTGAGTTTCATTGAGGATTGTCGGATGACAAAGATTGGCCTGCTGATTGCTCAAAAGTTATGGTTCAATGTCTTTCCTTGCCATGGTGTTTGGATTCATCTGCATTCCTGAGCTGAAAAACCGAAGTCTGGAAGAAGTTGAGAGAATGTTCGAGACGGGTGTTTCTCTCCGTAACTTCGAGGATTACCAAGAGGATCCAACCAGGCTGCAGAATGTTGCGGCCAAGCTCAATTCCTTGAATGGGCCCGAGCCAACCGGAAAAGGACCTGCTGAGCGAGCAGATGCAGTTTGATGCCAAGCTCACATCATATGGTTTGGAAATTCTAGGCGTGAATGACAAGCTGTCACACAAAGTAATTGTAGTTGAAATCCAAATCCAGACTCTGATTGATCCAGCCCAACTGTACCGGACTCATTGAAAAATTGAGTGTCCCATCGCCCCAACCGTATCCCATCTCCTGTGCGCTGGAATTAAACATGTCAAATGGAGGAAATGATGCATGAGATAATGCTGGAGTTGGGTTATTTGCAGGTCCTTCTGCCTGGTTAGGTTTGTGGGGGCCACGATCGACGTAGTTGAACACGTCGCTATCCTCCTCTGCCGGGCTGCGAGCAGTGGGGGCAAATGCGTCTCCTCGGCTAGCCAGGTCAATTTGAATCTTGCCAAAGGTGCCAAATGTACGCAGACTTGGCGAAGTTGGTCTCCCAGGCCCCTCTGTGTGTTGATTGGGGGTAGAAGTAGAGTTGGTATCAAACCCCCTGTAAAGTCAAAGTCAAATCAAGAGCAAGCACCACAAAGACAATACTGACGTGGATAAATTTTTTATGTCTATATGGTATCCATTGCGTTTAGCAAGGTCACAAATCGAGCAAAACTGAGACAGAATAGTCAGGATATCAACGCCCAAATGCCATCAAAAATCAGGACTTACCAACTCGCGTATAGGCTTCGATCGCCGACAGACCTCTTTGACACATTGTATCGGGGCATTTGAAACTGAATAGACCTCTTCATTTGTAAGCCCGAGAGCAATGCTGTCCTCTGTTCGCCGCTCAATGGCCAGAATTCGAATCGCCAGAGACGCAGATATCGCCACGACAGGATCATGAATGGGACCGTGAAGGCTCATGCTATCGGATATGACTTTGCAAATTGAGAAAGCATGTCGTAAACGGTTGCGCCGGCAGTTGGACAGGAACGACTGCGGTGAATTATTGAGAGGGTTAGAGGGACTGTCCACCTGAGCTAGGGCTGTGATATAAGACCCTATTCGATTCAAGTCACACCAGCAGCCGTGGAAGAGACAGTGGAGAGTAATGAAGTTGAAGAGCTGGGGATGACGGCGATACATGACATCGTCGTTGAACTGAAGTTCCATGGGCAAACGGGCTTGCCACTCTTCTAGCTTCTGCTCAAACTTCCAGTAGGGCGAATCGCGATCCCATGGACGCTGCGGTGGTGTGTGGCCCCTATTCCTGGGGTGATAGGGTAGGGTGTAGTTGAGGATTTCCCGTCGCAAGACTGCAAGATTGACTAAAAATGCCGATATCCCAGGACGTGTGGGGTTGGAAGTGTTGGTGTCACTCTCCAGATAACCCTCCTCGTTGGCGAGCTGGTCCAGTCCGGCCATGTTGGTCTCGAGTGCCAGCTGGAACGCATTTTCGTTGCATGGCAGTCTCACCTCGATTGATGACAGGTTGAGTCTACTGAGAGGACTACGCCCAGATTCGATCATTGACTCCATCACAAGGCAACTCCACATAAGTCGTCGCCGGGTCTCTCGGACGGTTACTGTGGTCCGAGTCTCATCGGGGATTTCAAAATTGAGCTGTAGGCCTTGTGTGAGGCGGATTGCCAGACCTGATAGTATCCAAGCATTCATATGCTCGGCTCGATGCCATTCGTAGCGTTGGAGCAGGAGGAGTGCCTGCAATGTGGTTGTCGATGGTGGGGAGAAAATCTCCAACATGATGAGCCGGCGGCTTTCGTCTGCCCACTTGTCCGCACGGCTGTCTTCTGGATCAAGGAAGTGCAGGCTAGTCGCGAGGACGATTAGTAGAAGAAAATTAGGGATAGAACCCCGGTCGAAGGCCTGCTGAAATGTAGGCCGGTGGATGAAGGTGTAGAAGTAGAAAAAATGTGGGCCATCAAAATAGGCGTCGAGAAGGCTTCTCAACTCGGCTTGGCTAGGAATCCCAGTTTCGGTCTCCATGGCATGTTCTCGATGTCTTGCAAGACTGCATTCCTCCCCGTCGGTTTGGCAGGGGTCGCATGGTGCGGTTGAACAAGTCGACGTGCATCTCATCTAACTGGTTGTCAGAAAAACTTTTAGAATAGAATGGATGCTTTGATTAACCTTCTTTTGCCGGCATCTTCTACAGGCATTGTTCACGCGCGACCTCTGTAACAGCTCCGATGGGGGATACCACGAGCACTCGATGTTGAGTCGCAAGCAGTTACCACATACATCGCGGCGTTCATCACAACGCACCTAGAGAAAACACAAATCAGTGTCTAGTGCAGTCAATTATATCAATAAATCAACTCTGCATACCTTCCGTCTCCTGCAGGTCGCGCATCCGGATCGGCGATTGGAAGAGCGCTTAGCAGACCGGTTCATACCCGTCAGCTGGGGCCCGTGGTCTGGTCCAGCCATGATGAAGACCCTAGTCAATTCTTGGATGCTCTTCTACCGACCTAATGATATAGCTATCAGCTTTTGAACAGGAATGTCGCACGGAGAAAAGAGACAAAGGTGAATAGTGAAACAAGTGGGGAGTCGAGCGGGGAAGGAATCGCGCAATGGCGGCAGATGGTGTGGCCATCCTTAATGTAGCAGTCCGACTACTGTCAGTCTGTTCAATTACCTATTTCTCATTTGATTCTGAGGCCGTATACGCAAAGAAATAAAGTATAGGGGGCTTCGGTCCAGGCATAAGTTTCAATGAATTATCTATTTACAATCCGTAGAATGTAACAAGAACGGCCTCGCTATCCGATACTTCAATTTTCACCTCGCCATCGGTAACAATATGAGTCTCCTCTGTCGGGACACCAGTCACTAGGTGTCCTTTACCTTGATCGATCGAGTAGCTCCATTGCTCACCGGCCCAGGTGATGTTCTCGGTTGGACCGCCATAATCGAATCCCATCGCCTGGGCACCAGCAGCAGACACAAGGCGCTGCACCTTGTAGGTAGAATTTCCAGAGCTGATTGAAATTGTGACATTTTCTGACCCTCTAGCACTCGTGATTTCTCCTTCCACCCATGCGCGGAGGTTGATCAGCGCGACTTTGGACAAACGATTGGTAGATGCGTCGTATATCGCATATGCTGTGAGCACATCAGACCCCAGATCCACCTCTGCAACCTTGCCTGGGTCTTGTCCAATGAAATCCGCAATGAATGGCAGCGCGTACCAGACGCCGCGCACCTGGGGCCCGGGGTTTGTGTCTCCGGCAGAGTCGTCTGGCACCCAGTAACTGTGTAGAGCTGCAGGACGGTGCGTGGCATCAACTCGAGAGACACCCTGCGTCAAGCTGTATAACTGGAAGTCGATGCACCATAGGGCCGCTCCGAATCCAGCCTGGATTTGAATAGCGCTCGAGGTTCCAGAACCGGTTTCACTCAACACAAACTGGACATCAGGATCGTTGGCTTGTAGATATGCGATTTGAGAGGCGAAAGAACTGAACAATGAGGTGATAGCGGTGTGGTTCATAAGATGGGTCTGCTGTTGCGCCACTGTCGTATAGTCAGTCCCGAGCTGATAGTAGTGCCAGGCCGCGACTTTGACGTTGTCGGAGCTATCGATATTATCCTCGAATGCATCGATGCTGGAGAACAATATCAGCATTCTTGGCACACTCAGCCCTTAAGAAGAAGGAACATACAGGTTAAAGACCGGACTTCCTATTGCAAACTCAAGCACCTCGAATATCCGTGACGGAGTCAATCCCAGAGAGCTCGAAACATCGCTCATGACTGTCTTCGAATCATTGACATATTGATCAGCTGTATATGTAACGCCGTATTGTGAAGGATAAAGATTAGGCTCGTTTCCAATGGCGATCGCCGCCAAACGGTCTTTGCCGACATTCTTGTATGCCCGAGACACGTATGTAAGAGTATTTGAGATGTTGAGCGTAGGACCCAGTGGAGCTTGGAAAGTCATGTCAAAGTCTTGAAAGTTCAAAAAGCCATCGAAATAGCTGGGCCCTAGGATGTACGTTGCCGAGGAGCCAATCGGGCAATCGCCGGCAATGCAGACCTTCACCTCATCCTGGCTTGGATCAAAGAGTACGCGGTCACCGCTGGTCCCACCAATGCGAATTGTTGGTGTTGTGCCCACTCGCTCAGCAATAGATCCGAGCAGATTGTGAGTGAATTTATTCGCATAATCATTGATAAACGCCGTCTCAAACCCGAAGCCGACAAAATTAGAATGAGCTTGGACAGCGCTGTCCGGGGCCTCCGGTGACACTGGAACATTCAACGAGGTGGATGCAGCCAGAAGAGCGCTTTTCACGACTCGAGGATGAAGATGCATCTTTTCTCTGGCATACAACCCTACTCTGTGTCGTGTAGATGAAGTATATATATCTTTATCAGAAAATGACGTGCTACCTGCATCAAGCCGACCTGAAAGTAGTATATTGTGTATCCGCGACGTCCGCGACGTCCGCATCCTTCAAGGGAGCTAAATGTTTGTAAGATACAGGACTATACACCAGCTGTATGTACTTGGCCGACACTAATCACCACTCGCGCAGGGCGGCGAGTCTGCAAGATTGGCTCAACGAAAGACAAAAATATTACAGATCTTAGGACCCCTGAGAGTCCTTTGTTGAGCCTGGACATCAATAGCGCGAGAAAGGAGGAACAGAAAATACCACAGACCGGCTGATGGCCCCTGTCGTTACGCGAAGCGATGGTGCCCTTGCGCCGTTGCGCACTACTTTCATACGATGCAGATAGATCAATTTGCGTCCATCATAAGAGATAATTGTGTTTCTAAAACGTAAGTACTAGGTCCAAATGGAGGCTATGTCAACAAATCCAAGTTCATGGTTTGCGGCGGAACACCGGACAGTAAGGATCTCCGATCATTTGCCCTAAACATCCAGAATAAAATCGTCAATGGCGAGAAGTCCACTTGTATCTCTAACAGGCTTTCGGTGAGCTGTATAGTCCATCAAGATAGTCTGGGGGGAACCAAGACATGAGTCACAGCGATGATTAAGGCAAGCAACGACACCCAGCTGCTGTTCACCGATTTCGTGGATTCAGCATCTCCCCGCTCGTTTCGGTGCCTGCATAAACCTCGAACTCATGAATGACGCCACGATAGTGGTTGGGTGTGCCTTCCCCAGTCAATCTTTCCACCCAATAGAGCCCATCCTAACCAGGGACCTCTAGAGCCGGAGTGCTAGGGCTCAGCAGCGCCATCCAGCTCGCTCGCCAAGGCCACGCAGTGACCGTGATCGCCCGCGAGCTCCCCGGCGACTTCGACATCGAATATGCCTCGCCGTGGGCGGGTGCACACTTCCGTCCTACACCAGCCAACAATGCCTCGGAAAGATTCGAGCAGGAGCTCATGCACGAAACCTACGAGGAGCTAAAAGCCATGGCGGAAAGTCACCCGGACAGCAGCGTCCGATTCGTGCGGGCGGTGGAATATTTCGACGCAGCGAGTCCGGCCTACTCCGATGAGACGCTGGTGAAGCAGAACGGATACGCAGACTGGCCCGACTTCCGGATCCTGGATCAGTCCGAGTTGCCATCGGACCATGATGCGATTCAGCTCGGCGTCACCTACACAGGCTGGGTGCTGAACTCGCCCGTGTACCTAACCTGGTTGCACCGTCAAGCGCAAGAGCTCGGTGTTCGCTTTATCCGAGCGCGACTGACCGCGCTCGAGGAAGCGGTTTTTATACACCGTGAGAACGAGAGCGCTCCCCGAACCAATGTCCGCGCAGTCATCAACGCCAGCGGCCGAGGCTTCCATGACCCAGACTCGTTCCCATCGCGGGGCCAGTTCATCCTCGTCTCCAACCCTTGCAACGAGACCATCAGTCACCACTGGGCCGACGGGTCTACAACCGTGATCATCCCGCGGCCGCTGGGTGGGGGAACAGTGATCGGGGGCACGAAGGAGTCCAATAATTGGTAGGTCATTGTTTTCATTCACTCATGCGATAACTCGCATCCCTCTGTATAAGACTTCGATATACTCACAGAGCAGGTCCCCCTCCATCTCAAACGCTGCAACAGGAACGATCCTGGCAAGAGCTGCCAAGCTCTACGCGCCGCTCGTCAGCGGTGCATCATCCAATCAAGACGCCAGCGGGTTTGATATCAAGCAGGTTTATATCGGACGCCGTCCGATGAGAAAAGGCGGGTTACGACTTGAAAAGCAGATCCTGGACTTTCAGGATACGGCGGAGGACGGGCTGAAGTCAGTGTCCAGAAGCATCCCTGTGGTGCACTGCTATGGAGCTGGGGCAAGTGGGTTCAAGATTAGCTGGGGAGTGGCGAGGCGAGTGGCGCGCCTCGTGGCGGCGACGTAGTCCAAGATTTCCTATTTCCTAGATCTGGTTAGCAGTCTCCTACTCGCCATGCTTTGGGCGCTCTTTCCCGGTATGTCATCGTAGGCGTCCTTCGTGAGTGTACTAAGTGAGTCAAGTGAAGGTGTCAGTGGAGCTGGATCCACCAGACCCAGCGCCGATGTTTTGCCGCCCAGCGATGTTGCCTGCCCGACGCCGCGCCGAGGACCGGAGGGGATCAGCTGATAGTCCATCGTACTGAGTCAAGGCAGGTACGTCCCACAGCTGAACGGACGGTCGGCTCTGGATCGTATCCGCGGGCATCACATCATGCTTAGCTACAGCACCGCCACGATGGAGTGAGTCACCCATACACCAAGGGCCGTCGCACGACTAGGCAGACAAAGAGACTACGGGGGAGCAACGTCGAGTAAGATGAACTGTACGATTGGCTATCCTCCCGCGTTCATGTCCACGGGACACTCCGAATGCTCCGGGCCCCCAATGGGCTGAAAAGGGAAGCTCATCAGCGCCGGGGACGGGACACATGTACAGTACACAGAGAGGGAAAGCTTGCGCCTCCCCAGACACCTCCCAGTAAAACAGACCGACCAATGCCCGCCACACTCCATACGCAACCAGAAGAACAGAAAGACAGAGACACTAATAAAAGGGACGGAAGTAGACACCACATTGCAAATCGTACATCAAGTGGTTGTCCGAAACCCACTTGCACGCATGGGGGAAGAGGGGGAGACATGGCGACCAGAAAAGCCGACGGTAGGGATATATACAGAGCACTTCCGGGGTCGGTCGCCATGCAAACGTAGGAGAGCTAAACGACTGGCTTTTTCGCAAGAAAAAGTAAACGCAGACCGTAAATCAATTCAGAAACTCCGTGCGCATGCTCGGGTTTAGGGCAATCTTGCGCGCCTCGCTGCCGCAGCAGGCGCGTTTCATGCCGGCCGGTCCGGACACCAGCCCCGTCTCTCCAGACGCGGTGGCGCCCCGGACCAGGAAGGAGTTGGCCAACTCGCCGTCGGGCAGCACGGCGGGCTCGCCGGATGCGCCGAGGTTGATGAGGTGGCGAACATGGTTTTGGAGAAGGAGGTCATCGGACCCCGTGCGGCCGCGTTTCCGGCACTGGCGCTGGGCCGGGGTGGCAGAACCCGAGAGCTCGCACAGGCTCTGGGCAGCTTCCTGGTCCAGCGAGAAGGCGGAGAGATCGGTCGCAGAACCCATCGCGCCGGGATACGCTTCGGGGGAGCTGTAGACCTCGACCAGGGCACTCTCGTCAATGGGGGTAGCGATAGCCAAGCTCTTGCGAGATTCCTTCAAAGAATTGCTAGTGCAATGCATAGCCGCCTTGACGGCGAGGCGAGGGGCAGCAGATCCACCAGCCCCAGACGCGTTGGACGAGACGGAGGACGAACGCGAAGAGCGAGACGACAGGGTAGAAACGTCCGACACCATAGAATCGGGCGAAGACGCCGAGGACGTCGAGCGCGCCAGGGATGACCGGCGAACCACCGCCGGATAGCCATCGTAGGAATGAGCCCGCGCGCAAAACGACAGAGGCGGGCGCTGATCGAGCGTCGATCGCGCCATGCACATGTTTTGCGCCTGGGACATCGCCGTACAGATAGAAGGGCGGCGAGGGGCACAAGCAGCCCCACTCGCAGCAGGAGTGGAGGCCACATGGGACTGGGGGGTCATCTGGGGCGTAGGCAGCATCGGCGGCCGCGAAAGAGCCGGCATCGGGGGGTTGGAGTACTCCACGCCGGGAGTGGGTGCCAACGTCCGGGGCAAGCTGCGCGGGCAGGTAGGGGTTGATTCGCGAGAGGACGAACTGACAGAACCGTTGCTCAGCACACTGCGAGGCGATGGCGAATCTGCCAGACCTAGGTCCATGCCATCCATGGCAGCCACCGGGGTCGTCGGCTCGGGATCCACCGTGTCCAACTCGGGAGTCAGACGGGGCAGAACCGTCCGCCAGCACTGACCGTCGATAGCGGGAGGACCACCGGCACCGGGGGTCAACTTCAAAACCAAGTCGGTCCATCGCTGGAAGGTAGCCTCGGAAATATGCAGGCGCCAGCCCACCGCTTCGAGGAACATCAGCTCGTTCTGATTGATCTCAAGCGTGTTGAGACCGGAGATTTTGCTCCAGGCGCGGGCGGAGTAGTTCCGGTCCTGCAGATACTTGGACGCAAGGATTAGTGCCGCCAGAAACATCCGGCGGCCACACTGCATGGCCCGCAGAAGCGACTGGTCCCGCGGTTGCTCGTGGGTGAAGTCGTGGGAGGGAACATGAGGCTTAATCTTGATCAGATAGTACAAGGCCACCTGCAGGGTGCTATAACTAGTGCGCGAGCGACGGAGCGTTTCCTGGATGAAGGTGCGGAGAGGCAGCACGCCTTTGGTCCCGGTCGCGGCATCACTGCGGGATGCCGCGGCGGACAAAGGCCAGACGATCTCAACGATCTGCGACGCGGTGTCTTCACACAGGGGGGAGAATATTTAGCTGGGAGCGATGGAACGTAGGACGTTCACACTTACCGACTAGGTTGTCGACAAAGTTCACTTTCCGCTCCGACTGGCGGAGCAGACAGGGCGGAGCCCGCGCGCAGGGACCGCTGGCGGCGGCGAGGCTGTTGGTGCGCCGAGGATGCTGGCGCATCTCCGGCGGCACCGGAGCATCCGTCGTCTTGGGAAGAGCGCCCTTGGCCAGGGCACGGGGGCATACCACACTCGGGTTCCGTCCGGCCCCCTGATGATCGCCGTCATTATGATTATTATTTTCCCAGATCACATCGACCGGGTTGGTGGTGGTGGACGAGATTTGCGAAGAAATCGCGTCGAGGGAAAAGACGGAGGAAGATGAGGAGGAGGCGGAGGAGGAGATCGAGGAGGCATAGGGATGAGCGTGAGACGCTTTCGATATAGAGCTCGGGTTTGACAAGTTCAAACCCAAGACGTCCATCTCTGTCATATCCGGAGGGGTGGCAGTCATTCAAGACTGTCCAAACCGAGACCGGGGGGTTTTGAGGGAGATGATCCGATTTGGGAAACCGGGGAGAAAGTCAGATAAACCGTGAAGCAAGGAACCGGGAACGAAGGCCGAGGAGACAGAAGCCGTCTTTGGGGATAAAGGCGACGGCCGACCTGTTTAGTAGTCGAAATGCGCCAATTTGACACAGGTTGACTCAGACAGAAGGAGGCGATATGATCGAAAAGGTAACCAGGTAACAAGCAAACAAGCACACCACAAAAAGCACAAGAGTCCAGGTCCGATCACCGAGTTGAGTCTGCCGAAGACAGCAGAGGCACGTGGCAGGCCAGTGACTCTTTGATACCGATGACTGTTGGATGCGATCTTAGACGGCACCAGCAGTGACGATTCGGAGGTCTTCGGCAGCGGCGATCGGGACGACAACGGACGCAGGGTACATTTTGACAGCGGTCGGGTGATGGAAAGAAGTTATACGGCGGCCCTCAACGGCGAACCCTGAGCAGGCAGATCTTGCGCTGGGTCAAGGCAGTCGTTGGTTGGTGAGGGTCGGGTTGGGGTAGGGTAGGGGGGCAGGGCTAGGCAGCGGGCGGCTGTTGGGTCGTGAGGCTGGAGTGTAAGGAAGGAAAAACGAAAAGGAGTCAAAGAGTCAGCCAAAGAGAAGATGGCAAGGGAGATGACTCTTTTTTCCGGTCGGCAGAGATTTATTATAAGAGGGCAAAAAGCAAAGTGTGGAGGGTGGAGGGAAGAGTGACTAAGAGGAGGCAAAGGCAAAAAGCAAAAGGGAGAGAGAGAGAGCGTGAGGGTGAGTGGTGGCGATGTTTCTTTGGGGGGGGTGGCGGGCCACGCAGGGACCACTCGGGCGATGGGACCGGGAGTGACACACAGAGAACGGATGCGGCGACCGTGAGTCACGATTCTCGGGTGATAACCAGATCGGATCGCGACGATGATCTCTGCTATCGACTATGCTATCGATGCTATTATCGATGCTATTATCGACTCTCTTCATCCGCCGGGAATCCCAGCATCGAACTATACCGGATCAGGTGACCTCCCACTCCGTCCGAGAACGCAGCACTGACTCACACTTGCCACGCTGGCCCTGGGCCAATCCGGGCGGCGCCGATGGGGCATTTGCCTGGATGCGGATTGGCTGGGGTCACGTGGATGGATGGGTGCCTGAGGCAGCCATGGAAGTACAGAACATTCCGTCGGTGGGGATGATAGATAGATGGGTATATACGGTAGACACGATCGATACGTAGAGTATTTATAATATATTGACTGTGCGCATGGATCACTCTACCTATATCGTGGACAGCACCTCCCGCAGCACCGCCACCACCCCCTGCACCTCCGCCTCTACCACCGGTGAGAACCCGATTTGTATATACTGGGGATCGCTGGGAACGGGAAGAGAACTCACCACTCGTGTAATGCACAAAGCTCAACCGCACCACCCCGTCATCCACATCCGCCAACCCACACACCTCCGCCAGCAGCCGGTGGCTGTACATATGCCCACTGCGGAATCCAAACGCCGATCGCGCCTCCACGGCCTCCACCAGCTGCTGGCTGCCGAGGCCGCGCACCGTGAAGCTGATGACGGGCACCCGTCGCGCCTTCGACGGCGACGGCTCCCCAATCACCGTGATGCGCGGGTCAGACGTCAGGAAGGACAGCAGGATCTCCTGCAAGCGTTCTTCGTGGGCCGCAATCTGCGCCCAGGTCTGCCCGGGCTGGGGGCCGAAGAACGCCACGACATGCGGGATGCTCTGCGTCAGCTCGTAGTTCGCCGAGGACAGGTTCAGTTTCTGGTCGAGCGTGTCGGTGGGCTTGAAGAAGTGCGCGAGCGACTGGATCTGGTCGTGGATGCGCGACGAGGCATACAGCTGTGCGAGATGTGGGCCGTAGACTTTATACCACGAGAAGGCCTACCGGATCGATTTAGCAGACAACAACCCCAAAAGGTAGGAAGGGGTATACGAACGTAGAAGTCCGCACCCAGCGCTTGCACATCCACCTGCCGGTGCGGCGCGAGAGCGACCCCGTCCACACACAGCAGCGCCTGCGGAGTCCGAATCAGCACGTTGCACAACAGATAAAAAAAAGAAAAAACCTACGCGAGGATAGGCGTGCACGGCATCCGCAATCTCGCGAATCGGACTGATCGTCCCCGTGATGTTCGAGACGTGAGGACAGGCCACCAGCCTGGTCTTGTCCGAGAGCAAGGTCTGGAGGTCGGCGGGATCACAGTTCGGATTCTTGGGGTCGGAGGCAGACCACCATTTCACCGTTAAACCCATCCGTTCAGCAATCCGCACCCATGGAGCGACGTTGGCTTCATGGTTGAGCTTGGACAGGATCAGCTCATCGCCCGCCTGGAACGTGAGGGCGGTAGAGAGATTGTGCAGTAGCTGGGTGGTCGAGACGCCGATGCTAATCTGTGCAGTGTCAGTATTGATCCAAGATCATTATGAGTTCCGTACCTCGTCCGGCGTGGCATTGATGAAGCCTGCGGCGGCTTTGTATGCCTCGGTATATACAGCCGTGGAGACTTGCGAGGCCTTGTAGGTGGCTCCGAGCTGGACATTTGTGCTCAAGAGGTACGAACGAATGCTGTGAAGACTCCATCAGTGGCTGATTTCCACCCCGTCTGATCAACTTACGAATCAGCCACGGTGTCAAGGACCTGGCTGCCTCCTGAATGAAGTTAGTAAATGTCAAATCCGCACCACCAGCCTCACCCACCCGCGTTGTCCATAAACACCTGCTCTTGCTGCAGAGCAGGGAAGCGAGCGCGCACCGCAGGCACATCAAAGGTAGACATTTTCAGAACGTAGTGCAAAACAGCAAGCTTGAATCCTCTGTCCCATGTTGGCGGGAAGAGAGAGGGGTCGGCTATAGGTGGAGCTTTTTCTGATAACGCGGATTTAGTCCGGCCTACGCTCAACCCTCGTCGGAACAGCTGTCTACAAATCGAGCTACACAGATCAGTCTCGCCGGTATAAGTCAGGTCGAATTTACATGGGCACAAGGCACAGATATCATATCAGAAGAGATCTTGCTTCGGGTATATGTTGTATGAAAGAAAACCCACATCCAAAAAGCGCAGTATGTAGGAACGGAAAGAAAAGGAAAGAGACACAAGCCCGAGAAAGGAAACATCACGTCCAAAAACCCAGTGGACCACGCCATCACCTCGCGCGAGCGCCCGCCACGCCGGGCCCGCCACTCGCATGCGCGGCATCATGCACAACGCAGAGCAGGTACTTCTTATCCGGCACGACGACGATCTCATGTTTCCGTGTGCGCATACGAAGAAGCTTAATCTCGTCTTCCTCCGCGTCAACCGTGTCCACATCACGGTCCTCCTCGCGCGGCGTACTAGTTCCATTCGCGTAGCTCTCATGTCCGGCGTCCCACGCAGCAGGCGGAGACTCATGGGCTCCGCCGTTCTGCTGCGAGGCGGGTCGCGACAGCGAGACACCCAGCGCTGAAGCACTAGAGACAAAGGCGAAGATGTGCGCGGCTAGGGCCTCGGCCTGGGAGGGCTGGTACGGTGATGATGATGCGTTGGCGGCGGGGGGAGCGGGCGAGGAAGGGGACTCGTCGGATTGCTGTGGTGCGGAAGAAGGAACGGAGTCTGTGGTGTCTGGCCGAGACGATCCGTTTGCATCGGTTGTGGGGGGGCGAGTAGCCCTGTGCCTTGAATGATGGAGCCATTTCGGCGGGAGAGGATCAGGGTGGAATGCACCCCCGGGCGGGAGGTGAGGTGAGAGAGGAGCGCGGTGACATGTTGGGGGACTTGCGGCGTCCGCTATTTTCAGGGGGAACAAGATATCAGTTCGACTGCAATTGCGGACAGCAGAGATGCTAAACCCACCGGCGTCGGAGTGGTCATTCTATCTCGGAGTCTGCGGGGAGGGAGAAACCGAGGAGTGGGTGTTGTAGGAGGAGAGACGAGGATCAGAGCAGGGTCAGTAATTCAGATCAAGTCATGGCTTCGCGGTCAAGGCCGTCTGTCTGTCTATACTCTCACGGCCAGAAGCAAAAGGGAACATCACCGACAGCTCATCAACTGGTCTTGCGGAATCAACAAAAACACGGATGACTCAGCAGATCACATGCCACTGTTTGCCCTGATTTCTTATGTACTGAACAAGTCTTAAAAGACAGACTCCCGGCCGCCAGGGCTGGGTAGGATTTAATTGTCACTGGCTACATATCATAGAGCAATACAGAAGAAATAGTAAGGTGCGCTGGAAAACAAAACAAGATGGTATCGTCAAGGAATGGCGCACGAATCAAGAAAAATGGAAAAGAAGATGGAGGGATCGTGAATGAAGAAAAGGAAAAGAAATCAAAAGATGGCAGAGTATCCCTGAAGAAAGAAAGAAAGTCGTTGATCTAAGAAGCCCGGGCTGTTCGGGCTTCTCGAGGTCCGGCCAGACTGGACTTGTCAGATGTCCATCCGGACTCGATATCCTCGACCCTGTTGTCAAGCTGCTTCACCTTCGCGCGACCACCCCGGAACGACGAGCTGGGTGTCTCAAATCCACTATAGTCACTGCTGCGAGGAGAGCTGACCCAGCTCTCCGGGCGCGGAGTGAAACGAGGCAGATAAGGGTTTCCCAGCGCAGCGGGCGGAAAGGCGGGCGTCAACATAGGATCCGTTTGGAAATCGTCCATGTTATTCTTGACGCTGACGTCAAGGGCAGCCATCAAAGCAGCCTGGAGGATCTTGTTCTGTCGCTCGAGGTTCGCAACGCGGTCCTCCAGGAAATGCGAGGATTGGGTAGATGCAGGCGCGCGGTAGCTGCTTGGAGAGTCGCGTGACCGATAGGTGGACTGGGAGTACTGAGACTGCGGTGAAGAAGCATTCTTATCAATACTGTGAGTGCTACGGCCCGGGGGGGTCAGGGACCGCCTTCGGCGGTGCTGCTGTTGCTGGCGAGACCGGCTCGGAGCAGACGCCTGTCGTGCATCACGGGTGTCATGTACTCGGCGTGTTGTTTTGGTGTGTTGACGTTTGTCGACGGTGCGACGTGAGCGGGTCTTATCTGTCCCAGGTCCAAAGCCTTCATCGTCCGAAGATGGAAGTGGTGACTCGGAGCGCCCAGGTTGGTCTGCTTCGGGGATGCTTTCATGGCGAAGACTACTTCGTGAACTGTTGCTGCGAGAGACGCGATAAGGCCCAGGGGCGAAAGGTATCTCCATTGCCCGTGATGATCCAGACGATGTTGTATAGTTGCGGGCTGGTTGCGCGTTGACTCGCTGGGTGGGAGGCTCCTGAGGAAGGTTGGCAGTAGGAGGAGGGGAGGGAAGACCGAAAGGAAGACTCTTTTTATCAACACGAGGGTTGATGGTCAGTCCATGCTTGTGCACGGCACGGTTCCTGGGAAGTTTGACAGGGCTAGTATGTCCCAACACAGGAGAGTCCGCCAAGGGAGTATCCTTGGTATCTTGACCGCGCTTTCGCGAAGGGCTTTCGGGGACTTCCTGCATGGGAGACATGCGCATGTGCTGGTGGCGTCGCCTCGGGGTGAACTGCGTAGGAGTCATCGACCGGGAGTGACTCGAGTTTGGACGCGGAGCATTCTCTTCTTCCTCCTCTCGGAGGTCGCTGTGGCCCAGAGCAGTTGCAGGGCGAGTGTCACGAAGACTGGCGGTGGCAAACTTGCCGTCTTGCTCTTCTGGTAGAGAGTGAATCCCCAGCGCCATTGGCCCTGAGCGGACCATTCGGATAGTGGACTGGGCAGGGGCATCTGGGGGAGCACTTGGTGACCGGGGGTTCGCCGGCAGTGACGGTAGAGGCTTAGTTGGTGCTGGGAGAGGGAAGGCGCTCAACGTACTGCCCATGGACATTGGCTGTGGTGCTTCTTTGCTTTGGGCATCTGCTGTATCTTCCTGTGGCTTGGTGGGATTGGCGGATGCTTCGGCAGTTGATGAGGTGCTGGAAGACTTTGCTTGTCCGTCATGCGCTTGTACACTTGTTGAAGGCGCCGCTAATGGGTTTGGCCTTTCGGAAAGGCCAACAGCATTCTCCGGAAAATTCGCCTGGGAAGGGGTCACCGGCGGGTGAACACTGAAAGTCGTATACTGGGGGTTCAACGAGATGCGCCTGGCATTCTTGCTGGATACACGCGATGGGGCGACACTGGGGAAGAGCTTCAACGTATGTTGCGCAGACGCAGAGGTGGCCTGAGAGGCTGTAAATGATGGACCAGGCGTTTCGCTGGACTTCCTAGGACTTTCGGGCTTGCTAGGTATCTGATCCTTCTTCTGCGTGTTCTCGGTTCGCTCTGTCTGCGTCACTGGCAAGCTAGTTGAAGAAGCACGCGCTGGCTCTCTGGAGACAAGGCGAACACTCGAGGTCTCGTAACTAGCAGGCCGTTGCACTGGGTCTTCCGACAACCTGCCGTGCTGAGTATCTGTGGCTCCTGTTGGAGAGGGTCCCCGGATAGGGCTTGAATTGGTAGTCGAGCCCGGTATTGGTATCATGGATGATGAGGGGGACGATTCGTGAGCAGGCGGTTGGTAGGGAGGCGGCACAGAATCATCATCAAAGGCACCAGACAGAGAAACGGCGACATCGACCATGGAGCCAAAGTCACTGAGATCCAGAGAGGCGAGGCGACGCTTCCTGTCGTCCGGGCTCGTCCTCGGCCCATTCAGCCAAGGCTGTCCAATGTTTTCGACATCCTGCCGCTTTGATTGGGACAGGGACCGATCCAGACTTCCCTTGGGTTTGTGCATTGGAGTTGTGAGCAGATACCCTTCGCGTTGAAGCGCCTCGATCTGCTTCTGCTGGTCGTTCACCTTGGGCTTAGATGAGCCATCTTTCTTTTGACGCTGTGTAAACTGGAGCAGGCGGCGATGTAGGGGCTTCATGTCCTTGGAATCGGTGCTCGGTAGCGAAGCTGTCGAGGCAGAGGCAGGGTCCGCGGGAGTACCATTCTGTTGAGTCTGGAAGAAGCGAACGAGGTCGCTCAGACTCTCATTTCTGGATGGTCGTTCCGCCATTCCGGCTGAGCGAGCTTGTGGCCGCGGATTACTAGCACCTCGAGTCCTCGTCGCATCAGGCTGTCCCGTCATGACAGACTGACTATAGCGTCGGAGCTTGGACGAGAGGTAAGGTCGATCACGCCGATAAGTCGGGACAATGGGACTGGGTGCGACGGCACAGTCATGCACAGGGTCGCCCCGATGCATAAGTAGAGGGGAAGAGAGGGAGCGTCGACGGCTGGCTTTTCAATCCGGCTGCGGGCAGTTTAGGCAGTCATCGGCATCAACCAGGGCTCCCTTGGTCTGAAACGGTCGCTGGGTTGGAAACAATGGGTGCTGTCCGTGCGGGTCAGATAGGAGCTCCCGACCAACGGTTTCTCTGGCCAGGCAACGACTCACCTGGAAGGGGCAGATGGATGATGCGTGGGATATCAGATGGAGGTAACGCAAGGTGGCGAGGTGATAGCGCAGAAACAACGCCCAAGGGGGGAAGGGGACTATGTACAAGCGGCCAGTATATACAGCATAAACGATGGGAAAAGTACAGTATGGGTAGGAAGCATGAGACGGGCAAGAAACAGAGCAGCTTCTCCAGCCAAGGGAGTTCCCTGTTTAAATGCAGAGGACGAGTGATGCCTCATTTCCGAACTTGGAGGACACAGCCTTTCGTGGTACGGGTCGATTGCCAATCCGTCCTTTGTCCATTCGGCGTGCTTTTTCCGCGCAAGGGATTTAACGTCTGAGGTGTCAGATCCTGGGTGTTCGCGCTAGTTGGGGATCGGCGCAGCGGGTAGAGACAGATGGGCAGAGATTGGTGATCTCGAATGGACACCTCACATCCCTCTCACTGGCGGGAACTATCGATTGATTGTCTCGATAGGGCCGCCTGGGTCATGGTGTTATTGTGTCCATTGTCCTCTGCAAGGGTAGTCATCTCCGACTGCCACCCGCCTCTCATTCCGTCTTGAATGGGCCGGAGCCCTAATGCCCCAAATCTCAGCTCGGGCTGGGTCAAAAAAAGGGTACCGGTAACCTGGGGCAGATCCACCTGCAAGTCATGGAGCAAAACTCTCCACCTCGCAGTCGATCAGTCAGTCCTCTAAATCCCGGAATGCATCGGCCCTGCGCTGTCACCTCGGAGATTTTCGTCATGTCTACATGTTCGAAAGGCGGCTAATGCAACTGCAGATCTGATGTGCCAGTCAAGGTTCGCCGGACACGCACAGAACTCGTCGCGGCGCATCCTCGTAATGTACAGGGAAACAAAAGTCCGTTTGAATTGGTCGGTGACCAGGGCCAGGTAGTGTACAGTACTGGATTCAAACACACACTCATACAACGCCATCTAATGCGGGCAGGGGAAAATGCATCACTAGCAATCACATGCGGTCTCGCAGGCAGGCATCATACGCCATGGAATATGCAAATGGAACAAAAACAAGAAGAGGGGTAGAAACCATAATGCGGAGATGAAATGTGTTAACGTTTAGCGACGCTTCGGACGGATGAACGGATCGACTTCCTTCCTCTTGCGCATCATCGCGGGGCGGGGCCTAGGTGGGTTCTGGGAAGCCTAAATACAAGTCAGCAATCTAATCTGTCACTCTGGGTCCCGACATGAAAAGCTGACCTGCTCGGCGCGGGGTCCAGTGGGCGGCTGCTTCTCCATGGGAGCATAGGCCGGCCCATCGCGAGAGGGCTTGACCAATCCCTAGTGCTAGGTTAGCCCATATGCTGAACGGACAGATCAAGGGACAACTTACTCCCGGCGGTGGGGCATTGGCGTCGAGTTTGCCTCGCAGGCCCTTCGGGGCGTTCGGTGGCGGGCCCGATGGTCCTGACGGGCCGAGGGTGCGAGGCCGCGATGCCTTGGACGCAGTCGGTGGAGTGTCGGTACGCTTGCGCTTGTAGCTAGTATTGGCCTCGTCGGATTTGTTCGACCCATGTGGTGGAGAGTGCGTGGTGGTCTGGACGACTGGTACCTTGGGATCATGTTTGGCCTGGTGCTTGAGGTCTCGGCGCTCGGCATTCTTCTTTTGAAGTTCTCGGCGGTTATGCTCTTCGCGGGCAATGCGATTCTTCTCTTGCTTGGAGAGGGTTTTGGTGGATGTGCAGTTGCGCGACAAGTGTCCGCATTCGCCGCATTCGAGACAGCGTTCGGCCTTGCAAAACAGCCGGTTGTGTCCGGGCTGTCCACAGCGGTAGCAGTTGCCGTGGGTACCTTCTTTGGCATCCACATTATCGCAGTTCGAGGTGAAGTGGTCAGGGCTTCCGCAGATACCACAATTCTTTCTCTCGTCCAGACCGGACGGCCCTCCAGATGGTCCGTCGACAGGTGGAGCTGGAGTGTTGCGCGCGGAGACAGACACCGAGACCGACCGAGAGTCTGACATGTTTTCCATCGACACAGACGACGGTCGAGACACTGGTGAGGCCTCGGGTGCATCAACATCAGCCATTTCAACGTCCTTGTAGCCCGTGAACTGCGGTGTCTCGAGGGCCCGGACGATATTTCCTTCAGTATAGACATTCCTCTCGCGAGCGTTGCGGATTAGACCATTCCAAAACTCGCCCTGTGCCAGAGACCGCGAGTTGCCCAGAACCCATAGCGACGATTTGGCACGAGTAAGCCCGACGTTCATACGACGAATATCCGCCAAGAAACCGATACCCTTATTCGATGCGCGCACACAGGAGAAGATGATGACTTCACTCTCTCTACCTTGGAAAGCATCCGTGGTGTTGAAATCAACCGTCTTGAGGATATCCTCGCCGTATCGAGCCGTAAATTGCATCTTCATCTCCCTCAGCTGGCCCTTGTAAGGCGTGATGATGCCGATCTTGCCTGCAAAGTCGTAATCTTTGACATCCGTGATCAGACGGTCGTAAAGCTGCATGGCCACTTGGAGTTCCGCGTAGTTGATCAGGGAGTGGCCCTTGGTGGCACTCTGGTGCATGCCCTGAACGTCGAAAAACCGGTACGGGCTCAGAAGTTCGCTCTGATGCCAAGGGCGATTGCGAAGTCTCGCCATATCCGGTCCATCCTGGAGCTTGCCGTCGTAGAAGGTCAAGCTGGGGAAGCGGCTGATGTCTGGATGCATACGGTACTGGACATCCAACAAGTGCACGTCCCGTGGGTAGTTTTTCTGCATCCGCACGAACAAGCTTTGCTCGTACTGGAATTTCGACGCCATCTTCGACAGGACGGTGGGAGGCAGCTGCTTGGGGTCACCCACAAGCACACACTTCGAGCAGCCGTATTTAAGCGGGATAAGGGCGCTCAGTTCAATACACTGGGCGGCCTCGTCAATGATCACGGTTTCGAATTCGACATTCATGTTCTGGAAGATCTCATGGCCCGAACCACTGAGGGTTGTGCAGATGACATTGGCGCCATTGATGATCTCTTGCTGGATGCGCCGCTTGTTCATATCGGCATTACGTGCCAAGGTATGATTCTGATCGCGAGCCTTGTCAATAGCCGTACTCAACTGCGATCGCTTCTTCTTCATCAACTCAAACTCCCGCTCAAGTTCGTCTGGTGGGGGCAGCCCCTTCGCGCGGCACTCATCAAGACGACCACGGATTTCCTTGAATGAGGTATCCGTTGCCTTGTGCTCTTCGTATAGCTTCTGCATGTCGGTTCCGCTTCCCGAGGTTGAATCCTTGCTCAGACGAGCGTTGACCATCTCGTCCAGAGTCACGTCCAGCACCTTGGTATTAATCGCATCACTTCGCCCCAGACGGATAACCGAAAGTTTCTCGTCGCGACCGGCAATTGTCCTGACGCCCTCCTTCATTCTCATTACCAGCTCATCGACCGCAGCATTGCTGGGAGCACAGATCAACAGCTTCTTAGAAGTCGCGGCTCTTGGTGTTGGCCCGGTATTGTATGCCGGCCCAATCGGTGTCCCACCTTTGCCCAGAGCATTGCTCAAGAGACATCCCACAAGGGCGACAATGGTCTTGGTCTTTCCGGAACCTGGAGGGCCCTGGATAAGGGTGAATGCGTCGTTGTCCACGGCTGACTTGATGGCCCTGGCTTGGGCACGGTTAATGGTGTAATTGTCCATGATGGGCTGCAGCCTCGTGTCGGAGTATGTGAGGATCGGCGACGGCTTAGCTGTGACGATTTCGTCGCACAGATCATAGAATTGAAGTGCCATCAAGGCACCATATTCGCGGTCGACCGGAGTCAACGACGTGACTTTCACTGCCCAGGCCGTGGCGCCCGTTGCAAAAGTACTGAGAAACTTGTTCTGAGAAGGGTTCATGCGGTATGTGACCTCCAGCTTGCCGTTCTTCCTGTTGACACCGCACACACGCGCCAGCACATGTGGCACCTTCGCTTCGGGGGAGATACTGGACGAGTTGGAAAACATGATAAGGTCGCCTTCTCCCAGGCTGAAATCCTTGGGTGGGAGACCGAGGGGCTGGGTGCTGACTTCGATCCACGAGTCAACCGTCAAGCGGGACATGACCTTGACCTCGAAGGGGCGGAACTGGGCTTCTTCCTTGGCCTGCTGGAAACCTTGCCAGGCCTCGAGGATCAGGAGGGGTTCAAAGGTTTTCTGGTAGTCGGTGGAGGAACGGAAGGAATTGGAGACCAGGGAGTAGTCGGTGCGATCCGATGTGGGAGGGAGATCGCCAGTTGAAAAGAAGTCCCAAGAAAGGATAGAGTGGTGCAAAGAAGAGAGGTCCGGGGTCAGACGGGCACGCATATCCTTCATGGACCGTTGGCGCTTGGCCTTCTTGATCGGCTGCTGTTGCAGGGATTGTTTCTTGCTCTGCTCGTATGCCGCCACGGCCTCGGGTTTCCTGGGTTTTGCGCCGAATAGCTCCTTGTCTATTTCATCTTCACTCTCGGAGTCTGTATCAGAACCAGACGAAACCATCATACTCTCCGCAGGGGTAGTATGGTCTTTACCCTTGATACCAATACCTTTGAGGCCGGAACCCTGCTCGGCCGTCTGCTCGGCCACCCCACGAACAGGCATGTTCTTCTTGAGGCGGGCAAGTTCAGCCAAGTCGCGTTTCTTTTTGGCCTCTTTCTCGCGCTCGCGCTTCTCACGGAAGGACAGGACGTTGCTGGCATCGTCTTTGGGCCGTGGGGCGACCAGGGTCTTGGCGAGAGTAGAGCGTGGCGGCTTGACACCCACTGCCATCTTGGAGGAGGGCTTCTCGGCTTTGCGCTGGGCCTGGGCAGCGAGGCGTTCCTTGTTGAGTTCAACTGAGCGAGAAAGGGCAAGCAGATCTTCGTCGGGCACATCCTCAAAGTCGTCCTCGCTGGTGACTCGGGTGGAAGGGCTTGAGACGCCGGGTTTGGCAAACGCAGTAATTGAGCTCTGCTTCTTGAAGGCAGCAGTGGAAGCTGTGACGACGGGTTTCTTGTAGTAGGCCTCGAGAGCGCGCACCAATTCAGCCTTTTCACGTGGGGTGAGGATTGTCTTGATTGTCCCATTCACTGCGACGCCCTCAATAAAACTCAATGCATCTTGCTTCACAGTGGTGACATTCAATGCCCCCAGTCGCCTCAATAGCTTGGACACCAGCCCCACCAGGGTTGTTGCCAGGTACTCGTCCTTCAGACGCAGCCACTTCACCATCGCACTCATTGTTGTTGTTGGCGACTTGAGGAAGTTCTCGTTCTGCCCGGTACTTGCATCCCCCACGGCGCCCAGGAAAACACCATATTGGTCAAAGAGGAAATTGGCAAACTGGATCGTGTCTCGACAGAACTCCAGCATCACCGACTTGTCGTTGCCACGCAGGTGCCAAGCCTCGGTCTCGTCGAAGATCGTTGTCAGGGCCTGCCATAGGTACTCCCACAGTTTCTGGATAGATAGCACCTCGCGACGGTCGGCCAGAGTGCGCGTACGCAGCATACCTGTCTGGCTATCACAGAGAATCTCCACAATGTCTGTTCCCGTATGCAGCATCCGTGGCGCGGGCGCGAACGTCTTCATATTGGATATCCGGCGGAACGACCAGCTCAGGCCATACATCGTTGTAGTGAAGAAGGACTGCAGGAGGTGGGATATAGCGTCGCGGCGTGCAGACTGGCCGCTGACGTTCTTGATGAGATCTACGGCGGCTTGATAGGTGTTGAGGTCTGCGGCAAACAGGGTCGAGATCAGGGCGCTACTGGTATCCTGGCTACGGAATAAGGTATCCAGATGCTCCGGGCGGAAATCTGCCAGACGTTCGATGATCTGGCAGGAGAGGTGGGTGAGGTGGCCATAAATCATGTTGAAATGCGTCTTTTCCGGATTGTCTCCGCCCTTGGTCGGGAACTTCTCCAGGCCGACAAGCGGGAGAATGCCCAAAAGCGCGGCCGTCGAGAGGGCGAGGTTATCTTGGTGGAGATGTTTGATGACCGCATCCCAGATGGGCGCCGAGTACGTGGACACTCCGTGCGAGAGGGTGTTGTGTTTCAGGATGACCTCGTAATCGCTCTTCAGTGACTGACATTCCAATGCCAGGGTGTTGCGCACGACATCCATACACAATGATCCGATCTCCTGTTGACGACTCGCCTCAATGGCAAAGGTCGGAGGTTCGAGGATGTGGGTGATATTGTCACTGACCACCCCCATGGTCTCGGCCAACACGATGCGTTCAACCGATCCTCGCGAAGCCTCGTGGTCGGTGAAGCGGCGAAGGGTATGAAGAAGGCTGTTCAGGCCAATGTGGAAACAGTGATAGCGGGAGAGATTGGGGTACTTCGCGTTCTGGAAACGGCCCAGCAGCTGCGATGCGAGGAATCGGCATGCCGATGGCTGAGCAGCGCCTTTGAGCGACATCAGAAACGGAGTGATCCAGGACAGCATTTCCTTCATGGCAGATTTTTCGTATGGCTCGCCCTCGGTGAGCTGCGTGAGATATGTTTCGTATTGGGGGTTATAGAAAGCCTGCTCCATGATTGCCTGCGGCGAGATGGTCTGCATGGCGTCCCAGAAGTCGGCGGGGGCTTTTTCGAGAAACGTTTGAATCGTATTCAGAAGGAATCGCAGGGCAGGCATAGGCAAGGCGAGATGGTCTACCGACAGGCGGAGAGGGTCGATTTCCAGGGCACGGAGCTGGTGCGTGATCTGCTCTTTGTCCAGTTTCTTGACGATAACATGCATGCCACGCCACAGTCGCTGAATAACACCAACCTGGGGTGGGTTGAGCTGCGAGCCAGCGCGCAGGACGTTGAGAATCCCATCCCTCAGAGCCCAGTCGAACTCCAGCGTGGTCGGGGGTCGACTATAGCGAATCCATGCGTGAATGGCCCATATGTGGCGGGTCTGATTGGGGTCGAATAAGAACCGAGTGACGGCGGGGATGTAATCGGAGATTTTCAGGGTCCGCCGGGTCTGGATGAGGGCGAAAGGCTCGTCGAAGTATTGCTTGAGAAGATCCTCGCTGCGCAGCATGGCCTCACAGCTCAGCGTCTCGAAGATGGACAGCAGCGCCGCTCGCTCCAAAATCGCCAGCCCAATTTCCTCCGGCCGCGCCTCTCGCAGCTGAGCCGTGGCCGTCGTCAAGTTGCGGGTGATGCGCTTGATATCCCATTCATCGATACGCTGTGCAAAAGCCTCGATATCCTCTTCCTGGTAGTCCTCCTCCTTGAGCTGGTCCATGAGCCAGAGCTTGCCGGTGTAGTAGTGCTTGATGCAGAGATCACATTTCTCCAGCGTCTCGTCCAGCTTGCTCAACACCCAGGTCTGGAGTTCCTCCACGCCGTCCGCGTTGTAGGCCAGGATGCGCATGCAGGAAAGGAACTTCTCCTTCCGAGCCGTTGCCTCCGCCACTAGCTCTCGAAAGCTTCTTCCTGACTCGTCCGTCTTGTCTGGTTCATCGTAGCGGCCGTAGTCTTCGTCGCTCTTGCGCGGGCAAAGGAGATGGGTACCCTCCGGGAGGGCCTTCAGCTCTCTAAACAAAGACAGTTAGTTTGAGATATCCTATATCAGTACGTAAAGACTAACCCGATCGCACCCACGAACTCCATGGCTTTCTAGACACTCATCGAGCAGGGTATCTTGACGTGCCAAGGTCGCTGCGCATCTCCAAATGAGGAGCGGTGTAGCTCGCACTCGGGTCTCAGAAGTGAGAAAAGATCCTGGGGAGAGATGTCCTGTTTCAGCAACTCATCAAAGCCCAAGAGACCTCAGTTGTGCCCCGTCCAGAAGCAGCTGTTGGGTTTGGAGATGAGCGAAAGGACGCCGACGGAGAAAATCCACCAACAAGGACTACGATTGGTGGGGGACCAAGGCGGTCAGAACGCGTCAAACGCGCCCATTTAACCTGATCGAGAGAACGAAGTGTAGAGATAGAGGCCCAAGGGGACGGGCAATTGTGGGTTTAATAAATGAAGGGGGCTCAATCCGCTGTCAGTAAATGTTTGACAGTCTATCAATGGTGCCTACTTTTTTGTATCCAAATGTGTGAGCGACGTTTTAGCCTGCTTGAAACATTATGATATTGTGGTATACGAGACGTCTACACGTCTACAAAACGTCGTCTTAAGGATGGTTGCCCTTTATAGGTAATGGTAATGATGTTGAAATCAAAGATGCGCTCTCTGCTATGTCCATAGAGGTGTCTCTAACATCACCCAAGAAGTATAGGAACTAGGACTACCGGTAAATTTACCAGGACAGTTGAAGTCATTAAGTACTTTCATCACAGAGACCTGTGAATACCATACATGAAGAAATGTCATGCCCCTCTTAGACAGCGGTCTCGGGGTGGAACAGTGCCAAACAACAGAAACAAGGAGATTCCAAGAGATGTGAAGAAAACTCAGGAAACCAGCCGTCACGTGTCGATGTCGTGCTCGTGTCCAAGAGAAACAAAGACAAACGCTTTTGTACAACGTGAAGGGAAAAGACAGGCCAGTATGAAACATGCAGAAAGAAAAAGAAAAGAAAAAGAAAGGGAAAGGGAAAGGAAACGAGATTGGTTGGAGAGTGTATGAGAAAAAAAGAAAAAGGAAACGATGCGCCAGGCCGCCGTCCAGGTGATGATGAGGTATACCAAACGCCTGCTCTCTATCAGGAAATATAAAAAGGGTGCTGTGGAGGAAAGAAAGGAAAATTGCTTGTCAAGATAAAAGGGGGGAAACCGTGGTTGAAAAGGGTCGTCACGAGGAGAGAAAGAGGAGGATCTTATATCGCAGGTGGCGGAGTCTCGTTGGGGGTCCGGAAAGGATCTTCGTACGGACGGTGCGAGGATTCCATGCGAGTGAGCATGGCGGCCGAGGTGAAGTCGTTACTCGCCTCGAAACTCTGTCGGGCCCGTTCGAACGAATGACGTGTCCGTTCTCCCGACCGCCGAATGAAATCCACCGCCTGTGGCTGTGGGTATTGATGTAGGCTATCGCTATAGTTAGTGCCATTACTGCCATTCTGACTGCGAGGTACATGCGTATTGGCGGTCGGGGCAACGGACGGCGGGTAAAAGGGCCGCTCATCGTCCGTAGCGACGGGGTCCTGCTTCATCGCGGGCCGCACTGGCTTGCTAAGTTCCGAGGAGGTCGCGGATTCGTCGCTAGTGGTGGTGGTGGCCGCCGCGGTCACATCGCCGGCCTTAGGGGGCACGTAATCGTCAAACTTATCCAGATACTTGAACATGCCCAGCGTCACCTGCTCGCGAATGATGTCGACATCCAGAGGGAAGAACACCTTCTGGACGGCCTTTACCGCAAACCGGGGCAGGAGGCAGAACACGACCGTCATGAGAAGCATGACCCAGAAAGACAACGAACCGTATACCTCCCGGGCCGCCATGTAGAACTGGCCCGACGAGAGAACCGACGTGTAGATGCCGGTCCAGAAGAAGATCAAGAGCGAACTGATGACGTTGATGAGGCAGACGAGCCAGTCCCAGCGGTAGGTATTCATCAGGATGTAGGTGTTGCTGGCAATGACGGCACAGGTCGCAATCAAGACACCCATGCGGACACGATCGGATATGTCGCGGCCGCTTTCGGTCGCAAAATTGGCCGGCGCATATAGAAGATATGGCAAGAAGAAGCAGACAACCGATTGGTACAAGCCATCGGCCATGTACAGCCTGGATACAAAGGTTAGCTTGGCCGATCAGATGAGGCAGAAGGGGGCGGGCTTACCAAAATTTGAGTTGTGACCATTCCTTGCGTTCAATGCCTCGCATGTAGAGCTGAGGAACCGCGAGAGACACCTTGTCATCGACGTCCTGATCGAAGATACCCATGAAGATAACCGGTAGGGAAGTGAACGCGACGTTAACCAGCACAATGTAGGTGTAGTCGAAGAGATAGGAGCCGTCAAAGTCATTATAAATCGAATACCAGAAGAGCGCAAAAGTCCACACCAAGTTCTTGTAGAAGAAATTGGCGGTACACTCTCCAAGGCGACGGTAGGACCACCGGCCATGCACCAGAAGAAGGCGCTGGAGGAAGCGGAACTGTCCAATCGCATAATCTGAAGACATGACGGCTTGTCGTCCTTCCTCACCTGCGATACCGACACCCACATCGGCTTCTTGAATCATGGCAACATCATTCGCACCGTCACCAACCGCCAGAGCCATCACGTTCAGACCGTTCTTGACCATGTTCACAACGGCCGCCTTCTGTGCCGGACTGACACGGCAGCAAAGAACAGCCTTGCACTGTTTACATAGAAGAAGGAATTTCTGCTTCAGCTCGTCCGAGAGCATGAGCTTGAGGGTTTCACCATCGATGATGAGTGCGTGTGTGGGCTCGGGTGGCGTATGGTCCTTGCGCGCGGCGACCAGCTCCTCGTCGGAACCAGTCAAGCCAAAGATCGCGAGGTGTTTATCAAGTTCATTCTCCGCCTGCTCCGGTTGGCTTTCGGGGATGTTAAACACGAGCAGCTCCATGTTGTTGTTGAGCAGATTGCAGGAGAACCCAATATTGATGGCTGTCTCGACTTTGTCACCGGTCAAAACCCATAACTTGATACCGGCATCCGCGAGCAACGAGATGGTGTCGGGCACGCCGTCCTGAAGACGATCTTCGATGGCAGTGCCTCCGATGAGCATCAGTTCTTGCTCAATCTCGCTTGAAACCTTTTCCAACTTTTCCTCGCGATCCGTGATGGCAGCGGCAGCGATATCGTGCTCCCGACTCCAGGTTTGATATTGCTGCTCGGTGAGCTCGCGGTCGGCCACACACAGGGTGCGCAGTCCTTCCCGGGCAAATTCCTCCAGGTGCTCTGCAGTTTGCTTTCTGAGCTCCTGCTGCTTGCCACGAGCCAGGCGAGAGTAGATGATGCTGTCGGCACCCTTGCAGAAAAGCCGAATGGAACCATCCGGCATCCGGATGATCGCACTCATACGCTTCCGAGACGAATTGAACTCGAGGGTGTTCAGGACGGTGTACGTGCGTTCCTCGCCCAACACATTGAGAAGCAGATCGTCGCCAGCCCGACCAAGCATGGTGAATCCACAATCCCGAGCAGTGCTGACCAAAGCTGCTTCATCGGGTGATTGGGCCTTGAACTCGATCTGCGGAGGATCGCCGGGAGTGTGCTCCGTAATGACAGTGTGGCAGAGTGCCAAAGCCAGCATGAAATGTTCCACTTCCTTCCTCTGCTGCTCCCCACTTCGGCCCTGCAGGTCGGACACATAATCTGGGGCAACGAAAGTGAGATTTTCATCGCGCAGGTAAGGGTTATCATGGATGCCACGCAGCATTTCTATCATTTTCTGTCCATCAACAGCAATCTGCTCGCGGGCCTGAGCGGCCTCCTCGTCAGCGTTGAAGCCCTCGCGACGCCGCATGCCGACCTGAGCTTCGGTGTACGCTTCGCCGTATGAAACGCCGTTGACTGTGCATTTCTTAAACTCCATCACGTTCTGGGTCAAGGTTCCGGTCTTATCGGAGAAAATGTACTCGACCTGTCCGACATCATCCGAGATGTTCCAGGACTTGGGCACACAGTAGATCCCCAGCTTGTCATAGTACATGAACTGGTCGCTGTGAATAAAGACCGCCTGGATGGTGCGGACAATTTCGAGGGAGATGTACAGCGAGATGGGCACCAAGTTCTGGAACAGGATGACTGCAGTCCAGAACGTCACAATGCCCGTCACGGCGGGCGTGCCCCCGTAGGACCCAAAGTCGAAAAAGTCCAGGGATTTGTCCCGGGCAGCCCAAGCGAAACCGTTGATAATGCCCGACACCAGACACATGATGAACAGGATGATGAAGTTGTAAATGACATTCCAGTTGAGATCCTTAGCCATGCGAGGACGCTTGGTCGGGGTCGCGCCGGAGTTGAGCATGATCTTGCTCTCTTGTCCGGTGAAGACAACCACACCCAAAACCCACTCGGTGCTGCGGAGGCTGCACCCACGAAGCAAGATATTGTTGATGGAGATCGCCTCCACCATCTCCTTTCGGGGAGACTCTGGAAAGGCCGGGTCACGCTGGTCCCAGCGAATCGCGCCATTGTAGGAATACAGGTTTGGTTGCGGGGCTTCACTTTCAATATAGAACTCGGCCTTTTCACAGTCTCGGGCATGTCGTACTTGGCGACCACAGTGGAGAGCGTGGCGGACCTTCAAATTGGTCTCACCGTCCAACCCTTTCGTTTCGATATAGCAAGCCCCGTCGGGATCCGAGGTTGACAGAACGACAATATCAGCTGGAACCGGGTCATCATTGAACAATCGAACAAAATCCCCGACCTGGAGGTTCTTCCAATAGTCGCGCTTGAAACGCGCCGTGCCGGGGGTTTGTTTGGAGGGGTCGACCACACTCCCCGTTTTCTTCGTTGGAGAGGCGGTGCCTGCGCCTTCACCCATTGCGCTGTTGGGCGACAAAAACGCGCTCGCTTGGTTATTTGCAATTGGCCAGTCTTCACGGACTTCGGGAGGTGGGGACGCCGGAACATCCGTCATCTGGATGGCCACCTCATTCGGAGCCATCGAGTCGCGCTGCGAATACATCGACGTGCGCGGCGTCACCAGGGTCACGAACGAGTCGCGACGCTGTGGACCCGCAGACTCCTCTTCGATCTCCTTCTTTTTGCTAAAATTGGCCTTCATCCAGTGATATGTGGCAATCGTGCTCCTCGTGCAGGCCTTCTTGACGCGACGCCATATGGAGATGCTGTCTTCGGTCGAGTTGACGTTGTTCCATTCAACCAAGCGATATACAGGCGAGTTGTTGACTTGGTTGTCCATGACTGTCCGCCCCCAATCCTCAATGCCGTCTTTGATGGCCGTCACGACGATAATAGCGATCAGAGGCACGGCGTTTAAACCGGGATTGTTGGCGCCGAAAATTGGGAAGAACTAGAACATAATTCTTGTCAGCAGGGGGGCAAAGAAATGAAGGGCTTGCGGTGGCATACGTTGAGTATAATGACGAACAAGAAGTAGATGTTCGCAATGTTGTGGAACTGCAGCCAGATATTCTTCGGAATGAAGGTCAACGGCGTGTACTTGGAGGTGCGGATCTTGTTCCTGGGATAGACCATGCGTAAATGACCATCCTCATCGCGCTCAGATTCCGGTATTGGGATGTTGAAATAGATCGCTCTGTTCTCTTGCCCAGGTTCCTGATACACCTCTCCGTTCACTTGTGGTCCTCCCGCTGAGGACCCGAGTGCGGACCTCCGTTTCTCCTCCTTCATCTCTGCTCGTTTGTTAAAGCGGTCCAAGATCGAGACGCGTTTCCGCACGCCGCCGGACCCGGCGAGACGTGTGGTGGCCCATCGTTGTCGTTTGGTCGGCTTGGAGACATTACTGGTCACCTCGCGAACCTCGGTGTCGCCTTCGTTAGTGGTGGTGTTGGTCTCCGGGAAGTGCACGGAAGCCATCTAGGCTGTTGATGTGCCCAGGCCGGGCATAAGACGTGAAGATTTAAAGATGCCGGGAGCGCGCGACCATCCGGTCCAGCGAGCCGGAGTCCGAGAGTGTGCAAAGCACCGTCGGAGTGATGTTTGTTTCCGTCGCAGGGATGTGAGCGTGTGGGGGAGTATCAATCCATGCAGGGGATTTGACTCGATACCCGTGATTGTTTTGGGGGGGGGGAATGGCAGGGTAGACCCGGCTGGATGGAAGGGGGAGGAGGGAAGGGGGGAACAGGTATGTTCAAATCGTGAGGCTCCAGAGGCAGAGACAAGTCCGAGAGCAAAATAGAGAGAACGTCTTACCCACACGGGGCCATACAGAGAGAAGTGAAAGAAACACGTTTTTTTTTTCGAAGGGGAGAGACGATGATTACCGCTGCTTGGTCAGCGCTTCGCCATCCCGCCCAACCCGAGCAGACATTGCTGGTCTTCGGCGGGTATTACCATGACCACCATTCGGTCTCTAGTTGAGTTTATCCATTTACAATGCATCATTCTGGACCTCTCTCCTTCCCCTCTGTCTCGCTCGAGTTCCCACTGATGGGGAGTCAATACGACTAACTCCCGGAGCTGTGACAGCCTTCATCCGAATGCCAAGCCTGGCACCCAGCCCCCGTTCCAGCCTTCCAGCCTCAACGCTGGTTCGTGTCTAAATTTCTGACGGTGGCAACTAACCACACCAAATTACCTATTCTCGTCCCATCTTCCTCCTCGTGCGATGATGACACAATCTGATTTCTTCCCCCCAGACTTCCATCCATGCACGGCCCCGCGGAGGGATTCATGATCATCGGTCCGCTGCTACCTAGTCCATACGACATCATTGTTCAGGTTGGGGGCCAGGTTGGGGGCAGTAACCCCCGTCAGCAGAACCATACATAATAATCATACTAATAATAATCATAATAATATTCATAATAATAATACGGACGAGGCCTCCCAAGGCCTAAATTGGTCTCTCGGAACATCGCACCTGAAACAACCGGAGGACACGGCACGGCCGGCCCACCGTCGGCACCCTTAGTCAGGAATAATGTCTTGGCCAAGCGGCACTAATTGTGTACCGTCAGTCATCCTTGGGAGGACGGCAATCCTGAGCGGAGACAAATAATAAGAGAGTCTCCATTTATTATTAATCCCACCATCTTAGGTGGAGGACCGATTCCAGGGTTCGTCCCTACCCTTCATTATTAATTCCAAGTCTACTACTGAAGTAGTGGACCTGACTGAATATAATTGCAGTGCTGCCAGACTCGTCAGCGGCGGATCGCCCCCGAACTATGGTGGATCGGGCCAGGAAACCTAAATTAGAGCCACAACCAGAGATGGGCAACGGTCGGGAAAGTCAGTAGGGATCAAGATATCAATAGTGAATAGTCATGTCGGCTTCCGGTGGCCGAGAAATGAGAAGTATATCCGGGATAGAACAGGGATTCTGGTCATTGGTGCCAATCTATACTGGAACACGTCCAATATATATCTCCCGTCAAGATCCACGGATCAACATTCTCCCAACTCGTCCAAGAGGATGACAATGATTCATCACCAGTATACAACATCCAGCAACACCAGAATTCGATCACATTAATCATCATCAACACGATTTCATCATAACGACCTGTGTTGTAGAACCAAAGCCCACGATGACTCATCCACACGTGACCCCGCGCGGCGGTTCAACGCGCCGACGCGATGAGCCCAGCAACCTTTGGAATCAGGTCCTCCTCGCTGCGATTGTGATGCCCCCAATGCGCACTATCACCGACTTCTTCCACCGCCCGGCATTCTCCCGGATCAAGTCGAGCCAGTCACCTCCCGAACAGCACAACGAGTTCCCTCCCGTATCCTCGTCACCCCTCAGCGACCCGCCGTCGTCCTCGGCCCTCAATCAAGCCTCCCAACAGCTCCGGAACGAGCTCGAGGTTTCAAGTACACCCACCCAAGATGACATCCGCGACTCCCCCGCCCCATCCCAAAGCTTCCAGAGCATCGAGTCGACTGCGGGGTTATCGACTGGCAGTGGCAGCTTCAACGCTTCTCAGCGCATCCTGAAAGGTGGCAAGGAGGTGGTCACCAATTCGGATGGGGAAGATACAGACTCCATATACTCGCTCGATGATCCAGCGGAATTTTTCAAACCGAGATCAAAGCCAGAACAAAAAGAAGCTCCCGTGCGGCCGGATACGAGCATTTTGTACAAAACGGCCCCGAAGTACAAAAACACACTCGATTCTCTCGTGTACGCTGCGGTCGATGATAATGAAATCGAGGCGAGCGTTGCCAAAGTAAAGGCTACTTTTGCGAAGCCTCAACCGGACAACAACACGTCTACAGGCGAGCAAGTCTTACACAAAGGAATGTTGACATCTGCCCTCGGTGATAACGATGAAGGGTCTGGGTTACAACGTCTTATGGACGCGGTGCGAAGAACCGAAGCCCTCGAACAGGACCGGGTTTGGCATTTCTTTGATTATGACCAAAAGCTGCCGCCAGCCCCAGACTTCCCTCAACACCTGTTTCCTCCAGGGACTCACCTGGCTATGTTGCGGGGTATGATTTACATTTATCCTTGGTGGCTCTCACGCTGACTGAATGAATAGAGCCCGAATCCCGTGAGCGCGCATTCCAGTCGGGCATCCTCGAATTCGCTCTCTCCAGGCGTGCTCTGCCAGACGAGTTTGTTAAATGGATTTTTCAATCTAGTGCGCCACCTGCCATTATTGCTGTAGATCAATGCTGACTCTTGTCCAGTTTCCTCAGAGCCTCGCATTGAGCTGAGACAGGCTTACAGCCGAATGTTGGAGGTTTGTCACAGGAGCGGCCAAGATCCAATCCATCAGTGCTAATGATGGCAACAGCATGCAACAGCAGAACGTGTAGCAGAGCTCATTGGTCCTGATGACATTGATGATCTATTCAGACGCATGGGAGCTAAACCGTGTGTCTTTGATCTCTCCCAACCGGTGAAAACTGACCCTCCATCACGTAAGGCCCGTCTCCCACGGTTACTTTGAATGCCTCTGACCCTCTGTAACAGACACAACGTCAAAACCTAAGCTCAAAGATCGTGCCGTTTTCCTCTCGGTACTGAAATCACTCAACAATGCTGCCTACCTGTAAGTGCCCATTTCTCGGATTTCTCAATGTCGGTGACTGAGAGTCGTTCAGTTTCGGCGATGACACCCGGGAGCGGGCTATCCATGTACTCTTGCGCCTCACACTTGACGCATCCTTGACAGCCGACGCTCTGGTCTGCGCTGAGCTAGAAAGTGCTATCAACTCCATGTTGCGGTATACGCCGGAGGACACCCGTAAAGATTTGGTATGGCCAGTATTGCCCTCTTTGCATATGCAAGCTGACAGAAATAAGGTGCAACGAATTTGTACAACAGTCTACGAGACCATCACGGATGTTTACTTCCAGAGCCGCATTCTGCAGCATATACTACCAACATCCGACTGGATCGCTCTGCTGCGATGCCGACTTGCAGTTGCCTTCTTGCTGCAGACCTCTTCACCATTGACAGAGCCGCCAGAAGTGGCTCTCGACCTGAAACGCATCACGGTACTTCTGTTGCGTGACCAGCGGTTTAACATGAAACGACAGAAAACGAACAGTGATTACGACTATGGCGAGCTGAGTGCCATCACCATTCTACTGAATGTGGCGATCGATTCGTCCCTGTTCGACGTAAAATACAAAGACACCGTCGGCGCGGAGAGAGATTTCGACGCCGCCATCGATAAGCTGGCTACCCAAGTCAAGAAGATTTTCAGCGCCATCGAGGACTCTGGCGCCTCGCATCTCAAACGGATGTTGGCCAAAGAGGCCCTGGAGGCCTTGCATTACCGCATGATCTATGCGGTCCGGTCACGCCCGCCGCCGAAAAAGACATTGTTTCACAACTACGGCCATGCCAACGGCAATATTCAACAGTTCTTCAAATCAAAGCTTGCCTCGGAGCTTGATGGAACCGAGTCTCCATCCGAAGCAGCAACAGCAACAGCAACGCCAGAGCCGGGTGTCTCACTACCAAAAAATGCTGAGATGCCCATTCGAGAACACGAGCAGCATGAAATCCCTCCAAGCGGTTGATATCTTGATGGAGCAACACCCGCCGTCTTCTCTCGCCCAATATCTTGCCTTTTCTCCCCAGCCTATTTTCCATTCGGCAATTGTTCATGATTGATGACCTGATGACCACCTGATGATGATTGAGTACATTTCTTACTACATTATTGCAGTCTCGCTATAATAGAACAAAGCTCGATTCAGAGCAAGTATGAGTTGTGTATGAATATCCTTCTCTATCTCGAAGACCAAAGCGAGGAAGAAGTACCGAACTATAGAACACGAAATGCGGCAAAGGCGGACGCAGCGAACCAAAACTAATCGTAGAATCTCCGGTTCTCGTTCTTCCCAAACAGCGTCTCCCGAACCGCTGGGAGAGCGTCAATCTCCAGCAGCCGCAGCCGCTCCTCGAAGGTATTGTTGATATCGATCTTGCCCTGGCCACCGACGATGATCACACCACCGGCACTGCATCACCCATTATCAGTTGATCATTCAGCCAGAAAGACAGGGAGAAACTTACGATCCCTCCGGCAGCGGATCAGACTCATCCACCGTCACGGTGACATCCGAGCCAACATTATCCTTGAACTCCTTGGCCGCCTCCTCAGCCGCCTTCTTCGCAACATCGATATCCTTCTTCCGTGCCCGAATCGACACCTTCTCCTCGTTAAGGTCGTACAAGCCCTCGAGGACCAGCCCCTTCAGCATAACCTGATACTTCTTCTTGTCGCTCTCTGCAACGGTGGACACCTTATCGCGGGACTTCTGGAACAGCTCATCCAGCAGCTCCTGGCGACCGCCCAGCACGCGCAGCCGGGTGCGGTTCGCCAGCGTCGAGCGGGTGATCTGCTGCGACATGGCGGCCTGCTTAAACTTCTTCTCGTAGAGGGTATCGATCGCGGCGGTCTCCTGGCGCACCAGCTTGGACTTTTCGATCGCGAATTCTTCGTCCGCTTTCAGTTGGATCTCCCGGGCTTTCTCCAGGGCTTCTTGCCGGATGAACGCCGTCATCTTGCGGAGCTCGCCCGCGACCTTTACAACGAATCATCGGTTAGTCTGGTTCATTATTTTCGGAGTGAACGGTAGTACCTGGTCGTCGGAGAGAGCATGGCTTTGAGACATGGTGGGCGGTGGTGTGCTCTCCGGGTGTTGGGTCAATGGAGGGTGAACGTGGCGGCAGGGAGAGACCGAGAGAGAGAGAGTCTAAGCTCGGGTGACTCTTGGCGTGACCGCATCCAGCCCAGCCAAACTCCCTTCTGTTCCTTGTTCTACTGTCAACTCTCTTTCAACTCTCAACAACCATGGCTTTCTTCCGCTAGACCTTTCTCCTGATGCCTCCTTTTCCACCCTCCTCTCTCCTCCCGCCCATGCATATACGATGGGCAATCTAGGTGACCTGTCGCCGCAGGGCAGTGTCGCGGTAAGTGGGCCGCGATTCTGCATGCAAAGCTACGCCCCTAACATCTATGGACAAACCAGATCGGAGTGCTTGTCGGGCTGGTCTCGACCAGTCTCCAGGCCATCGGGCTCACGCTTCAGCGAAAGTCGCATTTACTGGAGGACGAGAAGCACCCGTACGATGTGCGCAGACCACCCTACAAGCGGCGGCGATGGCAGCTGGGCATGGCCATGTTTGTCATCTCCAATATCGTGGGCAGTACCATCCAGATCACTACGCTTCCGCTCCCCGTCCTCTCGACGCTGCAGGCAGTCAGTATCCTCGTTTCGCTACGAAATCACATGAACTAACAGAGTTCGGGACAGTCGGGACTAGTGTTCAATACCATCTTCGCGACGGTCATCCTCGGGGAACCCTTCACTCGATACTCACTCGCGGGCACCGTGCTGGTGTGCATCGGCGCGGTGCTGATTGGGACATTCGGCGCCATCGGGGAGCCTGCACATACTCTGGACCAGCTGTTGGAGCTCCTTCAGCGCCGTCCGTTCCTGCTGTGGATGGGCGGCACGGCGTTGATCGTGGCAGTGATATTGGCAAGCTCGAAGCTGCTGAGGTACTGTTTGCCATCGTCGCGGGCAAGACCGGCCGCCTCCGGTTATCTGGCGCCGCACCTGCAACGGTTACAGGCCCGCGTCAAGCTCATCCGAGGCATGTGCTATGGATCGGTTAGTGGCATTCTGTCGGCTCACACGCTGCTGATGGCCAAGTCGGCCGTGGAGCTGTTGGTGCGCACGGTGGTCGACCGCGTAAACCAGTTCAACCGCTGGCAGTCGTGGGTGATTCTTCTGGCCATGATCTTTCTGGCACTGACACAGCTGTTTTATCTGCACCGCGGCTTGAAGCTATGCAGTACGAGTGTTTTGTATCCGTTTGTATTTTGCATTTACAACATCATCGCCATCCTGGATGGTCTCATCTACTTCCGGCAGGCCTCCCAGCTAGCGGGATACCATGCCGGCCTCATTGCCTTAGGGACAATAATTCTCCTGGGCGGTGTTTTGTGTCTGTCGTGGCGACTCGAAGATATCGACAGCCATACCGCTGTCACCGTGGTCGGGCCCACGCAAACCGGACTCGGCCCCGGCATGGCCGTTGTTGAGGAGCATTCCCCTACGAGAACCGCGCTGCTGGATGGCCGGGACGACGAAGAGGCCCAGATTGGGGAACGCGAGCCACTCCTTCATTCCACTGTTCGTCCGCGCCGTCTTTCGTCTTATCATCGAGCGCGAGCCCCGAGTCTGCCGGTGATTCCGCATTCTGACCAGCGCAATTCGACTGATTTGGACCCGGCCTCCATTTGGGCCGAACTCGACGACTCCGATTATGACTACGATGCGCAAATGCGCTGGTCTACGGACCGGCCACGCAGCACGAGCAGCAGTGCGACGCTGACCAGCCCCGGCCACGGGCTCGCTCGACACTCAACCGTTGGCCCAGCTACTCACGGCCATCTTTGGGCTACTCGCCGAGTGCCGCCCTATGCATACGACAACCGGTGGCGGCGTCCATCGGCGCCTCCGTTGGGGGCCGCAATTGCCCCACGAAAACGGCGAGTACTCGGGAGCTTAAGCCCCTCGACTGGCCCGCAAGAGGTCGCGGGGTACGGCACAATCCAGGAAGATGAGGACAGCGACGATGCCCGGCACAGACACGACGATCCGCAAGACGCAGGAGCAGGTCTCCTCGCAGGCTCGAGGAGAGCCCTCGCAGGCGCCTGGAGACATGGTCGTCAGTTTTGGACCCAATGGACGAGCACCTCCCAGGCGGATGATGAGCGGTCCGTGTCGCCACGCTCTGAGATTAATCTCCCACCGACCCGCCCTGTGAACGGGCAGTCTGTCCCGATTCCGCAGGGAGAGAATGATTCGGCCAAACTATCGCCGTCGTCGTCATCGCCGCCATAGCGACTCGCATAATAATAGCATTTCCGTCGACGGAATGATTGATACCTTTTCCCAACATCTTTCTCTTCTCCCATACCTCAACCCCCACGCCCAACTCACATCACCCTGCAGCCTCCCAGCGACTCAACAAACGGACAGTCGAGGACTTTGGCTTCGTCTTCTCACCACCCGATCCACGGATATTTGTCATGTCATGTCATGTACAGTAAGAGAGCGTTTGTTTTTCTCGACAGAGCCACACCGTGGGTGGCTTCTTGTTGTTTTCTGCTGTGGCTATTAAGACAGCCCAGCCTGGTCACCAGTTGGTGTTGAGTATATATGCCTGGATGAATATACGCCGTTTACACGTTGGAACTTGAACTGCAGTGCCAGTACCTCACACCTGTAATTGCATCGAACCGAGCCACTGTGGAACCCTGTTCAATCCCTGGTCTACATAGGATAGATACTACTGTGAAGAATCATGCACAGATATAAATCACTTCGCACACCAAAGCCAATGACAACAGAGACAGATCCCACGATCAAAGCGTGAACTCTAACCGATTCCCCGCATAATCCCTGGCAAAGAATCGCTTCGGATACTCCTTCCCCTGCGCACCTATTGATTGTTCAAGTATAAATCAGCAAAGCACATTCTCTCTCCCTCCTCCCTCATTCTCAGTGCTTCAGAAAGATGGAGAAGTACATACCCGAATCCACCTCCCCCGGCATGTCCGCCGCCATGGGCGCAGCAGGGCCCTTTCGCAGATAATGCTCGTAAATCCTTGTCTTGAGACGCTCCAGGTCCTCGCGCGAACCGAGCTTGAAGCACGGGTGCCGCGTTCCCGCGGGGTCTGTCGTGCCGAAGGAGACGTGCACTTGTTGGCCTGAGGTGCCAATGTTGAACCTTTTTTTTTTTTAATTTATTTTTGTTATTGAGGAGTCATGAAAGATATTGGAGGGTTGTATGTGTATGGAGCATTTCAATTGGGCGGAAGGTGGGGGGATATTAAGTCGTCATGCTGAAATGTAGCTACCGTGTAGTTACACCTAACCTACACTGCACTGCACTGCATAGCATAGCATAGCATCCAGCGATGACTCGGCGTTTGACTGACTAAGGTGCTGCAAGACAAAAAATAACATACCAAGCTAACGTCCCCCGCTGCAACTCCGGCACAGGCGTCGATTGCAGCTGAAGCGTCCCGCCATAGAACTCCTCCGCCTGGGCGAGGGTCTCCGCGGGGACGGTGAGGTTGATATGCGCGATGCCGGTGATCATGCTGGGCAGGGCAATCTGTCAGTCGGGGAGGAGGTGAGACACTGTCTGTCCGTCGTTGGTTGTCGGAGAGGGAATTGGAGATGTGGGGAGGAAAAGGAAGGAAAGAAAGATGGATCGGATCCCCGGGTATAAGTAAAAATGGTGACACCTCTACCTCCGCTAGAAGAGCCGGAAGTCTAATTCCGAGTCATGAACTATCTCGGCGTGGGATTATGATTAGTTTGCAAAAGTGAGGCCGGGGTTTTTTATTGCCCTCCGGTGGGTGGGTTGGATTTATTCTTGGGATTGTGTAGATGGTCTGCAGATCCTTGCATCAATCAGTATATTTTGTTTGGGTTCTTTATGCATCCATTGAGATGCAAAGACCTGATTGTCTGGGTCCGTATACCTCATCTTGGACGGTAATCATTATTTCCACACATTCTTAGGCATATGAAAGCCACATCTACACGGACCCGTCGTTAATCAACACCTACACTACGAGGGAATTGCACTCAAACCCAAGAACAGGCTCCGATATTCTCCGTACCATACATGAAGACATCCTTCCTGCCAACGAAGCAAAACTCAAGTCCAGCAGAAAGCCCGGGGGAAGGGGCAGCAGTCAACAGTCAACACAGCCAGTGGGACAGACAGACTTTAGCGACAGCTGCAACAACCGAGAGGAAGAAAGCGACCGGGTGACAGGAAGTCATAGTGAAAAAGAGGAGGAAAAAAAAAAGAAAAAGGAAAAAGAGATAAAACACATAACAGAGATTAGGAAACAAGAGGGAAATAATGGGGGTCATTGGGATAGGGCAAACAAAAAGAGGAAAAGAAAACATTTGGGTGAGTAGTAGTGAGAACCGCTTCGCCAACAAATCAATGCACCGTGAACACCACTGCCTCCGCCATTGGTCTAGGAAGAGTGGTCAAGGGCGGAACAGAAACAGCTAGAGTAATCTGCAGGGAGGTTGCATGCTTGCGCTCTTCTCTTCTCTTCTCTTTCTTTTGAGGGGATAAAGATGATTTTTTTTTCGCCTTTTTCTTTGAGAGGGTTTCTTTGTTTGTGACGAGGACACCATCAGCCAGGAAGAGAATCGAACGAATCTCAACGTGCTGACTTCACAATATACAACAGGTGACACACACAAGAACAGACCGAAGGAAGATAGACGAGCACGGAAAGAACCGCGCAAACCTATCTTCCACGGTGAAGAGGATTGAGGACAGATGGACGGGTATCAAATGAACGCAGGATGTCGAGGGGAGAGAGTGAGAGAGGAGGGGGCACAAAAGGGAAAAGAGAAGCAGCAGCGCATCACATCAATCCCTTAAGCAGTGGGCTGGTGCTGGGGCGGCATGCGATTGCCCACAGGCATGCCGGGATACTGGCCACCCTGCTGTTGCTGCTGGAGATTCTGATAATAGGCCATCTGCTGCTGCTGTTCGTTGGTCATGTAGCCTGGGTGCATACCGGCAGGCCGGGGCACGCCCTGAGGCGCGTTGTGACCGA